AAACAATTAAGGTATATCTTAGTCATTCTAAAATTGAAGTTACATTAAATGATATGTATTATGTACTTCAATTGAGAAAGAATTTATTATCAGTTTCACAGATGAAAAAAAAAAAAAAACGATTTAAGGGTTCTTTTCTGCAAAGGGAAAGTTAAAGTTTTCTACCATATTGATGAATTAATGATTGGTGGTTATCGATTGGGGTCTCTTTATTTTATAGATTTTAAAATTATTTTTAATAGTTGCAATTACAATGCTAAATTAGATAATACTGAAAATTCTCTTGAAGTCAGACATAAACGTTTTTCGCATTTAAGTTACAGTGGTATGAAAGCATTGATAATAAGAAATATGGTTGATGGTTTAGTTAATTTATAAGTTAAATATTTGGAAATTAGACATTGCGAACCATGTATTCTTGATAAGATAACACGCATTCCTTTTAATGGTAAAATATATAAAGCCAGAAAATCCTTAGAACTGATACATATAGATGTTTGTTCCGTCAGCCCATTTACCTGGGATGGGTATAAATATTTTTTACTTTTATAGATGATTTTAAATCTTATTATAATTACTCTTATCATTTTGGACATGGGATATTAAAGATAAAGTTAGATAATGGAGGTAAATATATATCTAGGAATTTTTAGATCGTTTTGTGATAAGGTCATTGTATTGCAGTGTACAGCTGTATGTATATGTAGATGACGCTCACAAAACATATGTAAGCGAGGCAATGTTCGTAACCAACCGACACCTATATTGGTTAGACCAATAATATAATGATTATTAAGTATACATTGATTAATAGTTTATTATTATATTGTTTAATGCGATACATTTATTATAATACTGATTGAGTTGAGTTTAAGATTTTGTGTACATATTTTGATTATTAGGTTATTTTTATAAGATTCAATGATTATTGATTAATATAGTGTATTGATTAATCTCTTCGTTATTGCCTCAAATTATGTTATTAGTTGCCATGTATAAATAAATATTGATTATTAGGATTTTGCAGTATAGTTATTAGATATAGCTGTATAGCTATAGTATATTTAATTATAAAATATTCTTTATTGTTTAGATTCAAGAGAGTGTAGATATAGATTATCAAGTATCAGCTGTACAATATCATTACAATATCGGTATTGTTAATTTCTAATTATAGAATTTGTAATGATTGAATATTATAAGTATTATACAATAGTTTAAGTTATTAGGTAATCGTCTCGGTCTAATTTTATTTATTAGGATCGATGTTTCTATCGAAGATTAAGTAACAATAACTGTTACTTTTATCTCTTTTGACTACTTGTTGAATATCGCGTGCTATTCATTACTGTGTTTTGTAATCATTGGCTTTATTTTAAAATGCCGAACAACGAGAATTCGCTCGGAAACGCTTTGAAAACATTAGCTGAAGTCTCTGAATTTTCGATCTTAAGGAAAGACCTTAAAATAAATCTCCTCAAAGCGATTGACGATATACAAAATTACGTGCATTACACTTCTTCTATCTTGAATCAACCTACAAGAAATTAGACCATTAATGAAACCATCTTGTTCACAGGTAACAAAATTTAATCGAAAGTTGCCATCATTTAACCTCATTATCACAAGTAAATCGAAAAAGGACGCAGAAATACTAAAGAAAGAATTCAAAACGGCCATAAAGCCAAAGTATTTATAAATCGGAATCAATAAAAACTCTGTAAAAAAATAATCCATTTTGGTCGAAACCAACACAACACATGAGAGAGAAATAATTCAACGAAAACTACAAAATGCACAAGACCTGGTTGTCCGGCAAGACAACAGAAGAAAATCAAAATTAATCGTAAAAGACATTGACGAAGAAGTGACCATAGAGAATTTCACCGAACACCTTGTGAGACAGAACGCATCCCTGGAAATTGAACCAAGCGCGATAAGGCCTGTCATCTTTCTGAAGAATCGACGGAACAATAGGAGGATCCACGCGGAACTCGAAACCGATGCGGCCACAAGAACCAAACTAATACATAACAAGATAGGAATGGGCCACAAGAAGGACTGGGCAGAAGACTATTGGAGGATTCGTCGGTGCACCAAGTGCTGCAAATTCCACCACTTCGAGGAACGTTGCCAAGGGACGACCACCTGCCCCAATAGCAGCGGCAACCAGCAGCTGAAGGACTGCTACGAAGCAACTCGTAAGTGTCCCAACTGCTCTAACTTTAACCGACATGTCCGACAAGACAAAAACAAAACAGACCATAACCATTCTGCAATAGACCGAAACTGTCTCTCATTCATAACAGAAATTAAGAAACTAACACAAAACACAGACTACTAACTTGACTTCTGTATGGACAGACTTCTAAAGATAATAGAGAAAAATACACATCATTCGAAATCAGTGACAGATCACTTGAAATATTTTATACAAAGCGAAAACATAGACATTACTCTTATTCAAGAACCGTATACAAGAAATAAAAAATTAACAGAATATTCACACAGATATCAAATTTACCAAACATATGACATCAAACCCAGAACTGCAATCATACTCAACAACAAACTTGCTAATGCAATATTACTATCCCAATATTGTGATTCCGACTTTTACAACATAGAAATCACTATCATACAATCAAAATTCATTTTTATAAGCTCATATTTTGACGAACAGACAGACATTAACAAAGACTTCGAAAAGATTGATGCAATCATAAATCAATACAAAAATTACCAAATAATTCTATGTATCGATTCGAACTGCCGATCACGTTTTTGGCACGACTCTGAGATTACCCCAAGAGGCCGAGCTTTAGAATCATACATTATGTCTAATCACCTAATATTAATTAATAGACCTTCTACGATGACTACATTTGAAAGATCAAGGGGAAGAAGCAACATAGATATAACTAACTATATGCACACCCAACGCAACCAAATGTATACAGCAATGGAAAATACTTGATGACAGTAACTTTCCTGACCATAACTCAATTTATTTTTAAATAACGACAGTTATACACCATTTACCCTAATATTGTACAGCAGCAGCAGCAACTTCTCCCCACCACTATAGAGAGGTCTCAGTAGTAAGCAGTAGCAGTCAGTAGTGTTGTGGCTCTCATTATATAACACTGTACTTGTGTTTTTTATACCAATAAAGTTTTTTTTTAAGTTGTTCGTGGATCAGAGTTAATAATTGGCGCCCGAACACAGGGACTGGGTTACCATTAGTACCACATCATTTAATTTTGTTTTCCAACAATCAAGCTTATACAGGAAACTGTACATACATCAAAACTGATTATTATTGCACAGATGTTTTATTAAATACTAATACATGTATTAACGAAGTTATCAAAAATGATATTACCTCTTGTAAAACTATTACTATTAATAATCAAAAATCATTTATTAGATATATTGAAGATATTGATGTATATATATTGTATAACCAGAATGTTCTATATCCACTCCCTAATACTACCTTACCCATTCCTATACCCAAAAGTTGTGTATTAAAGTTAGGATATAATGATTCTTTTGTAAATATTACTAGAAACAAGGATATTAGTATATTACCTTTATCTTACTCATATGAAATATTTAGTTTTAGTCATTCCAATATATCTTTTCATAATTTAGAATATATAGAAACATCTAGAGTAGAATTAGATAGTCTTTCATGGCATCATAATATGTCTATATCTGAAATATTGTATATAATTTCCTCACTTATTGTATTTTACTTATTCTCATATCATATATACCTGAAGTATCCACATGTTAAAAAGCTCTTTTCAGTTAACATATCAGTTATCCCAACGGTAGAAGTATCACAGCAATCAACTTTCAACCCCTGGTCAAATTCTCAAGCAATTCTTCGCTAGGAAGCTCGAATCTTCGGATGGGAGGAGTTAGACACCATTTACCCTAATATTGGAGTACATCATCAGCAACTTCTCCCCACCACTATATATATGCCTTAGTAGTAAGCAGTAGCATGGACGAACACACACTAAGGCAACGAACAGAAATACAGAAGTGGAAAAAAAACACAAACGATGGGTCATAAAAAACCTACCAAAGAACACCAAAATTAAGGACATTGAGGAGGCCTTCAGCCCTCTAGGAACTACCAACATAAGGAGACACCACAAAACGGACGCTGAGGAAAAGAAAACACCTCTATCACCGGTAATAATCACCTTACCAGCGAATATAACAGTTGAACAAATTAAACAAATAAAACATGTAAACAGATGTCTGTTCACGGTTTGTAACTACATACCAAAGAAAACTGACTCGGCTCCCCCTCAATGTTACAGATGACCAGCACTTCGTTCACACCAAAAATGACTGCCGATACCAACTGACAGGTGTAAGATGCGGGGAATATCATCACATCCTCGACTGTCCCCGAAGCAGCTCACCAAAATGCAGCAACTGCCAAAGAAATCATGTTGCATCTTACAGATCATGCGAACGCAGGCAGAATCTCATAAAAGAGAACGAGAAGAGAAAAATGGAGAAAGCAGTAGCCAATCAGACAGTTCACCTCCAGCTCTCAACCAGTGAAGACCTTCCGAAGACCTGAAGACCTTCTGCCAACCTAAGTGTTCCCAGGCCCAGTTTAAGAAATCTTGTGTAGATAGCGCCCTCAAGCTGCCAAGGTCCATACATATCTCTTGGAACCTACCTTGTCAGCAGCCCTCAGGGACAAGGGCAGCGTTGCTCTCGCAAGACTCTCAGTGCCTAGTGTTTTAGTGACAGTGTAATTCTTGTCCAGTAACCTGGGAGTTGTTCGTTAACCGATAACCAGTAAACAATGTGTTTTGACCATTAACCGGTAACTAGTAACCGGTTCCTTGCAGCAGGTTAATCGGTAACCTATAATCGATACGTGTGTCGCGAAACCTTCAACCAGTGCGAGCGTGAACGGCAAACAATTTTTCGGAGTGTTATCGATCCAAGTGTAAGTGCAAATTATGGAAAAAGAACAGACTATCTCCCTTCCTAAATCGCCAGAAAACAGCAATGAAGAAGGTGTTTGTGCCCCTTCAAATATCACCCGAGAAACCAGAGCAATGGCTGAAAAGAAAAAGAAAAATAGAAACGTTCAACAGCCCCAGCCTCAAAATATAGAAACTTCAAAGAAATTCGAAGTACTTGTCAACTTACCAGCAGAGCCAGAGTCCACAACCGAAACAGAAACAGAAACCCCTACTCCAACATATAGTCGTCGTAGCGAAAATACACACCGCATCCCAAGTCAAAAAGTTCTTGGATAAAATAAAAATAAAATCATACTTCTTGAGACAGAATGGTTCAAGGATAAAAATAATCCCAGATTCACAGGAAGACCGAAATCAAATTATCCATGGCCTCAAAACACTAGAAATAGGATTCCACACTTATGCAAACAGAAATACAGAAGTGGAAAAAAAACACAAACGATGGGTCATAAAAAACCTACCAAAGAACACCAAAATTAAGGACATTGAGGAGGCCTTCAGCCCTCTAGGAACTACCAACATAAGGAGACACCACAAAACGGACGCTGAGGAAAAGAAAACACCTCTATCACCGGTAATAATCACCTTACCAGCGAATATAACAGTTGAACAAATTAAACAAATAAAACATGTAAACAGATGTCTGTTCACGGTTTGTAACTACATACCAAAGAAAACTGACTCGGCTCCCCCTCAATGTTACAGATGACCAGCACTTCGGTCACACCAAAAATTACTGCGGAATTAGTGTGTAATTTTTCTAATGTCAGGAGGCATATGGAGAAAATGTATCTAAAAAAAATGAATCCAAAGAAAACACATGGAGTAAATTATTTAGAAGAGGACACAAAAACAGATGGGAATAGTAATAATGAACAAGATTTTTTTTTTTACTTAGAACAGATTCTTTTAGAGGATAATGAATCATCGACTTCTTCTAATTTAAATAAACACATGAACAGAAAACATCCAGGCGTTTCTCTAAATACTTTTAAAAAAACTGAAAAGGGCAGTTTCCACACATGTTTCAGAAGTTTCAACAGTACCAACCACATCACCAGCCCATACACCAACATTCGATTTATTTCCTACATCTCCCCAATCTGCATCAACATCAGATAATACATCTAATGTTGAATCTCATCAAAGAATAAGCACGAATAGCTCTAAGCAACAAAACCTTAGATCGTTTTTAAAGAAGAAGCTATCTGTCCCTGAAAAAAAAACACATAGATGAAGGATTGATTTTGTTATTTACAAAAGATTTTCAGCCCTTCAGCATTGTTGAAGATGAAGGCTTCCGCGTTTATTCATCTCGCATGAATTCGAATTATGTATTACCCTCTAGAAAAACAATTTCTCAGACATTGACACCAGCAATGTATGAGGAAGCAACAATTAATTTTAAAAAAATTTATTTAAGTGAGGAGATATTTTCAGTAACTCTTACAACCAATTGCTGGACTTCGCCCACCGAAGATAGTTTTATGGCGATAACGTCCCACTACATAAAAAATCAATTTGAAATTAAATCAAACGTGCTAGAATGCTTCTCTTTCCCCAAGCAACATACAAGTGAAAATTTGGCTTTGGAGTTAGACTGAGTACCTCAGGAATGGAGGATAAAAAATTAAATTTTACTATGCATTAGTGACAATGCAGCAAATATAAAAAAAAGCCATAACAGATATTTTAAAATGGAAACATTTTGGGTGCTTAGCCCATACGATAAATTTAATTGTGAAAAATGCCCTAGAGAGCGAATCAGAAGGAGATTTAGGATCGCTTACAAAAAAGATTAAGGCCATTGTCAATCACTTTAAACATAGTACACAATCAACCCAGAAATTAATTGATACTCAGAAACAAAATGGGCTTGAACCCAAAAAATTAATTCAAGGTGTCCCGACAAGGTGGAATTCCACCTATAATATGTTCTCCCGTTTTGTTTCACTCGAAACATCCATTCGGACTACTTTACCACTCATAGACAAACCCATTGAAGTACTATCACCAGAAGAATGGGTTATAGCATCAGAAATTACTACTGCCTTACAACCCATGAAAGAGGTAACTGACCACATAAGTGGCGAAAACTATGTGACAGGGTCCTCTATTATAATTTTATTCCAAGGAATTTTGGATTTATATAACAATATGATTGAGGATAATCCCAATTTTTCTTCATCAGTTAAATTGTTAATTAATAAATTAAAGGAGGGACTTGAGGATCGCCTGGGAAATTTGCAGGGAAGCAAAACCCTTATTACAGCTACGTTCCTCGATCCCAGATTCAAAAATATAGCTTTCCCTTCAGAAAAAACAGCCAAAACAGCAAAAATAAACATCATCAATTTGGTGGCCAGCCAAATTAATCAACATTTAGGAGAAGGTCCTTCAGGTGGTACAGTTGAAATGAGTAGTGATACTCCTTCGACAAGTTCCACTCTTGTAACAAAGAACACTCGCTGCATTTAATACATACAGACGAATTGCAGGTAATTAATTAATTAAATAAGCCAGCTGGGACCCCGATGTCAGTGGCCATCACAGAAGTACAACGTTACCTGGAGGAACCGCTACCATGTGAAAATAGCGACCCGCTGAAATGGTGGCGGGAACATTCCTACAATTTTCCATTTCTGTCAAAAATTGTTAGACAAAAATTTTGCACAGTGGTAACATCAGTCCCATGTGAAAGGGTTTTTTCTAAAACCGGCAATATTTTAAACGAAAGGAGGACTCGGCTGTCCTCAGAAAAAGTAAAAAAGATTATTATTTTTTTGAAATATACAAGTTTATTGATTGTAAAGTATTTATTACAGGGACAAATATGGCACTAAAGGAATAAAATATATATCGGCACATATTTAATATATATTTTATTGTCCAGTAACTAGTATCAATCCAATGCTTAATTTAATAAAATATGTATAAAAAGTATTTAAATATATTTAAAGTATTAAAATATCTGATACAATTATTAAGATATCAAGCCCAAGCGCCAGTATGCATACTGCTCGAGTATCTAATCCAGGTATCAGATAAAAATATCACATAAAAATATCCGATGCGGGTATCCGATAAAAAAATATATATATATGTATATATATATGTGTGAGTATGTTAAACTTAGCTATAAAGAATTTTTTTAATTGTTACAAAATTCTTAAGAACGTTGTATTAGGAAAATATTTTCTCTGCATGAATTTGTTATATTTTTATTTAATATATTCCATTCTTTTGTCAAATATGAAGCATATTTTGTTTAAAAAATTGTGTAAATATTTTCATAGAACATGACATAACTATACAGTCATTAGAACTATTATAGTTAAAAATGGTGTAAAGTATTTATTACAGGGACAAATTTAATAATAAAGGAATAAAGTATATATATAGGTACATGTTTAATATATGTTTTATTAGGTATTAAAAATATCAAACCCGATCAATAATCAATTACAGTTGGATTAAAATATCTAATACAATTATTGGGATATTAAGCCCAAGCGCCATTATGCATACTTTCAATTTATTCCATGTGATTTATTTATTTTCTAGTTCTTATTCACCTTGTGATTGATATGGTTGAGCTATTATTAAATCTTCAATTAGAGATTTTTCTCTCCCCTTTTGTGTCGGCCGGCTTTTCCTTTGTCGTCTCACCTCCTGCCCGGTAGGTTGCCTATTCTGCCATATTATTTTATTGATTGAGTTTGCATATCTTATCAATTTTCTTGATTCTCATCATGCCTAAAACACATGGAAAAAGAATCCTCCTGGAGAAGATGAATCTCCAGAACATCCCCAATCTACCTCAGGTAGTAGGAAGGAACACACCATGAAGGCTACCACCCTTGAGCGCATGCTCACTGACTTTGAACTTAAAATCCAAGGAATTTCTAAAGTCGATGAAGGAAATCTTGTTGGTCGAGCCTTCTTTGTTTTTAAGGCCAAATTGGATGCTGCTGAGTCCTATTGGTCAAGATTCCAGGCCACGTGGCATGAGAGAACTGAGTTGCAAGTGCTGATAGGAGAGTCAGATGATTTCCCATCGAACTCATGGAGCGATCGCCACTCTGCTTTGGAGAACGAGATTATTGAAGCAAACGCCACTCTTCTCTAGGTTCAAGAAACCCAAGCAGCACAACAAAGACAATCAACAGTCTTTCATCCTGGTTCAACACTTCATTCCTCTATGACCACTTCTTCTAAATCTCAACTTCCGATTCCCAAGTTTGCTGGCGAGATTCTGAAATGGACACATTTTTGAGATACCTTCGCTTTTATGGTGCACGATGAGCATGGCTTGTCAAATGTGGAGAAGTTCCATTATTTATTAGGAACATTGAAAGTAGAAGCCACTGCTCTCATCTCTCGCTTTCCCGTCGAAGACAGTTCCTATGTCCAGGCTTGGAAGAAGGTCCTCAAAACCTACGACAACTCCAGAATTTTGGCCAGCCTTCTCATAAATAGTGGATTGCAAAATCAAGACAAACTGGAGCGAACTTCAACACGATGAATTTCTCAATGATGTTGCTGAAAGCATCGAATCATTTTACTCCTTGATATTGGAGAACCCTGAAGAGTTTCTTCTATCCACTTTAGCCTTACGAACACTTCTTACAAACACGAAGCCACCGCGACACACGAAAAAAATATAACTCGACACGGGATAACTCGTTGTTCCTCCAAATACAGGTGCAGACATGTTAAGAATAAACATCACACTCTCATTCACTCCAAACCAAGTATGAGACTAGGTCCAACGATGGAAATCATGATCAAACGGAGCCTGAAGCGTTAATAGGATTTGGATCGACCCGTCATTCTCCTAACTTGACCAATAGTATGGTTATGCTTCGAACTGCTCAGGTTCTTATGGTTGAATGACAAAGGAGATCTTCAAGTTGCAAGTGTGGTCCTCGACTCAAGAAGCCAGCACACATTCATAACTACATCTCTGGCGAACAAACTCAAATCGAAAATCTTGCCATTCAAAGGCTGCATCACAAGCCTTGGCAAATCAGCTCTCCCCAAGTCACAGCTCAGAGGCTCCATAGATTATGACATCCCATCCCTGCGAGGCAATCATAAATACCAGGCAAGGCCCATCATGATTGATTGAATAACGTCTGGTTTTCCAAGTCGCAGTTTACCTATGAGTGCCACCGAAAGTTTCCTTCAGCTTCCCCTGGCTAATAGCAATTTCGGGTGTCCAGAATCAATCGATCTTCTGATTGGCGGTGACATTCATCCTCGAGTCATTTCTGGAGCTCCTTATCACTCTGAAGTCCAGGATTTATACCTAACTCCCAATGTATTTGGTCTCGTCGTATCGGGCACTTTCAACAAGGTCCCACCAAACTCCAACTTTCCTTTTTTACAGAATCCCACCTCAACGTAGAAAACCAGTTAAAACGGTTATGGGAGATTGAAGAGCCTGCATCCGTAGACAGAAGCGACCCTCAAGACAAATTCTGTGAGGATCATTTCCTTCGCACACACCGGTGTTCCCCTGATGGCAGGTATATCGTCAGACTTCCCTTCAAGAAGAACATTTCTGAGATAGGAAAGAGCAAAGAAATGGTCTTTTGACGATTCCACGCCGTCGAGTACAAACTTAGCAGGAACTTACCATGCTTTCAGAAAGGTTCTCAGAGTTCATGACAGAGTATCAGAAGTTAGGGCATATGTCACCTGCAACAAAAGTCTTCTTATCTCATCCTCTTTTCACCATGGGGTGTGGCAGGATGATGTACAAGGCAGTAAGTTGTACAGTCTTCAACATAAAGCTTAAATGATGCCCTTCTATCAGGTCCTGGTCTGCAGGGCGACCTGTGCAACATCTTGATTTAGTTCAGGCTCTACGTCATACCCCTCTGTGCGGATCTCGTAAAAATGTATCACCAGATCCTGCAGCATTCATTCGATAGAAGATTCCAACATATTCTTTGAAGAGAAAGGCTATCAGATTGGATTGTGAAATTTGAATTGAACACCGTCACATATGGGGTCAAGTCTAGCGCATTTCAAGCAATCAGAAACTTCTAGCAAGTCATCATAGATGAAGGCGCAAATTATCCAATGGCAGCAGACCGGGTCTTGAAAGACATGTACGAAGACGATATCGTCAGCGGCGCCGTTACCATGGAGGAGGCTATGTAACTCCAGAGTGGATTGCGCGCTCTGTTCCAAAAGGGAGTGTTCACGCTTGGCAAGTGGGCTTCCACCATCTCTGATCTCATCCCTACCGTCACTGATTCCATCCCATCCATAACTCTCTAATCTCCAGATGATCATTGCATGAAGATTCTTGGCCTTATCTGGAGCTCTGGGGGCGACTCCTTTTCATACACTGTCCGCTCACCACCAACGCATGAGATCACTAAGTGCGCCATGTTGTCCGTCGTGGCAAGAACTTTCGATCCTCAGGGTTTGCTTTCTCCTGTCAATTATTGGCGTCACGTGCCTTCAAAGGAGAATCCTGAAGGAGAATCATTCCCAGCAGGCTTAAAGACGAAAAACTCTGGTAGAACGGATCATCCTGGCTATTTTCTCCTACAACTGAATGGTACACACCCACCGAAACCAAAGTTTCAATGAGTGCATTTTCTCTACACAGGTGTCCGATTCACTCTTGTTCTACTGGTGAATAAAAATGGAAGAGTAGAACACTCAAGCCTTACTGGACCCGTAGAGGTGAGAAGGAAGGGGGTCACCCAGCTGACCACAGCACCAATGACACATAATTGAAGCATCATCAATAACCTCAGTCATCATCATGCAGCCACAGCCATGTAATTCAATAGTACGAATTCAAATTTCACTAATAATATTGTACCCCCTTTACATTCAAACCCCCACCTCTAATGTAATAAATTCGATATATCAATATTTATCCATCATACAGTCCATTCAATTATTCTTACTAGCCCACTTTCCTTTCAGTATCAGATCATATTGGAAATGATGATATAGATCCCAATTCAAATCAAGAAATAAAAGCTTTTACCTTGCTTTTCTGGATATAAAAGCTGCGTTTGACTCAGTACCAAGAGAAGAATTATTTAAAGCCCTGAGAGCAAAGAAGGTGCTGAATGGTTTACTACTTGCGATACAATCAACATACCAAGCACCAAAGGGGATTGTAAGAATTAATAGTATGGAGTCGAAGTGCTTCCCGATAGAAAAAGGAGTAAAGCAGGGAGACAGTCTGAGTCTTCTACTGTCTTTATTGATGAAATAATAAAAACTTGTAAGAAGAGAGCAACAAGAGCTATAATTGAGGACTGGAATATGAGAACCATACTGGCACAAGTAATGGTATATGCCAACAAAATTCTCCTCTTTGCTGACTCTACAAATAATTTCCACCAATCTCTAGTAGAGTGGGAAGCAGAACTGGGAAGGAAGGGCATGAATATTAATGAAAAAGCAAAATCCTACATGTAGGACGAGAGCCCAATCAAATACTTATAAATTGCAGAAATGAGGAGCTTGAAGTTTTAGTTGGAACTGATCTAACTCCTACCTTGGAACTCCTACCTCGGAAATGGAAAAGTCCAACCAAAAACATCCCACAGGATAGGAAAAGATAATGGTGCTTACTATTCCATTAGCAATACAGTCGTAGGAAAGAGAGATGTAAATAAAGATACGAAGCTCCACATTTTCAAGGCTGTATATATGCCTATTCTGCTATATGCGAGCTGGGTCCTCCGGGACAACAAATGAAGCCAAATAAGTGCAGACGAGATGAAATATGTGTGTAGTGTGGCCTCAAAAAAACGCAGAGATAGAATCAGGAATGAAACTATAAGAAAAGAATTAAACATTCCTGGTATGAAGGAGACAGTTGAGATGGTATGGGCATGTGTGAAGGATGATTCCTGATTGTGACCCAAGCAAATTTATGGAGGTAAGACCAGTAGGTACTAGACCTAGAGGAAGACCAAGGCTTAACTATAATAGCTGTATTTCCAACTTGGGACAAGCGAGAGGAAAGACACTGCAGAAAATGACAACTCTTGCGAGAGACAGGGCTACATGGAGATCCTGGGTCGGACTAACCTAACTCGACGCTGAAAGGCATAACGAAGTTAAAGAAGAAGGAGAAGGATTTCAAGTTCAATAATTTATGCTATTTCATGAATGATCATTCAGACAAAAATTGATTATCTCATGTGGTTTTACAGCAAGAGTTGTTAAGTTCTAGATTATTATCTAGATTAGAAGTCCTTAAACTATGGCCTGCGGGACAGATCCGGCCTACGATAGCTTCTTTGGTACATGGTAAAATTTTAAAAACTAGTAAAAAAATACGAAATTTAGCTAATTACTCACACAAGAGCTTATTAATACAAATAATTATATTATTACTACAATATTATAATTACTACAGCATTCATTGCATGTTTTGTTTTTTTTCACTAAGAAAGCTCATTTCACAACTCAAGTGATCATCCAATTCCAAGAACCAATTGAAATACTATCAAAAAGTTATCACCTAATAGCAAGAACCCTAACAGTATAAAAATCAGATAATAAAATTCAATACTAGCTAATTATTTAATAAAGTATAAATCAGTGGATTTCCAAACTTTTTTTATGAGTGGTTGAGTATATATTCAGTAAAATTGAATTTTTAAGTTAGTTAATAAATCAAATATACTAAAGGAAATTTCAAGTTTCCAGAAAAAAAAATTCCCAAAATGCAAATCCACATAACATATTCATAAAACAAGAACTGAGGGCCTTGATGCAACCAGAAAAGAACCAGGAAAGACTAAATGTCTGTTTTATTGCATTTCAATCTATGGAGAATAATGCATTTTCAATTGGTGCAAGAACGAGGCACCAATGTAACATCAGCCCACTCCTCTTGTGTCCTACTGGACCAATGTTAATATCTTTATCTTTGAGGCTTAAACAAGATTAGTCCAGGTGTATGGCAGAATCATTCAAAGCTATTTTGCCTACTAACCTCTGAAGTTTTCTCATTTAATTTCATTTATGATTCTGGACTCACCTAATTTCTCCTTCAAGGCTCTCAATTATTTACAGTGTAATTCATAAGCATAGAGTAATATAAATTTAATCATACGCAGAGAGTAGTATCACCAAGAAAGAGAATCACTGAGCAGAGATGTTAAACTTTCTTCGGATATTAATCTGAAAAATATTAATAAAAGTTGATTCATTAATCATAAAGTTAATTTAAACAAAGTAAATAATATAAATATAAATTATCAAAAATATTAATACCAGCCAATAATATAAATAAGGAACGGCAGTATTGTTAATATCAACATTTTTTAAGTAAAAACTTCGGTACTTTTTGTCTAGCGGGCCGGCACGAAACTTCACTTGTTATCTATCATATCTAATGTCACGTCCACATAACCTCCCTCTTCTTATCCCGCCAAACCTTTGAGTTATTGCATTGTTTAGTTTTCAGTTATTTCCTTATTACGTTCACTTATTAAATTCTTTACTTTTGGCCCATTTGTGTTTATTTTTAGTTTTTGGCCCGTTTGTGTTTATTTTTCATTTTTTTTTAGCTTGTGGCCCCTTTGTGTTTATTTTTCATTTTTTTTCCGTTTATTTTTGTCATATTATGGATCTTCTTAGAATATGGGATTTGCCGCCTTCAGAAGAACAGGCAATTCAATATTTTCAAAATGTTGGGATACTTGCAGACGTGAAATTGTGTGAATGAGGCCATCGAACAAAGTTAACCAGGAACGCCAAATGGAGATGCTTTTGTAGGACTTGTGACACAAAACTCTTTAAATGTTTTTTTATTATTTCATTTTCATCTTTTATACCTACATATGTTCTTCAAGTGTTTTTATATTATTTCATTTTGATGTTTTATGTGTACATATCTTCTTAAAGTGTTTTTTTATTATTTCATTTTGATGTTTTATATGTACATATCTTCTTAAAGTGTTTTTTTATTATTTCATTAATATATGTGTCGTAAAATAAAAGTATTTTTTTTGTTATTACATTAGTGTTTGTATCTGTTTACACTTTCAATAATATGAATTTAATACAATAATACGAAGAAATGAAGTAGGAGAAGGCTTATCAATGCATTATGGGAATTATCAGTGTTCAGGTTATAAACATTGGCAGATAGCAGTCAGTGCCTGGCCCGCTAGACAAAAAGTGCCAAAACTTCTTTAGACGCATTTTGGTTTTTTTTGTGGAGAGTGAATTAGATTGATCAATCAGATTTTAATACTCGGGTAAAGTCAGCTATAGTCGACTAATAGAAATGTTTTACATATGATTGAAATATCTCAGAAAATAAAAATCGGGCTTACATACTGTATGCAAGAAAATTGTTTAGCATTTCATCCTCTCTGTAATAAGTTAAAATTCAAAAATATATCTCAACGCTGAAGGAAAAGATAGTGTCAAGAACCAAATGATAACAAGGTCAATTGAATATATGGATTAAAATATTTAAGATATTAAAACTTAGATCTGTATACTGTAAGAGAGCAAAATTTTCACTATTTTGTCTTCTTTTTAATGAGCTATGTCTCCTTATTTCCCCTAAAGAGCCATATGAGCAAGAAGATATCAAATGCAAAGCAAGCATTGGACAGTATATGGGGTGGAATCATAATGAAAAAAAAAATACCTCTAGATAAGAAAGTGTCCATTTATAATGCTGCCATCAATTCAATTGTAAGCAATGCAGCCCAAGTTAGCGGCTTTGCATATGTGGAGGAGGTAGAGAAATTCAATAGGTATTTCCTTCAAAAATTATTTAATTTACCGGTTGGTACCCCTAATTATATGCTCTACATTGAGACAGCTTTTAAACGGCTGCACATATATACTCTTTCATTACATCTCAGGTATATAAATTCAGTATTGAATCTTCATGGCCCAGAGATACACCAACTTTACAGCAAAAATAATAATAGAAAAAATATATACTGATATCAAAAGCTAATAAACTTAGAACTAGTTTTGGGGATTAATTTGACAACAAATACTCCTAAACTGGATAAGCAGACCATTCAAGAGCTGTGCAATAAAGTAAATGAAAAATATAATAAGGATGATTTGCAAAGAGCAAGAAGAGCAGAATTTTATTCTCGTTATGCCCAGCTAGACCATAATCTATTTAATCATTATATAACAAATGATGCAAGCCCAGGGTTTGTTATAATAATTCTCTTAGCAAGGGGGAACTTTTAGATTTGAACTGCCAATGCTGGAGACGTGATATAACTTGCACGTGCTCTCTATGTAATATAGATACCTCTGAAGACACCTACCATTTATTAGCCATTTGTCCGATGGCATGTGTCAATGTCAACACTTTCAAAAACCATTATCCCACGAGAGGAAATGATAAAGCTCCTTAATGGTAAAAATCGGTCCCCACTTTATAAATATACAGTACAAGCCTTAAAGTATAGAAAATATTTAGTCAAACAATTTAATTTTAAAGGCGATGACCCGACGGACGGACATAGTCCATGTCGTATATGTTAAAATATATGTATATAGATTAACAAAAAAAATATTTGTATTCATTTTTTAAATATTTGTAAGATCTTTATTATATCATTCTGATTAATAATAAACATTATCTCTATATATTCTATATATATTCTAAAATTCACCTCATTGTGTGTGTTGGTACAGAAGCACTGTACATCACACAAAAAATTAAAGCACCTTTTCTGATTCCATGAACTTTATGATATTCCGAACACCAATAAGTTTCAAGGGGCTTGTGACTTTTATCTGAAAATGAACAGATCCAATAACATAGTGAGTTAACAAGCTATAAATAAGACAAATATTAATTTAATTTTTAAAGAATAAATGATAAAAAATCTAGTGCCGTGCGCGCATCACACGACTTCCACTTATTAAGCTTAGAGTAGATAGCTATTTTATTATAGGAGGTCGAAGTGAAAAAGATGGTATAACTTGCTTTAAAACAATTGATTACCATGTTTTTCCTGCCCAACGAATCAGTTAAATTTATACATTTGCATCAATTTCCATTCCCTTTTACGACTGTGTATAATATCAAACAACACTAATGATTATGGGGAAAATGGGTCCTTTGGGAAAAATTCCGAGTTACATCAGAAACATTTATCACGAAACTCATCAAAAAAATAAACTTCACAATAGTAAATATTGCATATTTATGTGCGAGCTACACTGTTCACATACACACACACACACAGACCAATTCGCAGGACTTGGTTATTTGAACTCAGGGAACCTCAAAATGTGTATTTCCGTTGAAAATTCAGATTTGAAAATTTTCAAGATCCCAATATTCTTACTATATATTACATATATATAAGTAAGTGAAAGCAAAAAGAAAGAGCTCATTTTTCTTTTACTATTTTCGTTTTCTTTTATAATTAGTGCCAGTCAGGTAGTTAAGGATATAAAGAATGAATGTGTAACGGGAAAGTGTTATGATACAATACAATGGATTGATCGAACAAATCATATATTTACAGACCTTGGGCAACCTGGCCAATGTAAAAATTACTTAATGGAGTGGGGTTGTTGAGCCAGCTAACTTGTGTACAAAATGCGTGTTGCCCGGCAATCTGATAAACTGAATATTATGTGCTTGAATCGAATTCCTGTGCTGGGGACATTTCGTTAGGATAATATCGAACCACATTCCTTATCCTTGTTAAGGTAATCTAACATGACCCCTTTACATTGGCCAAGAGTGATGGATAGTAAATAGCCTGTTCGACGGCAATCGTAAATAACCTATTCATCGCTAATTGCAAATAACTTTCCGCTTTGTTGGAGGTCTTGGTTATTTATACTCGTGAGTTATAATTTTAAAACAAAACCCCGGCACTGGATATAGACTTTTTCAGGGTGTTGGTGAGAATTCAGGAATCTAATGCTTTTGTGACACTGAGAGACAAGAAATAATAAGAATATATGTATATATATATACATGAAATATGGGACTGAGTAAACAAACTTTGAATGAATCGACTTACCTGGCTTGTTATTCTTTAATTGTGGCATATAGGACAACTAAATAAAAGGACTATCCACTCCTGCATAACAAAATAATTTATTTCCACGACTGTAATAAATGAATTGATCTTCTTAATCTTCAGTGGAGTGGACCTTTCTGCTCAGGTAATATCCTTCAGTCTTGCTGTCCTGGTCTCAAATGAAGTCTTCTTTGTTCTTCCAGCGTGCTGCCACTTCCCGGCACTTTTCCAGGCTTCTTCCTTTTTTTGTTGTGTACCTTTTTTGCCGATTGTTTATTGATTTGATACTTTTAAATAAACAACTTGTCCACTGTACAATTGAGTCCAATTCATAGTGCAACCCTACATTCCTATACACTCCTTATTCCCTCACTTAATGTCACATAAAGGAGTAAATACTAGAGAGCGTCTACTACAGTGGTTTAGTCAAGTAGATCAAATGGCTGAGAACCAAGTGGCCAAGATTGCTTTGGAGAGTAACATAGATGGAAGAAGGCCTTGGGGAAGGACCAGGATTACCCGGGAGGAAGGTCTCAGAAGAGATATGGGCTGGAGGAGGAAACAGCAGTTGGCACAGGATTAGGAGTTGTGGGTTCGGCACAACAAGAAGGCTCCTCACACCACTCAACAGCAGAAAAAGAAACAATTAAGATGAAGATATATTAAGAAAACAACTAAAGTACTTTTGATTTCTTTTCTGAACAAAACACGTTATGAAAATTTTAATACAGATAAATATTATATCTTACCACAATCGACTAACGAAGCTGCCGCTTGATAATAAAATGTCTTCAGAACTTCACTGGGAGATCTGCTCTCCTTCTTGCTTAACATTGAACAACTGCTCAACAAATACTTTCCTATTTTTTTATCAACAAGAAGGAACCTTTAACAAGAATTGCAACTTGTTAATTGTGTATTACATGTTATTTAAAATGTAAATGATAAAAAATCACTTACCCTAAGACAGAGGAATGGAGCTGTACAGTTGAAGGTATACTGTGAGGACGTGCATTGAGCATGGACCTTAATGAAGCAACCAATGGAGACCAAACCTGAAAAGCAGTCTGTTGGATCGCGGCTAGATCAGGCTTGGGTCCACAGAGCACTGTCACCCAAACTCCAATAATGAGGCAGACTCCAACTAGTCGAAACGGTACCTATTTATAATCTTCATTAATTAATTATGTATTATAGTATGACTTACAGTTAATAAAAAAAGTCTGGGTACATCATTGCCTTAAATTATTTTACTGCAATAAACAATAAAACAGAACAATAACAACACACTTTATTTGCTGTTTCATAAAAGTTTAATAGTGAAGAACATGTATAACGAGGTTTGCAACAAAAATTTAAGTTTTACATCTGCAATGCACAAATAATTAATTTTTATAACCCAAAAAAGTTTTTGTACACTAAATTTTTCTAAATATTTTTATTTAACATTATATTGATAATATACAATTTGCAGGAATCAAAGGTATGTAGGACCTCCCTTATTTTTTATCATTGCTCGTGGACGGTTATTCATCAACGAAACTAATTTTTTAGTGATTTCAGGCTCAATTTGCTTCCATTCATACGTTAATACTTCATTAAATTGTGATTTGTTTTTAATCTTCCTTTTTTTCAGCCTTCACTTTAGTTCATCCCATAGATGTTCGATTGGGTTAAGGTCCAATGATTGGTATGGAGTTTTTAATTGTCTTGGGGTATTATGGAGTAGCCACTCTTCGACTTACTATGCTTGATGCTTCTAATCATTGTCTTGTTGGAATATAAATGATGACCCAATACCAAGCCAAGATTCATTGCACTTGATTTTAAATTTTATTTTAATATGTCTATGTGCACGTATTGGTCCATTATACTGTCAATAATTTTCAGTTTCCCCACATCAGAAGTACTCATACAGCCCCAAACCATGATTCCACCTCCATGCTTGACCATGAGACATAAGTTTTTAGCTGCTAATGCTTAATTGGGTTTCCACCATAACTGAACTTTTTCATCAGATGAAAATAAAGCAAATTTACATTCATCACTGAAAAAAATTTATTAACAGAAATTATTAGGCTCATTCGGATTCTCTTTGCAAACAATAAACATTTACCTTAATTCACCTTATTTATAAAAGGCTTTTTCCTAGATCACGAGTTATATTCTGCATTTTTTATAACGTTTTGCACCGTTTGTGGTGTAACATTAATGGCATAATCATTTTCAAGCATACCTGCAATGGAAGCAGCACTCATTTTTTGGGCTTCATGAATATTTTTCACAATTTCTCGTTCATGGATCAGGTTATGGTTATTAATTTATGGTTCATGGATATTTCAACAGATTCCTCCATTATGATGACAAATACTATGAGATTTACTTCCTTGCATGTCGGTAAACAATCAAATACTGAATAACTCATGAATCATAAGACCTTCAGTTAAGGGATTATCATGTTTTGTTTAGGTTTTTATGTTTATAAATAGTGTAAATAAACTTTTTTTGAAAATAAGAAAAAAGCATTTATTGCACATATTATACACCATGAAATATATATTTTTTTGGATAAAAAAATATGATATTCATTTTTCACACCCTAAAAGTCCTTAAATAAGCATTTTTGTTGCAATCTAAAAATGTAAATTTTTTTATCAATATTCTGCTTTATATTAATAGTACGTATGAAATCCATCTATGTTTAAAGCTACTTAGTAGATATTAAAAAACTGTTAAATATGTATTTAAATATTAAGAAAATTTTCATTGCAATCAAAAAATAGATGTATTTTTTTGGAGGGATAACAAAATATGATAGTCTTTTTTCAGATCCCAAAAAAACCTTAAATAAGCATTTTCGTTGCAATTGAAAAATGTAAATTTTTAGCTCAATATTATGCATTTATAATATATATACAATCGAAAAATGTATTTTTTCGCTCAATATTCTGCCTTATATTAATATCTCTTGTGAGATCCATCTATGTTCATAGCTATATAGTAGATATTAAAAAAAAAAAACTTAATTTTTTTCTATTTGAAAATCACAGAAGTTCTGATAATTTCGACATGGGTCCACTTATCCACACATAAATTAGCATGAATTTGGGGGCCTCTGGCACATGAATGGCACCAAACAGAATCCAGCAAATAAATTATGCTTGGAGATATAAAATAAACGTTTGGGAAATTTTTATTTATTTATTCCTTAGAAAAGAATGAAATATCAAAGTGATCGATATAGTTTTGAAGAACAATAATTTAGTTCTCCAACGGTTGTCGTCATGTTGACTCAGGAGAAAAACCTGAGGAGTTATGAATATTTTAGTAAACGGCATGAAAAAAAAATCCTGCCATAAAATGATATCCAAACATTTTAATTTTTTTTATTTCAAAACAAACTCCTATTTAAGAGTTTTAATGAATCCTAAAAACGAATCTGAATAGTTTTTCCTTTACTTTAATGGAAGCGTCTTTGAGTTTTTGTAATTTATTATATATAAGAATACGTTTAATACAATAAGCAATATGTTTTTCTCATTTTACACAAAAAAAGCAAACGGATCGAAATAATAACTTATATATATTCAAAGTCAGAAAACAGAAACACAGAAAAACATTAAAATGTAAAATTTATATTTCAAAACCTTATACTAAACAAATAAAAACCTGTAATATATGTTTGATGAATTTAGAACCTCTTTATTTATTAAGTTAATCGATAAATAATAATTGTACTCTTCAAGGAACTTAACTATTAAGTGTTAAGAAAGTTTGATACTTAGTACATCCTGGATAATAAGAAACAATAATAAGTTTTATGAATAGTATTCTTTAGTAAATAAATTTCTGTAATCAAAAGTCATTGTTACATTCATTTATACCAGTCCAAATTTGTTTATATCAATGGAATAAGTTACATCTGAATCACAAAATATATTATATCAATAACAAGTTCTCTAAAATTCCAGATGTACCGCACAGAATTCTTTTAAAATTTCTCTACTGCTCTAAATCCAGAAACTAACATATACTACTAACTCTATAGAAACAGGCTAATGGAAAGAGCAATATATGAAACAAATCTTACTGTTGGACTCTTCCCTGGAAGAAATACTGGAATATCAAAGGCAGTGCAGTTGGAATTAGCAATAATAATATGTGACAAAAGCTTTCTCTCAACAGGGTCCAGATCCCACCAAGCATCAGTCGCCACAGCTATGCAATTCTCCACAGTCACACACCCAAACAAGGAACAAATACATTCCACATAAGACTCCAAGCATACCTATAAATAAACAAAAGGCAAACAATTTAAAATAACTAGTAATAAGACTTATTATAAGATAAGTCTAAATTACAGTAAGATAACATATTTTTAATTATAATAAGATAAGAAATAAAACAAAAATGAATGAATATGGTATCTGTCATCAAGAGTATTCGAACAAGTTCGAATATATTCTTTATTTGAAGGATTTTTACTTTCATTTAACTATAATAAAATAAAAAGCAATGAAAAGTATTACAATTGTCACACATTTCGAGTCAAGAGTTTTTAACGGAAATACATGTTTTAAGGTTACTTGAGTCCAAATTACAAGAATCACAAAATGGTTAGGGTATGTGTAGATGAACTATTAATTATTTGAAATAATTAACAATCTATCATTGTTAGTAGTAATAGAAAACGGATAAATATACACCGTCAAAGAATTTTATCATTAACTAAAGCAGAAATATATTCTCAGGTTAAAAAAAAATTTTCAGAATAAAATTAGTAATAGAAAAAAAAATTTTAGAAAAATCAACCTATAGCATAAAGTCATAGAAGGTAACGGTAAAAAAATAAAATAAAAGTAGAGAAACAGATAGGTAGAAAACATATAAAATTAATCATTTTAAAAGTTGTACCATCCATAATATTCAATATCATATACTTATATATGAAAAACCTGTATAGGGATGAATTACTATTTTCAATAAAAAAGAAATAGATAAAATGAAAATTTTAATAGTCCCTCACCATTAAAGATAGTTTTTCAGCACATAAAACAGTTTCTACACAGTTAAAAATCTGCGTTGAGCTTCCAACGTATCTATCACCGAAATCCAAACATTCCATTATTTTATCGACTAATAAATAGCAGGGCTGAAAACAAAAAAAAAATAATAAATTCAATTTTCTAAAAGTATTTATTTTTAAATGTAAAGCAGAAAACTTTATTTATCATTTATGAAACCATTAGCTATCACAAACGGCTTTGCTCACAAATATTTCATTTTCACTATTTGAAATTGTTCAAAGAACAATCATCAATTTTAGACTTAACATTTTTTTTTTCTTTTACAATGTTTAAAAAATATCTTTCATTTTGAAGGGAATTTAATTATCTTCCAAATAAGTACCTACAGTTTTCCAGGAGACCAACAGTTATTAAGTTATTCAGAGAATAATTTTGATGTTAAGGATTTAAAATCATTTTTATTAACCACTTTGGGTACTTTTTTTTTAAACCCAGCCTTGTTGCACATCTATAACATTAGGGGAGAAACTAATTAAAATGTATGCTCATAAATATTGTCACTGTTTGCTTTCCTAGCTGTAATACGTAAGAAAAGTATTGCGATCGGGTCAAATTTCCGATGTGCATTTTTTGACGGATTTATATGTTTCAGAGCCCCTTAAGTCTGAACAACACATTTTCAGTCTTTGGTCAGTTTGTCTGTCAGTGCCAAGGTTATCTCAGGCACTAGTTCTGTTTTTAATATAAAAAAACCTAATTCAGTATCTTTTTTTTTTTTTAAAGGACATATTAAAGACATAAAAACTTTTCTTAAATCAGTAGGAAAGTCATGTGAATGAACACACTAGATTTTTTAAATAAAGTGTTCAACAAATTTATGGTTAGATTGCATATTTTTTTTTTACTTTCACTTACCTATATGTGTAATACATAGTTAGGGTAAGTATTGCGATCGTGAAAAATTTCTAATCTGAGTTTTCAACAGTCCAAATAACCAAGTCCCAGAAAATGGTCGTTGCGTTCTTTTTTTTGTTCTTTCCTAACTAGCCTGTTATGCTATACAGAGTTTTCACGGGTCGTGAGGGGGAGGGGGTAAGGGTGGGGGATTTAAAATCCCCTCTGGGAAGCGAACTCATACATTTTAATCTTTCATAACATTGGCTATGCTATGCACATGCGTTAGCCCGCTTGGCCACCCCGCCCTGGTGTGTGTGTGTGTATATATACATAAAGATTTCAGTCATCTATTAACACAAATTTAGGCGTAGGAAGGTCAAAGTACCCATCACCCGGTCAAAGTACCACAGACAGCTCTGGTCCTACAAGTTGGGAATTCCTCCAAAATTAACCCATGAAGAGCTTCAGGTTCAGTACTATTTAGGAAAAGTACTGTTTCTTGTTCAACAGTTATACAAGGAGGTGATTTGACAGAGTAGACTCTCAACCGCTAGGTTTACTCCCTCACTAATAACAGCACACCACACTCACCCACACACTACACATGAAGGTCAATAACACTACCACCCTAGGGTCACATTTTCTAGGTAGCCCCCCGGAAGGAGAAACAAGTCAGATGGCTTTGAAGAGGCAGCCCCTCCCCCCTCCCCCATCTAAATCTGAGCTAATAATCTCCTCTTAAATAAAATTATTATGAAACCTTAAGATAATCAAGCTGAACTGTCAAGAATGGTGCAACATGACTCACATCATCAGGATTTCACTCAGGATTGGATTTAGAATGTTTTGACACTAGACAGTCCTGGAGCACTTCAACAACTTCTAGAGGTGTTGGACCGATAAAAATCAGTATAACTGTGCTTCTATAGTCCTGATGTAGAAAAGAGAAAGCAGTTTTGCTTGGAAGGAGTTTTGGTTTATCAGATTATAAAATATATATATATATATATATATAAACTAAACCTCAGAAAATAATTTTAAATATTACAAGGAGTGATGATTTTCATTAGTTGGAAACATTATATTGTGGTTATTTGATATAAGGTATATAAAATAACCTAAGCTTTGGGGATGTTAATCAATTACTTAGTAATAGGAAGGTATAGAGATAAATTCTTAGTAAACACAATAACTTACTCTTAATTCACGCTTCAATCTTTCAACATTCTTAATACTTTTAAGATCTTCGATCCCAACAGTAAGTATCATTGCAGCAAAAATTGTATCTAATAACTGGACAAGCACAGTTTCATCATTTAATGCTGAAACTGCAATCAAAACTACACTGAAAAATATTATAATTTTAAAATATTTTTAATGTCAGCTAAAAGCTTTATTTTTTAGAGGTTTTTAAAATATACCTCTCTTCATATTCTTTCCATAGAACAGTTGAGGATTCAGTGTGTGTATTCAACAATTTCACATCATGAGATTTACTAAATAGATGCACACCGTTCAATGAACCCACCACAGAAAATGGAAGCTGAAAAAAAAAATAGTTTTACAATTAGTATAAACATAGTGTTCAACAAATAATAAATAATTGGTGAAGTTAATGTATTAAATCTTACAGGTTCAGCTCTCCCAAGATGTCTAGTGAATAGAGGCATTCCTCCAGCAGATGTAACACACATCACATTTACCCCCATGTCTTCAGATAAATAAGTTATTGATATAAAAAATAGTATACAATAGATTATATTAAAACCTATACAAGACAGAACATCAAAATATCATTATGAGATATGAGGAAGGTAGAACAAAACATTGAATTTTGCTAAAACAGCTATGTAAAATAACATGATCCAAGTTTCAAAATATGAAATCTTGTTCTGATAAAAATTAAAAATACAGGCGACACAATCACTAATGTTATGGAATTTTATTAACGATACCATGGGACATAATTTGAAGCTATATAATAACCTTAATAGTTCGCTCGAAAGAAACTGTCGTTTCAATGCATTAAAGAATCACTATTATCTTTAGAGATTCATAAATATTAACAGATCCGCTAAATGACCCATGGAACCTCCTCTAAACTATTCGCGCCTAGCTGGCTTATCAGCAGTGCTGCCATAAACCCAAACAAACAGCACCCACTCATAAACTAGGCATTTTTTACTGAGACCAATACTTTACTTGGTAATCATTCTAGGTTAATATATTATCTTTATTAATTAATAAAAAATATCAAGTTTCCAGCTTGCGGTTGGTATAAGTAGAAAAAAAATTAAGATATATAGGACGATGGCTGATATTTCAGCCATGATTCCTTCTGGAGGACTATCCTGGAAGGGGGTTTTGTGGCTGAAGCCTCTCCAAATTTGATTTTTTTTTTTTCTAAGTGATGCGAGCTAAATATCTAAACTATCATATACCTAAACCGCTACTGCATACACAATATTAGACGAATAACGGTGGATACATTTCAGCTTGAAGTCTCCAAAATGGAAAAATTATTTTTTTTAATTGGTCCATATTTGCCTCTGTGAGTGACTTGAGCTAAACACTTGAACAATCACAATATGTACTCTTTTTAAATTATAAAGCATATAATTAAATTATACAGCTACTAAATGTAAGCATGTATTAGAAAAAATAATCTTACAACCATTACTGTTCCTGTAATTATGTTGTTATTTTTTTTTTTTTTTTAGCAGGTCTCCAAGGATTACTTAACTATCATTTATATATTTTATTTTTTATTTTAGAGTAAATGTCTAGCTCTGTGAAATCTTGAGTCCTAAATGGAAATCCAATGATAGTTATTAAAATATCTAGATTAAAATCATCTGAAGGAAGCAGTTTTTTTTTCTCAAATTAGTAGAGAGTATTTTCTTACCAGATAAAGATTAAATTTGACAAGAGTATGGAATCGAAATTTATCGAATGTTATTTATATAAAAAACTTGCTGTGGGTTTAAAAAAAATTAAATTAAATTCAAAAAGTAATTTAATAAATAAATATACATAAATTTACAAACAAAATATTCGCTTTATTTTTATTTGTTAATGTATAAACAATACTTGTTATACTCCTCGTAACTGATCTACACAATCAGCCAAAATTATTAAAAGATTTTCATCTAGTACAGTCAACAGATGGTAATTAGATTTGCTGTTGATGCTTTTTGCCAATGCATGCCATGCTTCGAATAAAATAGAATCATTAAGTATTTTCGGCCCTTGAAAATGAACGTGAGCGGCGAAAATAGCGTTTTTAGTTTTGTTACCTACCACTCCGGACTCCTCCTCTGGTATGTAAAAACCATATGATCGAAGTAAATTTTGTGCAATTGTTATTATTTTGAGAGAAATCTTCTTGTTTTTCTCATCGTCTCCCGAGATGAGAATGTTCGGGTCCTTTTTCAACGCAAGGTTCTTTCTGGGATACACGCCGAAATTTCTTTTTACAGACCCTGGATAAAGTTGAGAAGCTGTGGCGAACTCGTGCCACGGAAAATATGGACTGGGATCGATCTTATTGTAACTCCAGTCACTGTGTGCAACCATAAGATGAGGATTCAGAGTAGGAAACTTATTGCAGAGGAATTCGCAAAGTAAAATGTTGGCTTCAATCTGCTGTTTCGTGAACGGTTCATTACCAGAATTGACATTTTCGATTCCTATCGACCAGCTGTTCATGTCTCCCCTTCCGATATGTAAAATATCGTAATTGAAAACAACACCAAAATTTGAGAGTCTGGACGCGGCTAGAGTAATGAGATCGGAATTTTTAGAGAATCTTCCAGCACCGGCGTGAAATGCACGGAACTCTTCTGCTACAATACGTTGGATGGTTCCATCTTTGTCGATGACGAAGTGAGAAGAGACCAATGGAAATTGGATCGTGTGTGGTTTGTTATTATGAGTGAAAGTCTTGATAGTACTATTGTAATTACCGACAGTATGATGTTGCATTATGAATGTGGGCATACCGCCATTATTTTTCAAGTTGAAATTATTGCATTTTCCGGGCTGAGCAGAATTGAATGCAAGGCCATTTGCTGGTAGAGGAAAGGAATCCAAGTCTCTCAAGAAGTCGTCTTTGATATTGAGGTTAGATACCTCAATGATCAGAAGGCCCATAAAGACAATAACCAGAGAGTTGTGTTTCCTAGCAGCCATGACCGCAGACTAACGAAAACAAAGTGTTTCAATGTGATTCCCATGGTTAACATCTATTTGAACAGAGTGGGGGTGGACCGGATGGAGATAATTGGTAGAAAGGTGACAAAAAAGAAACAGGAAAAAGTAATTTGGGAAAATTGCTGCTCGGAGTCATTGATCGATTGTATTCACAAATGTTAGAATTATCTCATTATTATTAGCAACATCGATTCCATAAAACAAAAAGCAATATCGACAGGACGTAGTTACATAGTTTTTTTTTTTTAACCAAATCTATTGTGACTTTTATTCCTTTAATTTAAGGTAAAGTTGCATTTGGAATTTTACGTTAGTATAAAAATAACATATTAATGTACAGTAATTGACCCGAATAACAGTTCATACAACAAATATTTTTCAACAAAACGTTTCAAATTTTTTTTTCTTTAATTATGACACTGAATAAGATATCTTAAATACTATTTACTTTATTTAAATAGCTAGTGACGATAAAAAGCTTAATTAAAAAAAAAGTCCTACAATTTAGAAAAGGTTGATTGGTTTTTCAATGTCAATCCTTAAAAATAATTGATAAATAAAAAGAGCTCTGTTCATCAGATATTTCCCTTTCCATGCAATTATGGTCTGGATACATATTTAATTAAATTTAGTTTACTTACATTTTGGAACAAAAGTCTACACTCAAAAAATTGATTAAATTTATATAATTTGTTTTTTTGTCTTTTAATAAAACCATTTTATTCTGAAAGAATTTATTCAGTTATTTGTTAGTTTATTTTGTAATGTAAGTAGAGGATCAGGGTTTTAATTTTGGCTTTTTTATTTATTTTTATAACAGTAATTATTGTGGTTGAAAAATATGTGATGTAAAATCAATACAAAATGGTGTTTAAATGGTTCTTGAAATCAGGTACAAAAAAAAACAACAGACATTAATTACAGGAATATTAAAGCTTTTAGGAATACATTTTTCTCTTGACAGGTGCTAATATTTAGTAGTTTTATTTAAATGATAATTTAAAAAGTGTACATATTGTGACTGTTTAAAGCACGGGTGGATCTACGGCGGGGAGAGGGGGCTTTCGGGCTGAAGCCCTCTCCCCCTAAATGGTAAAATATAACCATGTTTTTTGGAGAAAAAAAAATTTAAAAATACCTCTTAAAGTATTATTGTTCGTGTAATTACATTTAAAAGGACTTAAGGAATCACTTAAACACCATTTCATATAGGTAGTTAGTTCCTTTCTGTTTTTCCAAAGTAATTATCGTTTTTTTTTTATGAAAAAAAAAAGTTTCGGGCTGAAGCCCCTTCCAAAAAAAAATTAAATCCTGGATCCGCTAGTGCACAGAAACAAATAAGAAACAGTGAAAGAGATATATATGTATATTTTTATATTTAGGGGGCTTCAGCCAATTTTATTTTATTCAACTTTTCTCTGATATAGTTGTTTTATTGTACTAAAATCAATTATTTTAACTCGTTACATATTTTTTTGTTTTTGTTTCTTACAATTGGCGAGCAGCGCCCCTGAAAATCAGCCGGCGCCCCCCCCCCCCAACAGCTTCTCTCTCAGGACGCTGCCCCGGGGAAATTGCACCTGAAGACCGGCACTGCTCTGAATTTAAAAGTATCGGGTATCTGTAAAAGGAGAGATCGGCAAAGATCGGGCGCTTTCGGCTGTTTCCTTATAGCTTCCAACCCTTATTTCTCCTTCAGCTATGAATAAATTTTCTTCAATAATTATATTTAAATATTTTTATATTAGTTTGTAATATGAAATAGTAAATTAATAATTTCAAATTAAAAAAAAAAATAAAATAAAGGTACTTTAGAGGAAGGAAATTTGAAAATAAGGCATTTAAAACCTGTTAGAGAACATCAAAGAGAATAAGACCTACATTCATTATTAAAAATCGCTTAATTATACTCTGATATAATGAATTCAATGAAAATCGTTTGAGCCGTTTTCGAGAAAATTGTAAAAATGTGCAAAATCGATAATATAAAGTGGCACTTCCAATTGGCCAATTTTGATAAAAAGAGTTGCTATAACATCCCAGCCATGTACAAAACTTAATTAGGCAATTTCAGTTGCGTACGAATTTTCGTTTTTGAGCTAGAATCACATACTTACACACTCACCCACACACACACAGACTATTTTGCGGGAGTTAGTTTTTTTAAATAACGTAGAGAATCTCAAAGCATGTGTTTCCATTAAAAAATCAGATTCGATAATAATTACGATCGTGACACTTTATCTTACTATATATTACATATATAGGTAAGTAAAAGAAAAAAATCTACAGTACAAAATTTGACTAATTCAAAAATACACTGATTTGTACAGATGTTTCATCAGCTGTTTAAAAACTGGCTGTAAACAAAATATGCAATTCATACAAATCTCGTGCTATGGTTATTACATAACATACCCAGGTCAGTTGCGTACATCTTTACTGTATTTCACAGTAATTGATCATTCAAAGAATTTAATATTACATAGAATGATTCTGTCAGAATCAAAATAACTAAATTGGTAGGTAATTTATTATTCTGTAAACGAGAACCAAACATTCTCAAGACCGAATTGCTGAATTGGTAAGAATTGAAGCATAGACGCCGACTAATGAAAATCATTGGGGGGGAGGGGGAGCCAAACTATAATATCACGTTGTGGGATGGTGGGGATATTGTTTGGAATATATCCTATTTGCCTATATGCAATATATTATATATCCCTATATGAAAAATTATTATCTCAGGCAAGTATTGAGTTGTTTCAAGTCCTGCCTGATGACATAAAAATGTTAAATAAGTCAAAATACTTGAAACTAAAACAGTACAATATTTTAATAGATGATTCATTTTATAGTTTAGGTGAGTTTATGAATCCAAAATGGAACACCATTAAACAAATACCACTATACCTGCTAGTAGATATATACAGTAATGGAATTCTTTGTAATGGAATTGTAATGTAAAGCAGAGGTACCCATCTCTCCCAAAGTTGATGATGCTAAAACCTCCTCCTTCCTAGATATTTTATTGCTCTCCTGTTCTTAAAAACAGTAGAATTTTAAAAAGCATAGCAAATAAATGATTAGACTTTCAGTGTTCTGTTCTCCTCTTTCCCCTTGTCCAATGGTTTGAACTTTTCATTTCGAAAATACAAAACCCCGTCAAAATGGCCCCCTCAAAAATTTTGATGGCGCGACTTGCGTCATGAAATCCTCTTCTGGGCACCGCTCTACTGGATCGAAATGTTCATGGAATTCATACCAGAGCAATTTGTTGAGAGATACTGAGCAACCTCTCCCCTCCCCCCCACCAAGCCCCGCGAGCCCCTAATAGTCGGCGCCTATGAATTGAAAAAAAAAACATTAATCCGATTTTTTTTTACAATTTTCAGTAATGCTTTCGTGATTTCTTAAAGTTTAATTTTGTTTGAAGAATATATACAGTGGATCAAAAAAGTATTCTCAGACTCCAATATTTCTGCAAATCTCAATAGGATTAAGATATTTACCAGAAATAATATTTATACAACGAAGTGGCCTTTGAGAATTATATTTTAGAAACAATGAATGTTCGGAATACAAAAGCTATGTTTAAAGTAAATATAAAGAGAAATTTTTGAGGATCAAAAAAGTGTTGGCACAGTTTTAAAAGTTAACGATTAGCTACAGTAAAATAAGCTCCTTCTTAATTTAAATTAAACTTCGAATGAAGTTTAACTATGATTTGAATTAAGCAAATTGTAATACAAATAAAAAATGGACTGTATCGATTGAATATTTATTTTAAAATATTTACAAATATTAATAAAGAAATAAAATATCTGGTGTGTTCACTCACACGACTTTCCTACCTATTACAGAAAAGATTTCATATCTTTACATAAGTTCATGAAGAAACAAAAAAAAATTGGACTAGATTTATTTTCCTGAAAATTGATCAAAGAAAAGATTTGAGTACGATTTATTTGATAAATTAAAGCAATGTAAACCGGCTAAAGGTAGATCAGTGTAAAAATTTCAATACTCTCTAATATTGCTGTTCAAAAACTTTTTGCCATAGCTTAGTATTGTCAAACAATAATTTCTGTTAATTTCCCTTTCTGACACCAGGATATGAACCCGTAATCTTACATTAGAAATGGAATAGCTGTAACTTCGTTATTAGTTGTCCAAAATGAACGATTTTTATATAGTTTTGTAGGGAATTTCATTACATTTCAAAAAACATGCTAAACGGGGGCTCTGAAACGTATAGATTCGTCGAAAACCGCATATCGGAAATTTGACCCGATTGCAATACTTTCCTTACCTAGTATAAGTAGGAAAGTAAATAGATGAAACCAATTTTACACTTGTTCTGAATAAAATAAAACTTTATATAAAATACTTTTTATAAATGAAAATAAAAATAACTAGAAATCTACGAAACTAATACTAAAATATGAAGTAAAGAAATGACATGTAACTGTCCCAAACTCCACTCAATAATAGCGAGAAAAAATATATTTCTTACACTAAAATGAAAGTTATACAAAACAATAAAAAACAAAACAAAAGTTGAACGTTACGTGGTCGGACCGCTGGCACTCCACTCCTTCCACAGTGATTATACGTAGATCTTTTTTAAGCACTCATAAATTACATAAGTGGCTGCAAATGAGTAGCAAGTCCACATAAAGAAGTATCTATATCGTTCCAGTCACAGGTGGATCTACGAGGGAGGGAGGCTTTCTGGTTGAAGCCCCCTCCCCAAAATGGTAAAAATGTAACCATGTTTTATGGTAAAAAATTATCTCTTAAAGTATTATTGTTCGTGTAATAATTACATTTAATATTACTTCAAGAATCACATAAACACCATTTCATATATGTAGCTATTATCTTTCTTTATTTTTTTTTTTTTAGAGTTGTTATCGTTATATATATGAAGAAAAAAAAGCTGTCGGGCTGAAGCCCCCCCCCAAAAAAATGAAATCCTGGATCCGCTAGTGGTTCCAGTAGGGGTGTAATGGACAGTGTAGAAGTTGGCAGCACTGAGCTCAGTAATGGATAGAGCCATACTGTGTATTGCGAAGTCTACGGGCTTAGGACTTGTTTATAGCTAAGGCTACAAATCTATAACAATTTAAGTATAAACTATTAACCAGTCTACCGAATATAAACAAGATGAGCCGATGATATATATATAATAATTATTGATTCAATTTTATGAGATAAACCAAAATAACAATTAATTATATTATTGTATAAGTAAAAAAATCAAAAAATCTGGTGTGTCCACTCACACGACTTTCCTAACTATTCCAGAATAGTTTTTTTACACATCTTTACACATGTTCATGAAGAAAAAAATAATTGAACTAGATTTATTTTCTTGAAAATTGATCAAAGAAAAGATTTTAGTACGATTTATTTGATAAACTAAAGCAATGTAAACCGGCTTAATCAGTGTAAAAATTTAAATACTCTCTAATATTGCTGATCAAAAACATTTTTCCATAGCTTAATATTGTAATAATAATGATAATATAATAATATTGTATTAATAATGATTTCTGTTAAAAGTAGAGGAAATGGTGAAGCTCGTGTGATGCGGGCAACAGATTTTCCTACTTTCACTTAGTCATCTTTTTTCTCTCATTCACCCCTTTCTGACACCAGGATATGAACTCGTAATCTTACATCGGAAATTGAATAGCTGTAACTTCGTTAATAATTGTCCAAAATGAACGATTTTTATATAGTTTTGTAGGGAATTTCATTACAAAAAAAAGTAACTATCTCTCTGAAATGGTGTTTAAGTGATTCTTGAAGTCTTCTTAAATGTAATCATAATTAAATAATACTCGAAGAAATTATTTTTTTTTCGATAAAACGGGTATATTATACCATTTGGGGGAGGGAGGAGGGGCTTCAGTCTGAAACCCTCCCTCTCCTGTGTAGCCAGCCAATTGAAAACGGTACCTCAGGCTCCGAACATAAATGCCATAAAACACCTGTGGTACCAGTTGGATTTGAAAATAAGAAGAATAAAATTTCCTTAAAAATTATTTGAAAGAAACTTCGTCAGAGAAATAGAATAAAATTGAAAAAGACGTAACTCAAATTTTTGTTTTGTCGATACCAAGAAGATTTCAGGATGTCATATAGCCTCCTTCTGTAGCCAAGGCCAAAAAACGGACCTCATCGCTGGCGAAGGTTTGAATGTAAACTATGAAATTGTATAACATTTTAATTAAAATAAGCTCTGTCTGCCATTCCAAAGTCGCTACTTTCAGAAATGACGGCCATGCAACGAGGTCCAAATTTTCCGGAAATAACCCTCATCGCAGGCTAGATGAAACTTTGATAGAAGAATCTCTCTACCCAGGGGTGCCCATCTCCCCCCCCACCCCCAGGTTGATGGCTCAATTATCTACCAGCAGCCCTCTTTTCCCAAGATATTTTATAGCTCACTTTAAAACAGACCACATCTTAAAAACAGAGCAATTTAGAATTACTAAAATCGCAGATCATATACAATTACAATCGCTGCGATCTGTTCCATGTTGTCCCATTGTTCCTTAGTCTGATAATTCATAGCCCTATCGAAATTTTTCCCCCTCAAAAATTCAAAAACCGGTCAAAAATTTTGATGCCGCAACTTGCGCCATGAAATCCCCTTCTGAGCACTCCTGTTTCTACCAACAGTGTCGTTTGTGAATGGTCTGCCGTTTATGTGCCACTGATATTGTATGGCAGACTTAATTTAAAAAATTGCAATTTCGGAGTGATAAATTTATCAACTTTAGAAGCCTTGGAATTATAACTACTATCACTAGCGGATCCAAGATTTAATATTTTTGGGGGAGCTTCAGCCCGAAATCTTTTTTTTTCATAAAAATAACGATAATTACTTTAGAAAAAAAGAAAGAAACTAACTACCTATATGAAATAGTGTTTAAGTGATTCCTAAAGTCCTTTTAAATGTAATTACTCGAACAATAATACTTTAAGAGATAATTTTTTTCTATAAAACGTGGTTATATTTTACCATTTTGGGGTAATGGTAAAATGGAGCTTCAGCCCCAAAGCTCCCCCCGTAGATCCGCCCGTGACTTCTATGAATGTGTGTAATAAAAGGAAGAAATAATGTTGTGTGCCTCTGTTAGGCCGCGGATATTCAATATCAGACTCAAATTCAAAAATTGTAATTTTCGGTGTAAAAATTTACTAACTTCAGGAGGCTTGAAATTTTTAAAATAAGAAATTATTTGGTTTATAATAAAGAAATGACATTGTCTGCCTGTGCTAGGCCACGGAAATTCACTGGCAGACTCAAATTCAAAAATTGTAATTTTAGATAAAATTGAAGTAGTAAAAATTCACCAATTTCAGGTGGCTTGAAATTTTGCTATATGGTACTTCTATGTTTCTTGTTAATGTTCAAATACAATCTGCCTATGATAAGCCGTTGTTTTGTACCGGCAGGGTGAGATCAAAACTGCAAAGAATGTAACAATGCCGTCTCCTAGTAGCCCAAAAGCTTGGTGGAACTCCGAAATGGCTGCCTTCCTAAAATCGCGGGCAGTCACTAAAAACGCTAAATTATATTATTTTAAGGCGTTTATTTAACAAGTTCCAACATAATTACAAATCTTTACTTCATTGAAGACGTTTTTTATTTTCTTATAATGAACTAGATCGGAATAAATGAATTATGGTTATTTATTTGTCTTTTTTCAACAGAGAAAATTATATATTGACACAATATGCTGCCATCAAACGATTTTAACTTGAACAAAATGCTTTTTTTTTTTAAATGGTATAAAATTACCCCAAAATAGCTTTTAAACTTACTATCCATACTTCGATAAAAAAAGAAGAAAAGTGTATATAAAAAGTAGCTATATATAATTAGGAATATTTCCATGAATATTTAGATAAAAGGAAATAGAGCTCTTTAATTTTTCTAAATCTGATACAAATTTCGAATCCTTATCTGAACCTTTACTTATTATTTACTAGCTTTACCCGGCCACGCGCTGCTGTGGCTTAGCCTGGCAAAATGAAAAAGAAAGAAAATGGAAAGCAGCGCATATGAGTAGATTAGTAGCAAAGGACATCTGTCATTTTTAAAAAGTTGGGAAACAAATTTGTCTGTAAAAGGGCTTCAATTGAAACTAATTCTAACTGTTTTTTTTTTCATAATTCAAATTGAACATTCATAATCATCTGAGTAAATACGCCGTCATTCATAATCATCAGAAACTGTCTGAGTTGAACTTATAAAACTAAATTAAAAAATTAATTTAAAAAACATATAATAGTATTGACCTACATAAGGAGAATCATATAAATTCTTCAAATGATAACTTCAATTACTGTAGTAATTATAAAATTTTTGATTAATCAATAAAACAAAAAAAAAAATGGTTGCCGACGTTCAGTAGCGAGGAAGCAAAAGGAAACGGCCTTTTCTGAAGAGAAAGCAGTAAATGTTTAAAACTCAATAACTCTGCAACGAACCGTCCGATTTCGATGATTTTTTTTTTTTTATTTTGACGGCAAATCAGGAATCTTTCAAATAAAATTGGGGGTTTATCGAGGTGCGAAATACAAATTTGAACTTTGTTTTTCCTTAAAAAAATAATTTAATCCACTTTACTCCTACGGCCGCTAGAAATAGTTTTATTTCGGAGATAATGTTTATCTATTTCGATAACATCTTTTTTATTATGACGGCAAATCAGGAATCTTTCAAATAAATGTGAGTAATATCAGTCAAAAATTGTGTACTTTTTTAGTTATCGTCAAAAAAAATATTGAATTCATCGTAAAATTTTTCAGCTTGTTTTCTGGAAAGTATGTTATACACATAAATTAAAAGGGTTTCAAGGGGAAGACTTTAGCCAAGTTTCGTTAAAATCGGTAAAGCCGTTTTGGCACTACAGTTTATAGCGACACATTTTTTGCGGCTTTGAACAGAAAAACATTTACATTTTAATTTTTTTTACATATATAAAATTATCGTAAGACAGAAGTACCATGCCAGAAACCTTCCCAGGATTGTACGGAACAACTTCCCAAAGTTTCATGGCGATCGGTTGAATGGTTTAGTAATGCACTGAGGACAAACAGACAGACATACATTCATTTATATATATATATATATATATATAGATAGATTACTTGTTAAGTTCTTCTTTGAACATCTGCCGAAAAAAGAACTAGCTCTCCCCGATTTCTAGAGTATCCTCCTATGGTTTGTTTATACTTCCAATATTTTATGATTTTATTGTTCCTTTCGTAATTATACTCCTTGAAAACTACAGAAATAATTATGTAGGTTACAAAAAAATGAAATACTTACAAAAATAAAAGTGAGATAACTAGTACAGTTGATAGATGATTAAAAAAAAAAATCACATATAATTTATAACTTTTTTAAAACGAAATTTATATAAGTTTGTCCGCTCAATAGTCCTCTTTAAATGGTTTTAACAATCACAAACTCTATTTTCGTTTGAAATAAATTTTGTCTATTTTTACTCTAGAGCAATAATTACTTAAATCAAATATTTTTTTGAATCTCGCTTCATATTCAACAAAAACTTGATTCACTTAAAAAATCGCAAATCTTAAATTTCCTACTTTTCTGCTGGAAATTGGGCAAATGTTTATATAAATGTTTTTGTAGATCTTAATGTCTACCGTCAACCTTTTAAATATTTTCCTCTATTTTCAGGACACCATGTATGTACAGATAAGTTGTTAGTAAATTAAGTTATTTTGTGCTTAATTAATAGAGAAAAAGCTTAATAAACTTCGAACTATTTCGTCCTAATATTTTTTAAATATTAAATTGATTAAATATTAAATTCCAATATTAGTTAATAACGGATCCTTTCTTTCGATACGATATTGGATTATATCAAAAGGAAAATATCGATATCAATGTTATCGCAACATCCCAAACTACAGCTAGTCACTCCAGGACCTGAATTAGTGACTCCATATTTATTTTGAATGTCCTAGAGTGATATAGCAAAATGACGTACGCGACTTTTGAGGTAAGGACCTTTTAGATAATTTTATTAAGCACAGAACTTTGTTCACAATTATTTTTGCAAGCTGTTTAAATGTTACTTGATCATATGGTTTATGCCAAAAGGGTTTATAACTGCGTTAAGGTTAAGTCTTGAATAGACTTCAGTGTGAACGTTTATCATTTATTTAGTTTTATTTGGCCCTTCATTTGATTAAAATTAGGTCATTCATGGATTCAATTTTAAAAACTGTGGGTTGTTATATCCACCGTCCTTTTCCTGACAAAGAAGTTATGGTACAGGGTAAACCTAGTATTATGGAGGTAATATTTCCATTGTGGTTTGTTACATTTAAAATATTTCTCTTAAGCCCTTTTTTTTTCAATTATATATGATATGTATTGATAATTATTGTTAATTTAAGCAAATGGATGTTGACGAAAAGAAGGGGGAAGGCTTTCGTTCTTATTACATCACTAAAATTGAAGAACTGCAATTAATAGTTGCGGAAAAGAGTCAAAATCTGAGAAGGCTCCAAGCACAAAGGAATGAACTGAATGCTAAAGGTAAGGATTGTTATACTTATTAAATGATTGTGTTATCATTGGATATATTGAAATGCCTATTTTTTAATTATAGTTAGGATGTTAAGAGAAGAATTGCAACTACTCCAAGAACAAGGATCGTATGTTGGTGAAGTAGTGAAACCAATGGATAAGAAGAAGGTACTCGTTAAAGTGCATCCTGAAGGAAAGTTTGTAGTTGATATTGATAAAAATATTGATATAAATGATGTGACTCCTAACTCTCGAGTGGCTTTACGAAATGAGAGTTATACTCTGCACAAAATTCTACCTAATAAGGTAAGTCATTTTAATAGATTAATATTTTGAGTTGTTGTGATTTATCAGTTTTAACCAGATGGGTATTAGTTTACAAGAGTTTCGCACTTTTTGATAAAACACTTAGAACAGACAGGTGTTATGATATTAGCTCTTGTTCCAACTACCCATTTCCCTTTGACGCATTTTTGAAAATCTTGCATATTCCCAACATAGAAATCCTGTATAACAATTTATTAATGAATTATTTATTGAAATTACATCTAGAAATTAGTTGATTATTAAGTTTTTATAATGGTAATTGCTCTGAAAGAAAAATATTAAATGATGCTTGACAGCATACAAGTACTCTAGTGGCAAGAAAGTTATTAGTAACTAACTTAAAACATTTGCCATCTTCCTATTCTTACCTAAAAGTAAGTTATTAATTTGATAAAGTAGATGGTGCCGTGATTTTCTTTAGTCTTAAACATAAAATTGTGATTATTTTGATGTTCAGCAATTTGGTATAATTTAACCTAGGTAGTAGATATTAGTTCACAGTTATTTATTCTAGCTATGTTTGGAGATTGATTGCCCCTGTTTGCTTTGGAATACACTCAAGGATTTCGGCATTCTATAAACAGTGTGATTGAAGTGATGTTGATGCTCCTATCAAACAGATTCGACATTACTGTAGCTGGCCTAGATTTTGAAAAATTAGTTCTCATTACATTAATATCTATGAATAGACTAATACTCAAGCACGTTCTTCAACAGAAAAATAAATAAAATAATAATATAATTATTAATAAGTTAGGAAGTTTGTTGTGTGTACAAACCAGCTATAACCATAAATCTATATTTAGTAACTTTAAATCTTTGTTAATGGCTGATTTGTGGCCATATTAAATATCTATTTCAAAGATTTGGGGGAACATCCTGAGGTAGTCTCTGACTTCCATGCCATATCTGATAAAAATTGGCGAAGTAGTTTACAAAAACTTACAAAATGTGACGTCATACATATACTGTGGACGGGGTGGCCGAATGGGCTAACGAGTGTGCACAGCACCGCTGTTGCCTGGCAACCTGACATGAGACAACGATGAAAAATAGGTCCGAGTTCGCATCCCGGTGCCGGGAGTCTTTTAAATCCCCGCCCATACTCCCTGGCCCGGGAGAACCCCATATAGCCTTAAAGGCGAGGAAGGGGAGAACCCAAAAAAAAAAGTCATACCTAGACTGATCCTATCTGATCACTCCTGAAGCAGTGGAACTGTTGGCGTTTATAGATTATGTTATCATATCAGAGCATTGTTTTGATGATAACAGTCACCTTGATATGTTTTATTTCCTTTTTTTTTTCATCGAGTCAGGCAAAATTAAATGAAATATTGTTTAAAATTTAAACAAAGCTATAATAAATCATTTTTTAAAGGTTGAAGGAACAAGATTAATTTTTTATTTATTCCACTAAAAGTATTTTACAGAGAAATTCAAATATACCTAGATCCAAATGACATTAAATAAATTAAATATTCAAAAGTTGCCACTGATTTAGCCCGAGTACTTATCATTTCATGATTAACTCCAGTCCCATCCGAATCCCCTTGTTTCCAGTCTTGCTTCTTCCTCGATTCCTAATAATCCTCCAAGGAGTCTAAAAAGAAGATGGCCTCATGATCTTACCCAGAATTAAACAGGGAGTGCTGCCACTGGGCAGTATCTCTACAAGTCTGTTCATGTCATTATTTCTAATGTGTGTATTTTTACTAGTTGTGTTGTTTATACAGTTGCAAATTTCATTAAATAAATAACAAAAATAAAAAATTTAAGTTCAGTTAAATATTCAAATTCAGACATTGAAAAATCTATTTGTATTACTTTCTGATTTAGTTGATTATTTCAAGTAAAAAAAAATTAAAGGTACTTTAGGGGAAGAAATATTGAAAATTAAGCCGTCGTTTAAGCCCTGTTAAAGAACAACAATGAAAATAAAACCTACATTATATTTAAAATTGCTTAATTTTACTCTGATATAATGAATTTAATCAAACTCATTAAAGCCGTTTTCGAGAAAATTCAAAAAAAGTTGATGTTACATCCCAGGTATATACAAACCTTAAATATGCAATTGCACTTTCGGCTTTTCCTTTTAGAGCTAGACTGTTAACACACCTACAGACATACAAACAGACCATTTTATGGAACTTGGTTATTTAGACTCAGGGGATCTCAATTAAAAATTGAGATTAAAAAAATTTTCAGAATCGCAATACATTCCTTTACTACATTCTTCATGTATAGGTAAGGGAATGGAAAATATTGAAGGAAGTTAGTCGACTCTTCTACATGTCATAGGTAATAAATAATCAGGATGCAGTCATTAGAGTAGTACTTGCACACATTCAGTGCTCGAAACATGCCTTGATGATGACCCACATGCTTGGGTTGAAACGTCGACATCAATAAAAACTTGAAAAATGATTGCATCATCCAACTTTTGCTTACCACCATACTTTTTGTGTTAATTATTTTTATAGATAATTTCAATCTTTTCCCCTCATTTGTCATTGAAATTCTATTTAATTTTCATAAATACATTTATTTCCCATCCCATAATAATAAAAATAGACATTAACTAGAACGATTAAAGCCATTCTTCAGGTTATTTACCATTCTACATTGCCTTCTATAACTGTCTATGCTAGATATTAAGTTTTCTAAAATTGTTAGCTTTCCAACAGTATATTTTACAACTTATTTTCAGAAATTTGTTTTCAGTCTGTAAAAATATTTCTTTAATTGATTTTTTCATGTTTCATATTTATCCATTCTACATAACTATTGACAATTAAAAAAACTTATTTCTTATAATTAAAAGTTGTGGTACTTTACAGGAAGGAAGAAATTTTACATCAGACTATTTTAAAGAGAATAAGACCCTATTGATTTTAAAGATAATTTAATTTTATTTCAATTTTAAGAATTTTACCAAAATTGTTTGAGCCATTTTTCAAGAAAATTTTAACAATGTGTCAAATTGATAATATAATGTGGTAGTTCTGATTAGCTGCTTTTAATGGAAAAATCGCTGCATCGGCGTATACCTAATTTACTAAATTAATTTATATGTATTTTTCTTTTTGAGCTATTCTGTTAATGTACGCGTAGGCTATTTTGTGAGACTTGGTTCTTTAGACTTAGGAGAGTGAAATATTTATTTCTGAATACTCAGATTCGAAACTTCTTATCATCACAATACTTTCGCTTATTAAATATTTTATTTATTGGTATGGGAAAGTAAAATAGATTGTTTTTATAAAACAAATTGCTAACAAACCACATCATTTAAATAAAATGCACTATATGTATAACATTTTTTTTTTCTCATTAATTATAATCGAAAAATAATACAGGTATGTCCTAATGAAAGTCTCAAATCAATCTAAAACTGAATGGATCTAAACAAGTCTAAAGGAAACTAATGTGAATCACCTTCTCCAATTAGCTTATTCTTTAAATTTATTTTAATTGCATTTATATATGTAAAATAATAATTAATCTATTCGCAAAAAACAAGATATTTATTTGTAGAACTACTATGAGAAAGTGGGGTTAAAAAATTTTCTATTGATAAGCTTTATCGTTTTTAAATCTTAGGTCGATCCTCTTGTATCATTGATGATGGTTGAGAAAGTTCCAGACTCTACATATGAAATGGTTGGAGGTCTTGATAAGCAAATTAAGGAAATCAAAGAAGTAATTGAACTTCCTGTAAAACATCCAGAACTGTTTGATGCACTAGGAATAGCTCAGCCCAAAGGAGTTTTATTATATGGACCACCTGGAACAGGTAATAGTTGTGTATGCAATAGGGTTTAAGATTCTCTATGTATTCAGATAGAACTAATTCAATTTAATATAATGGTATGGAGGGAGATGGTTGATCGTGGATTCAATTTCAGAAGAAATTAGTCGGGGGTGCGGTCAAAAAATACTTTATCATATAAATAAAATATACTATTATATAATATAGTATTCCTTGACCGCATCCCCGACTAGCTCCTTCTTAAATTAATTTGATATAACTTGCATATCTGGATAATACATTGGATATCTTCATAATATTGGGTTGAGGAAAAAGTAATTTTGTTTTAGCCCAATAAGTGACTTTAAAATCTCCTATCTTTTGTAATCCTTATTCAATAAAGCCATCCTATAATGAGTTTGAAAAGTCACTATCCATGGAACATTCTGTATATAAAAATAGTGTCATTCACTTAGCCAGTTGACAATTATTGCGTTTTAAAAATGGAGGTTTCTGAAGGTCATATTTTACTGTTTTGCCTATGAAAAGGAAAAAAATGCAGTGCAGGCTCAACGAAAATCGTATGATAGTTATAGTTATGAGTGCTTTACCTTTCGATTTTTTCACCAATTATCTGGCCAGTGCGAGGTTCATATTAAACATCAAAATTCCTAGAACGAAAATGAGCAAAGCAATTCTTATACTGGCATTCGCTTCATCCATTATTTTTTAATCCAAATACTGAATAACAATATGAAAAATATATTAATTACGAAGTTAATACTTTATGTCAAAAGCCGGTATTTTATTAGTATAATCTGTCAGTGTTTGTATTTATTAGTTTTTAATTATATTGTCTTTTGAAGGTAAAACACTTTTGGCAAGAGCAGTTGCCCATCATACTGAGTGCACGTTCATTCGTGTGTCAGGATCTGAGTTGGTTCAGAAATTCATTGGGGAAGGATCCAGAATGGTTAGAGAATTGTTCGTCATGGCAAGGTAAGCCAGTTTTTTTAAGGAATAAATAATTAAAAATCAAATCAATAAAATATATTTTAATTTGATAGGGTTAACTATTATTAATTGTAATAAATTATTTTATTTCAAAATATTTCTATTATCTAGAAAAGTTTCTTAGTACATTATAATAAATTACAGAATCCTTTTTTATATTTTTTAATTATCTCTAAGACTTATTAATCAGTATCAAGAAGTGTCACCCTCATTCAATTCATGTAATGTGTTATAGTGCAGGTTCAGTTGTGTAAATCAAGCCTAATTAAAATTCTGGAACTAGAAATTCTAGAAACAAAAAGAAACTATAAAATGACTTTAAAGCCACAAGTTTGTTTGAATTCAAATTTTCCTGGATCAAATAAATTTTGACTGTGAATATAGGTTAAACCCTTATTTTATGGAAGAGAATTTTATAAAAAAAAAAAATCTGCCTATATTCAGACCATTAAATATAATAATAATAATATGCTTTATTTATTCTGGTACAAGTTAGAATAATGCAATTATTGGTTTTAGAGCCTCAGAGATTTATAAAACAAAATAAACAAATAGAAATAGAATACAGTAAATATTGTTTACAATTTTTATTTACAGGGAACATGCTCCATCTATCATATTTATGGATGAAATCGATTCAATAGGTTCATCACGTATCGAATCTGGGAGTGGTGGTGATTCTGAAGTCCAGAGAACAATGTTAGAGTTATTGAATCAATTGGATGGCTTCGAAGCCACAAAAAATATTAAGGTAGTTTATAAAAATTGATTATTAAAGACATTATTAATCTAATATAAACTGTTTAAGGCTTATTTATTTATTTATTTTTTTTCATTTTGATATTTACTCCACAGCCATCATGTACACAAAACATAATGTTTTTTATTCTATCCTCTTAAAATTATAACTTCCCGAAATCCTTCTTGTCCTTCATTTCATCTATAATTTTTCTCTCCAGAACTCAATTTTTTCTACTGCTTGGAGAAAAACATTAGTCAGACCCATTAACAAAATCTGCAATCCTACTTCTCCTAAAGACTACCGCCCAATCTCCATTCTCTCTAACCTTTCCAAACATCTGGAAAGAATAACTCAATGTCAAATTCCTTGAAGACTAAAAACTACTCGATCCTCTCCAATCCGGTTTTCTTCCTGACCTCTCCCCATAGTCCGCTCTACTAAAAATTACCAATGACTTTCATACTGCAATGGACGAAAAAATGCTAACTGTGTTAATACTTCTCAACTTTTCCAATACTTTCGACTCCTTAGACCACTCTTTCCTCTACACTAAATTAAAATCTCTGTCCTTCACTAACAGCTCTATTCTTTGGTTTCAGTCTTTCCTTTTCGACCGGACTCAAGTAGTTAGCATTCTGAACCAACCCCTATCTTCCTTACCCTGTCCTCTGGAGTGACCCAGGGGTCGAGCATTTCCCCTCTTCTTTTTAATTCCTATATAAATGATCACACCATTTATACTCTTATAACTCCCAAACTATTCATCCTTTCACCTTTCTGAGCTATTAGTCGCGTTTGCCAATATTCAGGCAGACCTAGAAGGGATCAGTACCCGGGCATGTTTGAATAATTTAATGCTAAACACGAAAACTCAGGCCATTGTTACAGGTTCCAGTTCTCTCCTTAAATCCAACTGCTTCCTTCCCCATTTACTCATCAATGATCAACCTGTCCTATTCAGCTCCTCCGTTAAAAACCTAGAAATCACTGTTGACAAAAACCTCTCCTGGAAACCCCATATTGCCTTTATCTCCACAAGGTCAATAGGTACTCTTAAGTTATTTCATCACTCCCGGCACCTACTTCCACAGCCTATCTGCAAGCTCCTTGTATCCTCTCTTATTTTCACCTACTTTGACTATGGCTATGTGGTGACATTCCGATGGGACTCGAAGACAGATTGAAGCGACTTATGAACTCTTTTTTAAGATTTGTCTTCGGTACTTGGAGGCAGTCGCACGTTTACAACGAGTTAAAGTGGCTGTTTCCTTCCTTCTGCCAACAATATTTCCTTGGATCTTATCTATTCCATATAATCAACTCCCGCCACCCTTACTAATCTACAGTCTCTTACAGTGCAAACCCATAGACAACTCCCAGAAAACAAGATTTCTTCCGACCTTTATATCTCTTCCCATAGAACCAAGACATTTGAATATTCCTTTATTGCCCACTGCCTTCTGGAATTCCTAGCCATCTGATATCTGCCATGCCTCTTCCTTGTCCTCATTCAAATACCATTTCTACCAATTCCTTCTCACATCCCAAAATGATGCTGTACAATCATGAAATAATTTTGATAAAGGTGAATGGTTGTTGGAATTGTCCAAGTTTTAATTTTAAGAATCTCAACTCAATAGTATTTATAAGATTTTGTTTTTTATTTTCCCTGATTTCTGTTTTTCTTTTTATTTCATTAATACTTTTATTTTTTTCAAAATGTTTTACTTTCTGTTGTTTATATATTTTTTCTGAACATATTGTAGGTATATATTCTTTAATTTTTATTAATGTAGTTTTTTTGGCCAAATATGGTGTTTGTTTTTTGTCTATAATTGTTATTCTTAAGGGACCTCTTCCCAGGATAAAGTTTATTTTCTATTCTATTTTGTATTAGATCTTTTATTTCAAAAACTTCAGGAAATGTAAGTATTTCATTATTATTTGTTTTTAAATAATTTTGATGTTCTCTGTTATTTGTAGGTCATAATGGCCACTAATAGGATTGATATTTTGGACCCTGCTCTTCTGCGTCCTGGAAGGATAGATCGTAAGATTGAGTTCCCCCCACCAAATGAGGAAGCTCGTTTAGATATCCTTAGAATTCATTCACGTAAAATGAATCTTACCCGGGGTATCAACTTGCGTAAAATTGCCGAGCTCATGCCTGGAGCTTCAGGTGCAGAAGTAAAGGTAATCTAATATGTTTTAATTAGTTAATATGTTATATAAACGTAATTTTTTTTTTTTTTTTTTGTTAACTGTATAATAAATCCAGTTGGTGCAAAAGGAAGGAAAAAAATCAAATAATTACTTGATATTTATTCAATGCTGTCATTTTGCCTTTCATCACAGCTAAAAAGAGAGAAACAATGAAGGTGGAACTATTGTTGTTTTTCTGTTGGATTTTGCCTTCATCACAGCTAAAAAGAGAGAAACAATGAAGGTGGAAACTATTGTCGTTTTTCTGTTGGCATTATAATATTTTTGCTGCCTTAAAAAGCCTGCTCCATCTCTGCCTATCTTTGGCATTTCTTTCTAATTATCTGCATGCAGCTCTATTGCATCTTTGTTGATTCTATCTATTCATCTGCTTTTTGTCTTTTCACGTGGTCTTTTTACATTTTTTGAAACTATTGGATGATTAAAAATAATTTGTATAGAATTACTGATATAAATATGAATTTACGAAAAGGAAAATAAATGTTAAAAGTGAAAGACAATAGTATCTGATTTAATAATCAACGAAAGAAATCATTGTACGGATGAACTAGTACAATAACTAATGGCTGATGTAGACCTATAGTGAGGATTGGAATTATTAAGGTGACCTGACGTCCCGCTTTTGATGGGACGGTCCCAATTTTTGGCAAAATTGCAAGTTAAGCATATTTTATAATGTTAAATTTTAATAATAACAAATAATTGTAAAGAACTGATCATCTAAGTTCGCATTGTTGATCTTTTTCTTCTCAGACCAAACCAAAAATGATGTTTTTAATGAGTTATTGTTCCTAACAAAATATATTGATATGCAAATAGTGAAATCTTGGGCATCCGAAAATTAACTTCATTTACTATTTCGACTACCGAAATTTTGATCAATTTGGCTCAAAGTTGGAGAAAAGGTAGATAGGTATTAATAAAAAATAATGTATCAATTTTATTCAATTTCCTCTATTTTCTCTTTAATATGCACAAATATGTTTTCCTTGATGAGTCTATAATTCTAAAACCACGCATTACGATTTGGCTCAAATTTGGAGTGAAGTTAGGGATTGGTAAACAGATAATCAAGTATGTATTAATTATCAAAGCGTATTATTTTCCATACCTATAGTTTGGAAAACTATTCGTTCGATTTCACCCAAGCTTGAAGGAAATTTGGAGAATAGTATAGAAATTACCTAATATTAATTTCAATGAATTCCATTTAATAATTAAAATTAATTATTAACAATATTGTGGTTGTGAAATGTGGAAGGCATTGATCATATGGAGTGGGGTTTATGTTAATACAATATTTTTATGGGATTATAAAATTACAGGTTTTATTCAAAAAGTTAATTTATGCTATATTGGTTTGGTTTATTCCAAACGTTACTGGCATATCACTGCAGTTACTTAGATTTCATGTAATTTTCAATAAATTTAAATCAAGTTTTACTCTAAGTTTGTAAAAAGATCTTATTTGTAATTGTGTTTATTTCTATTGAAGTTCAATCAGCTCCTCATGGTCTCTATTTTCTCCTTAAATATAAAAATTATTTTTAACTTCACGCACATTTTTGTATTCCAACTTAACTAGTTTTGTTCTGAGTTCTGAAGAAAAGTATTGGTCTCGTTAACTCTGAGCAAACAAACGTTGAACTTTTTGTTCCGTCAATTTAAGGAGTGAAAACATACCTAATAAGTATATATCACTACTGTTAGTACAGAAGGTTGCATGTAAAAGTTTTCAATTTTTATTAGATTTTTTTACATTAGTAGTACTCTGTGACTGATATAAGTAGTCTACTACTATGGAAAATTATACTAATAAATCATAAAGAAATAACTATTTTCATACTCTCCTGTAAAACACTCAATTTTTACATGTGAACTTTTGCACTAACAGTAGCAATATGCATTTTCAGATCTACACTGGATTTTTTTTTTCTTAATTACAAATCATCAAATACGCAATCTGCTAATGGGGAACTGTTTTGCATCTTAGTATTTGATTATGCTCGTAGATATCGAACCTGTATATGTTGAGGGATTACTGAATTTCTGAAAATGGCTTCTTCCAAAGATTTGATTCTCATACGAAAAAATGTAGACCTTGCAATGAAGATATTTTTTAGCAAATAAAAACTATGCGCAAGCTATGCTGACCTCACTTAGTTGACTTTTTTTTATTTACATGCATCCTACATCATTGATTATTTTACATTATGCTCTTCCATGGCTAAAATTTTCTGGAATGATTTGTTTTTACTGTAATTGACATTTTTATTGATGTTTGGTTCTCAGAGTCCTATCCTAATGAACAGCCATTGGAGTCAGGTGGATTTAGAGATATTAACAATCAGCATTGCTAAACGCAAAAGCCTTTTTACAATCATTCATTGTTGTTTTAACAATTAAGAATAATTTTCTTTTATCAAAGGCTTCATCTTGCTTATTTAAAACTTTTATTCTATCCATACTGACTATTATTTTACCTCTACTCAAATCTCAATATTTCACTGTTTTGAAGAAACTTAGTGAAGTCCTTTTCAATGATTCATTTAGTTTATATACATATATGTATATTGATTAAAACCTATTCCTAAAATTAGATTTCATCATGGACTGAAATTGATAAATGGTCCTCCTATTTTAGGATTCAAAATACACTAATTCATTTAATGGACAGTTTAATTTCTGCCTAGTTATTAATATGGTTGGTTAGACCATTGCTCTAGAATAAACCCAGTTTTATAAATGACGTAACCCAGTTTAAATATCTAATATTTTTAATACTTGGTGAAGAAGGAAGTAATTTAATATTATTAATAAAGACTGTGTACAAAACTTTAAATTTAGAATATTTTTTTGCCTTCAGGGTGTCTGTACTGAAGCAGGGATGTATGCCCTGAGGGAGAGGAGAATCCATGTCACCCAAGAAGATTTCGAAATGGCTGTGGCCAAGGTTATGCAAAAGGACTCCGAGAAGAATATGTCAATCAAGAAATTATGGAAATAAACGACTCACTTATTTTTTTTTTTTTTACTCTGTTTAAAAAGCTTTAAATATATAGATGTTTGTGAGGTTTTGTTAAAAATAAATATATACTATAATCATAAACGTGTATATACAACTTGTAGTCATCCTTAAGAAAATAAAAATAAATAGGTGAAAATAGAAAGAAAAAAACTGAGGCAACAAAAATTATTACAAACAATTCTTAAAAATAATTTTACATCTTATATTTAAAAAAAAAAAACTAATAAGGAATATTATTACAATGCTAGGAATTAACCCTGGGAGGCTTAAGTATTGAGTAACTCCTAAGTACAATACAAGTTAACATCTAGCTCAAAAATAAAAGGAAATAAATACAATCAGGTTGATAGTCATACACATTTCGAATTAGTGTATGCTCACAATACTTAAGCCTCCCGAAGAGTCATGAAATCGGCAGACTTATAACATTATTGTTTCCTTAAAACCAACTGAATATAAATATACATATATATTATATATAACAAAATGATAATGTTGATGATTTTTTTTTTTTTTTTTTGATTTTTTTAAATATTCTGGGCCAACAAGCTGAAGATCGACTGGGTCGATGTGGTCTTTAGTCTTTAGCTGGGAAGAGACATCAACTGTTACAGATTATTTAAGTGTAATATAAATCTAAAGCATTAAGACAATTAATGTACATGATACACAGCATGTGGCACTACATAGACAACTACATTTATGCAAGAGAGAAAAACCTTAAATCGAAGGTAGAAATTAAAACTTTTAGAAAACAAAAACGTTTGTGAAGCAAAGGTCTAATTATGAACTTAAATGGGTAAAAAATAATTTATACAGTCACTCAAGCGCAATATATTTGAAAGATTTCAAAAACATTCGTATATATAAAATATAATTAAAAGGGAGACATTTTAGGATACGGAATGTAATGTCTATACATACTTTTCTTTTTTTTTTTCTTTTTTTAAAATTATTATCCAAATACCAGAAACTCAAGGGACAAAAAGAAAAGAAAAAAATGAAGACAGAGAGGGTAAGTAAATCTTGCGCGCACTTTTCACTCCCGCACAAATTTAATTTTTTTTCCATTCATTATAATTTTTATTTATTAATAATAATGACGATGAACATTTGGTACTGTATTTCTTCAATCAGCTGCCTTTTTAAACTGTCGCCAGCGATACATAAACTAAAATGTTGAGTTGTGTTGGTGATAAAGATGAGATTAGAGGGGCAGCTGTGCAAAGAGCACTGAGGGCCCCTGAGATGAGAGCGCGTCGGGGGGGAAGGGGCAGGCTAGCGGTTGGCATTCTTCAGTTGGTTCGACAACCAATCGAGGCCTTCATATAGACCATCGCCTGAGGTCGCACACGTCGCTTGAATGTACCAGTTGCGATTGCGCAATGAGTGTAGGCCGAGTTTGTCTGTTATCTCAGCTGCATTCATGGCATTTGGCAGATCCTAAAAGAAAAAAAATAAACATGGGTTGTAATTGGGCAGATCATATAAACCAACTCTTCTAAGAGAACATTTACATTTAATATATTTAAATAGTACTAAGCAAAAGTAAGACCTTACAGTATATAAAACTGAAATACAGCACAGCAATAAGTTAAAAGATCTGATAATTGTATAAGGTAAATGCACCAATAATAGACACTTTAAGAGAACTTTTTAATATTAATTTGAATCACAACTTAAGTTCTGGCGGTGGATGTTAGCAAATGAGTTTAATTTACAGCAAATTTAGTCTTACATCATATTTTGTATCAGTAATAGATATCCCTCCAGGTTATGGGGTCGACATATTTTTTTTTATATAATTAAAAAAATTCAAAATAAATGCTGAACAGTTTTTTTAAACAATGAAATAAAAAACTACAGATGAACACATCAAAAATTCAAAATTATCTCCAATAGAAAAGTGATAAGGGAAGCTCCCTGAAACAAACACACCAGCCTTGGTCCATTGGAAAATCAACCAATCCGTTTTGTGGCATGTTATCACCTGAGGTTCAGGCATCATCTTCCTCAGTGTTCTAGCTTCAACTTTAACCGTATTTGCACTCTCTTATGGATGTATAACGCTTATTGCATGTCAATAAATTAAAAACTGTCTATAACTGGTACATTTACCCTAATAAAATATGGGTTACCTCTAGATTTGGAATACATAATATTGATTTGATGGAGCCAAAATATTTCAAAATAAAATAAGACAATTAAGGGTATTAAGATCGTTTTTAAGGATCAAACAGAACTTCTAAAATGTTAAGTTCTTAAAAATTGTTCTGAGAAACAAGCTTAATTGACTGAATTAATGATAAGCTTCATTAAGTAGCATGTGAGCCAAAATAGAAAAAAATAATAAGTTAACCCATGAAGTTTCTAGTGGTCAGGAAGTTATAATAAATAATTTCAGAGAAATTAATAATCGTTTCATAAAAAAAAAAATGGTACATTTTTTTAACCCAAAATAGTTGCAATATTCTTAGTTAAAAAGGTATTTAAGCCTTAACTTAAAGAAGTACTACTAATGGTAACAGTTCTTAAATGCTTTAATTAAGACTGATAGCAGGAAGTAAAATTGAGAACCCACAATTTATATAAAGTATTCTTATTATGTTATATATCTCAGACACATAACGTTTTGATTATAAAATGAAATCACTAATACTTAATAACTTTACACTGCAATATTAAATACTTATTTTTCAGTCCAATGGAATAATAAGTACTAAAATAAATATTATGAACCTCAACAATAATTTTCCAAAATTACAGGAATATTGTATCCACCCCCTTTTAAATGATGAAGAACAAGTTTTCTTAAAATAGAACCATAGAAGGGAAAAGGGAAGTAACCCAGTAGCTGCTACTGATAAGGAGTGTCAACAGATACAATGATCTCTTTCAACACAAAATGTCTCAATAAATGAACTCTGACCATGTAATGAGAAACCTTACAAGATTGCATTTATCAATTAAAAAAATTCTGATATAGATTGTCAACCACTATGTGAGATAACGATGGATTTTGTAATGCACTTGAAATTATTCAATAGCAAAACAGGAAGGTAAGGAGAGGGGAAAAAAATGCATTTTAATCGATTTCAAATTTTAAGTAAACAAAATTTTAAAAAATTGCATTTAAATAAATTTCAAATTTTAAGTAAGCATTAAAAAAAAAAAAAAACTATCACTACAACCCAAGAAGGGTTTCATCTTGAAGGGTCTTCAGTACTTTGTGAGGAAGTACTGTTTATTGGTCAACGGTTGTGCAAGAAGGTGTTTGACTGAGATCACTCTCAACCGCCAGGTTTTCCCCCTTAATTAGTTATTTGGTGAAGGGTAGTACCCACTTTATAGAGGTTGAGTGTGCCGAAGGAGGGTCTCCTGAACCCAGGATTGATCCACGGCCGACGAAACGGAATAAATAAATCATCTGTCATCAGCCAAACTTGAACCTGGGACCTTCACTGTTGGAAGTCAACACCCTACTAGCATGGATAAAGATTATTAATTCTTCATCAAAAGAAAAGTTTCCTCTTTATTAGTCAAGGCACTAAATTCGTAGGTCAGTCTAATATTTCATTGTTGACAACTGGATAATCACCTATTGATGTTTTTCTAAAATAAAAAATGATGCACAGAAGTCAAATAACTTAAGTGAAATTAAAAAGGCAAACTCAGGAAAGGAATATGAAATTATATATATACCTAATAAATATTATGTGAAATTAATAAAAACAATATCAGGAAAGAAGTATGAAATTATTTACATGCCTAATAAATATAATATCTACCTAAGACAAATAGATAAGCTTTACTATAAAAAAATGTATCAATAGGAAAACAGGACAATAAAAATATATCTAGAAGAAAATAATTGTAACCATTTTTTTTTTTACTTTTGCAAATCAAAATTTAATGAAATATTTACTTCATTAAATATATTTACAATAACCTCAGTGAATGACCAACGGTCAGAAATAGAAACAAGTTAAATAAAGATCAAGTATGTTATTTTGTTTTTTCTCACTAAAATAAGAAGCTGTTTCAAACTGTTAGAAATTAAATAAGTCTTTCTGAGAAAAAGGTCATTGTCAAACTTTAATTTAATTTAAACTTCAAATAAATTTTAAAAACAAAAAAGTATTTTATCCACTAAAGCTTCCAGTTATAACCTCATTCTGACACATCAATTTTTTCAGAAATGGACAATTTTATACATCAGAATAAACAAAAACCAAAAGAAAATTTCCTTATATCATAATTAATATGATTTAACAATGAAAACTCGAGAAAAAAAAATGTAACTTAACGATGAATAAGTGACAAATTAAATATAAATGGTATTTGCCAATTTTAGGGATTAAAACTTCAGAATGACCCCGATATTTCAAAATTTTTCCTTGACTAAAAAAAATTAAATACAAGCTTGAAACCATAAACCAACCTAATAAATTTAATTGTACAAGAAAGTTTTACTTTCCTACATATCGTGAAAATTTAAGATAAAAAACAAAAGTTTTCAATGAATAATGAAACTATTGTTTAAAATATATGACAAAACATAAAAAGATTGAGCGAATACTTTTGGGACTAAGTTAAACCAATGAAATTACATGAAGGATTAGATCACACAGTCAAGAAATATTTCTTCAATCGTACAGCTTTACGAAATTAATAAAATGAAGATATTATCATTTTATTCACAATATAAATTGTGTAAATAACGGTGTAACTGACCTATAACAGTGTAAATACAATATTCACATTGCATTTACACGGAAAAATTCATCATATTTTTTTTCTGTTCTCCCCTTTAAGGTGTTACAGGATTTTCCCAGGCCAGAGGTGAGAGTGGGGGATTGATGTCATAGTTAAAAGCCACCCTCGCCAGCACACAAACTTGTAATTGTTTTATATAATTATCTTCCATCTGATTGCTGGGCAACGCAATGCTGTGCTTATATGATGTAAGATATATAGCTGATATTTACAAATGAGTTACTTTTATTTACTTTATTTTATTATGATTTAAATAGTAAATTTTTGTATCCTAACAGCCCTGTCATCTCCTGCTATTGCAAACGAAAATTTATTAGATGCTTTACAGACACTACGCTAAAACAGTATTTATAAAAATTATTGGACTAGTTAAAACCAAAACTCAATTAAATTAAATTTTTTTTGTATAGTCTGTTTCTACAAGTATTAAACCTGTAGGCCTCCCACAATTAAGCGGGTAATGGTCTCACTTCCCGCGGGAACCAACCGTATTGGGAAGTTGGGCCGGGATTCGATCCTATGATGTTTGCTTTACTAGTATAGCATGCTAACTAATCTGCAATACCGGCCCCTTACATTTACTCTTCAACAAAAAAACTTCTCTTCCAGTATCCCTTGACAATAATAATTCAACCGAAAATGTAAACAAATCGTCTTGATCTCCCTAAATCCCTTCCCTTTGAATGATGTCATAGGATCCACAAATTAAAAAGAAAAGAGAAATATTCAACCAAATCTACAAACATTTCTACATTCCTTTCTTTGGAAACATTGTTTAAACCTGAAAACTTGTGCATTATTTCTGAAGCTTATTAGGTCAATTGGATAGATTGTAAATATCGGTTTATTGCAAAAAGTCATGAAGCACATTTTTAATGTAGGTTGATTTCAAACTAGGTATTTGTGAACTTCAACCTTATTTATTCGTATAATAACAAGACTTGATATACTAAACAACTAAAAAGTTTCAAATAAATAAATGTTATATGATAAAGGTGGAAACTTTAACAATTTATAACAAATGCAGTATCTCAACCTTCTTATTCTGATTAGAATAAATTTGGTTGTACCAAGTTCTATAACAACACCAATCAAGAATGTGAGTAATGGTACATATTGAAAAGCCAAAGTTTTTCAAGAAATGGAAATTATAAAAGCCAAGAATCAATTGTTAATTGCCTAAAGTTGAGCAATACATACTGTATGAGTGTAAATGATAATGTAGGTAATAATCAAGGATTTTGCATTTAGGGTGCATCACATTACCTACAATCTCTCTCCCCTCCTATAACCTACCCCCATTCACAATTACTAATAAATTTTAATCAAATTAAAAAACTTAAAAGTTTTCCACTTTTAAACTTTCAAAACAATAACAAAAGAAACCTAATACATTAGCAGCATTACTTTATATACTAACTTCAACGTGTCAACTTTCAACTAACACAAAACAGGCTCACTACAAACAATAATAAACAATAAACTATTAGATTCTAATATAGACATGAAACACAATGCCACTAAAATCATGCCAGTTAATACCCATAAAGAAAAAAGAAATTAAAAGAGAAACAAATCATTGGAGAGTACATAAAGATGATGCAACCGTTTTAAACTTTATTCATACAATGCAATGCTTTTCAATAGCATTGATTGAAAATTGTGAGTTAAGAAATTACGGGTAAAAAAAAATTGAGTTTTTGTTGTAGTTTACTGGAAATACTTATTAATTCGAGGTAATTGTTACTTTTAAAAAAAAGTATAGGAGCCAATTATTGATTCAATATCAGATGTGATAGTATATATTATTATACATTATATTATATTATATATATTATTATAATATATTAGAAAGTTCGCCAAACATTTTATTTTATAATCAGAGCTAATTTCTAAGGACTTTTTAACATTAATCAAACAAAGATAATTTTAAAACCAGTCTTCTAATTACCACAAATTATCACAATCAGCTATTAAAAAACAAAAATATCTAGCTGGGTATGTGATCTCATATACCTATATATCAGCACTACGAATAAATTTGGCTGTAATAAAAATAACTCCATACAGACAATGGGCTATGTAATTCAATAGTTTTTTTTGGCCTTAAGACTTGTCAAAGCAAGTCTAAAATTTAATAGCTGTCCATTACAAAACAGAATCTTACAGTATGTGAAAAAAAAGATCAATAACTTTCAAACATAGAAATAAATGCTAGGGAAGATGACATTGCATTTCATCATTATTACATTAATTTAATAAAAAGAGTTGCATGTTTTTTTCTCGACCACAACCATCATGTCCTCGTCTAATACAGTAAAAAGGATTAGCACTTTTTTTTTTATGATCAACTAACAACAGTTGTGACCATTGTAATTATCATCACAACATTGAAAATAATAATTTTGTTTCACTGAAATGTTATTTTTATTCAACTATATTTATTTTACATACCCTATATAAAGAATGTACTCTTCTTTTTATTCTTACAAAAATAAAAAAAACATAATAGGACCAAAGAATGCAGTTACGATAAATAACACCTTTTTGATTAAGATATTTATAGCACAGGAAAAAAATAAAGAAGCAAGCAATCAAACAGCAAAACGGCAATAAACCATTATTATAACCATATAAAATGTAAATTATCTGTTGAGAGAATTTAAATCCCAAATAAAATCCCAACCTTAATACTTAAAGGCTTTTTTCTTTTGCAGTGATCTCTCATCAATAATTAAGTTGTAAGCTCCACTATTTTAACCAAAATCATATAATATGGAAATAAAATGAAAAAAAAAAAACAATGAACAAGAACATAATAAATTATATCAACAATGGCTTAGAGTTAAGTTAAGATGAAGCAAAGCAAACCTTTTATTATATCAAAACAAAGATTCGCTATTTCAATGATAACCCGCATTAATCAAAACAAATTTAAATTATAAAGATTAGAAGAAAAAATAAACTTTAGGTAATAATTAGTAATTGTCTTGATAATCATTGAATGTTAGATAATGAAATTTATCTCAAAGGGTTATCACAGTAAAAGAAACTAATGACAAAACTGCATTCTAACAGTTTTAATAAATATTATTGCAAAACTCAGTAAATGTTTTTAGATTGGAAATTATGCAGCAATAAAACAATGTGGACTTTAATAACAATCCTGGATAAACTTTCAATAGGATTCTACCTAACTTAATTATACAACATAACTATATATATTTTAAAAATTAGTATTACAGAAAATAAGTCTACAAATAATTATAATGGAGGAAGAAATAACAAGAAACACATAATAACCTACCCAAGATTTAACCAAGGCATCGAAAAAGAATAGTTTCAGAAATAAAAAAACAATAACCCTCGAATGCTTTATAAATTACATATTAACAGCCAACGAATGAAAACCTTTTATTCATTCCATTAAGGTAGTTTTACAAATATTAACAGACTAGGTACTTTTAGTTAAAACCAAATATAAAAATCATTGCTTATAAAAGATTAGATATACTCGTATAATTTCATATCCCACTTAGCAAATTAAGCTCAGAAACTGGAGTTGTAGTTTAAATTAACTGATAAGAGAGATTTTAATTGTCAATCATTGATGAGCATCATTTTATTAAATGTTAATAAACCCACCTTTCGCACTTCTTTTTTATTTGACAAATTAAAATCGGTATCTAAAAATTAGATCATTTATTTCTAATCTTTTTTTTTTTCACGTTCAATACTTATTACAAAGCAACATTTTCAATGAAAATTTGCCTTAACTACATAAGGGCAACATAATGATTCTGCTACGATTCTCCAATGGAAGAATATGTACTATGGTTAAAATGCACTTTACAAGTTATCACTAAGATAATTCAATGCAGAGTTAAAATCACTAACCAACCAACACTACTATGTAGACATAAAAAAAAAAAAAAAGAATTAAAACTAACCTGCTTATTTGCAAAAATAAGAAGAACTGCATCCCTTAATTCATCTTCTGCCAGCATTCTCATCAGTTCTTCTCGCGCTTCACCAATACGTTCCCTATCATTACTGTCTACAACAAAAATGAGCCCCTGAAAAACAAATGAAGTATTAAACATCATTAACACAAATCATTGTATCTAATTCTTATAAGTCATGAATTCACCTGAGTATTTTGAAAATAATGCCGCCACAAGGGTCGAATTTTGTCTTGACCACCAACATCCCAGACTGTGAAACTTATGTTCTTATATTCAACAGTTTCAACATTAAATCCTGCAAAAATAGATTGATAACATAAATCCTAAATTTATACCAAATATAAGGAGGTAAACTTAGTTACATAAAGAACATAGATATTTTAAGAAATATGAATTCATATATTTGTAAAATAAACATACCAATAGTTGGGATTGTGGTTACAATTTCTCCTAATTTTAGTTTATATAAAATAGTGGTTTTTCCAGCAGCATCAAGACCAACCATCAGTATTCTCATTTCCTTTTTGCCAAACAGGCCTTTGAACAAATTTGCAAACATATTCCCCATCCTGGAAGGATTTGTGTGACACTAGAAAACAGAACAAAAAAAATTGGTGTGATCAACAACTTTAAAATAGTTAATGGCATTAAAAAGATATTACTATAGCCAGCAGAAAATTTGCAAAATTTAGATAAATTACGACTTATTGTTGAAACTAAAATTGATTAATTAATACTTAACAATAAGTTACTAGACATAATTCAACATCCGCTAAGAATATCTCTTAATTTTCAGTTGGAACAGATTACACACCTCAAACGAATTAACAGAAATATATCAAACAGAAGATGACAAACATGCTATTATCATGGACTCCTCCCTGAGAAAGCCGAAACTGACCATTCACTGTTGTTCCAATACGTTCGTAGGAATTCAATATGTTTACGATAACGATTATTAAGCGTGTAAAAAGCTTTAAAACTCACCTTTATACAACTGAGATAAACTTATTCAACACTAAATAATGTAATAGATCAACACGTCCCAATATATGTGAAGACTAAGATGGCGGACGGTGTGTAGGGGAAAAGGTTCGTGGTTCTTGCCACGTAAAGAGCTGTTTTAAATGACGCCATTGGATGAATCAGTGGTCACGTGATTGTATGTCAACATGATTATTATATTTTATTCTAAATTTTTCTCTTTTCTTCTAATGTATCTTATTAATATTAGAAAGAACTATTGATTCAAGAATGAATTCACAAAGGTGTACACTTCAATTCTATTTTATAGTATCCCAGCGCGAAAAATAAATAACTTTCATTTGTATCATCCGGGCTTCAATGATGGTTACTAAGGAATAAAATTTTAAATTCAACGATTTTTTAAATGCTTTATTTATTTTTATTACATACATATCTATTTTATTTTTAAAAAACAAAAGCCAATTTAGAAATTTTCATTTATATATGTATAAAGAAATATTTCCGAGCTTCCTGAAACTTTTAGTACATTTTCATTATTGATATATGGAATTCAATTTACAAATTTTATAGTAATAGCTATATAGACTGATATAACTTTGATATTGCTTTTACAATAAATCACTACATTGTGTAAATAGTAATACAAAGATTCTAATGTTAAAATGACATAAGTCCTAGAAAGTTCAAACAAGTCAGTGAATAAATTATACTTTGATCTTTTGCTCATATGTACATAAGTACCTGTGAACTTATTTATCATTCATTAGTATAACATTACTAGTTATTTGAATTATCTTATAACCAAGCATACATGTTTCAGTTAGTACGACTTGCTTTGAAACTTGCATTTATTTAATGTAATGTATTCCTTCTATATCTACTTTCTTAAATAAATATCTACACTAAGATGAGAGCTAAAAGTTAATCTGAAACAGACATTTTCAAAAATTTCTGTTTGATGTCACATGAAAAATTTTGATAAAAATGTATCATAAATATTTTATACCACGTTTAATAATAGATCACACTGATTAAACTTATTTCTTCATCTCTACCTTATTTCTTACTGGTAATTGTGCTGTATTTGTAGCATTCAAGGAAAATTAGATTGTTATTTAAGTATGCCTCGCCATTTTAACTAAATGCTATTGCTTTTAGGTATTTTAAAAGACTCTCTTTAATAGCTTTTATGTATATTATTCTCAATTTAAAAAATATTAAAAATAAAAGAAGACCTTATGACATTATGTAAGAATAGTGTTAGCTGAACAAAGATCAATACCATTATTTTTAGAACGTTTTTATTATAGTTCTTTTATTCAGAAAAAAAAGTTAGAAAACAATATTTATGTATGTTCGTGAATAATAATAACTTAAATCTAAAACATAATAACCGAATTACTGTATTGATGATGTATGCAAATTCAATTACATCACTTGACCCTTTTAATTTTTTTGTTGACACAAATCTGGAAAGTGAACAATTTAACTTATATATTTTATCAAGAAAATATTTATTCCATTTTTTAATTTTTTTTTTTTTTTTGATAACATATTATAAATTCCATTTGACGCTTTCTTAAACGAAATTGCCTAATTAAAAGTTAATAACAGGACAAGATAAGTGCACTTGCTCCTAGCGGGATTACTCAAAATAGAGGTCTCAAAGCCTTTTGGACAGCAGTCCACATTTAAACTCAACTAAGCTCCGCAGGCCGCATTGAGACCTTCACAAGTCCCGCGGGCCATGGAAAATTATAATGAAAAAAAGTTTGCTCTATAAATGACATTTCAGTTTTATATTTTTATCGTATCATTTTATTTATGATATGAGCTTTATAAGAGAAACAAATCATGCAATATGTAATTAATATTTTTTTTAATTTTACCATGTAATAAAAGAAGCTGGCGGGCTGTAGTTTGGAGACCCCTGATTTCAAGGATGATAAATTTTGAACAAAATTTTATTTTTCGAGTTCACTTTAAAATATTGTTTATACTTTTTAATTGTTTTGATCTAACTTAATTTAAAAATAAGCGGCAAATTATCACATAATGGTTTATTTTTCTCCAAGTGGTTACATATCAAATGTAACACTACTTTCCTTGTCAGTTAGAGGAAAATAAATAAAAGGTGATTGCTAATATCGGCTTGAATAATTTTTACTAAGAAATTTAGAAAACAACCTCGATTATTTTATTTGATGTAAGACTTTCGTACAATTTCAATTATTCGGGTTTTTTTTTTTTTTTTTAAGAAACTCCTTGAACTTTTAAATGAGCATATAACAAAAAAAAAAATTGGATAATTTTTTAGTTGTACATAAGTCTAATTTCATTACCGCGTATGGGGAGCGTCCCACGGGTGGCGGATGTGGGGATGGTCGGTGGAAATTTCTTGGAAGTTCCTCCCGGCTAAGTCCGATGGACTCGCTGACCAACAATGAGAGGGGCCCTCCAGACTTGCTGGAGGGAGGGGACCTCCAGACTTGCTGGAGGTAGGGGCCCACCAGACTTGCTTGAGGGTGTGACGTAGGATTGAACGCCCTACTCACATATCTTTAGTTCACCAAACACCACAAAAAGTCATGGATCTTCCTAAGGTAAAACGCTCATTATCCGGAAGTAAACTAGTCCCCCGTTCGGGTCTCCGGGTGGGGACTGCTTTAGGGGATTCATGGCGCAAGTTGAAATATAGGGATTTAAATATTGGTACGTGGAACGTAAGGAGTTTAAACACAGCAGGGGGGCTAAAATCGGTCGCGAATGAGGTAAATGGGTACAATTTGGATGTCGTGGCTCTGCAAGAGGTTCGCTGGCCAGGGGAGGGCTCGATGAGGGAAGGGAAGTACACTATTTGGTATGGAGGAAGCGAGAATCATTGTTTAGGTACCGGGTTTCTAATTAGGCGTAGATTACTATCCGCTTTGAGGGACGTACAATTCTTTAGTGATAGAATTTCGGTAGCTACATTTCAGGGACGTTGGTTTAAAATCGCATTAATAAACATACATTGTCCGACCGAAGACAGTGACGATGAAGTCAAAAGTGAATTTTACGATAAACTCGAATGGGTTTATGATAAACTACCACGAAACTACATGAAAATAATTGTAGGTGACGCGAACGCAAAGGTAGGAAGGGAAGAAGTTTATATTCCGACGATTGGTAAAGAAAGTTTGCACGAATATAGTAATGATAATGGGATCCGTCTGATAAACTTTGCCATCTCGAAAAACCTGATAATTAAAAGTACAACGTTTAAACATAAGGATATTCATAAATATACTTGGACATCACCGGATTCGCAAACACGAAATCAAATCGATCATGTCTTGATACAACATAGCTGGCAAAGTAGTATAATTAATGTACGGTCTTACCGCGGAGCAGAATGTGGGTCGTATCATGAATTAGTAATCGCGAAACTTCGACAAAAACTTAATATAAAAAAGAGAAAAGAAAACCGTTTCGATTTTGAGAATTTTAATTTGGAAAAATTAAAAAATCCATCAATTAGAAACCAATTCGAGCTAGATGTTAAGAATAGGTTTGAAGCTTTAGAGCTTCCTGACGAGGACCACGAGGATATTGACAAGTTATGGATAAAGATCAGAGATAATATTAAAGCGGTCGGTAACTCGTGTCTAGGAAAAAAGGAAAATAAGAATAATAAACCGTGGTTTGATGAAGATTGCTTAAACATGTGTGAAAAAAGAAAAGCCGCTAAATTAAAAGCTCTAAATAATCCTAGCGAAGACAATCTGGAATACTTCCGAATCTCAAAGAACGAAACGACAAAATTGCTCAAAAATAAAAAAAGGGAGTATCTTAAAAATAAAATAATTGAAATAGAAACTAATAGAATCGAAAATAACGTAAGAGACATGTACAAAGGTATAAACAGATCACGTAAATATGTAGGGCCCGTAACGTCTGGAATTAGGGATGATAATAACAATATTCTGACAGTTCCGGTTGACATATTGAATAAGTTTAAGGACCACTTTGACAATATTTTAAATACGGGAAATTATGATCTGTGTCCTCCTTCTGAGTACCAGAGTGCTGAACCGTTAATAGAAGGACCAACTAAAGAGGAAGTTGAAGTAGCTATCGGAAAATTAAAATCATATAAAGCAGCGGGAATCGATAATATTCCTACTGAACTAATTAAGGCATGCGGAGAAGCTGGAGTTTCTAAAATACATCGGTTGGTTAAAAAGATCTGGGTGAACGAGAAATTACCTGAAGAATGGAAAGAATCTATTCTTATTCCGATTCACAAAAAGGGTCCGAGGACGGATTGTAATAACTATCGAGGAATTTCACTCCTTCCGGTATGTTATAAAATATTCACTTTAATCTTAACCAGTCGAATCACGGAATACGCCGAGGAAATTATCGGAGACTACCAATGCGGATTTAGACGGAATCGTTCGACTATTGATCAAATATTTTCTTTACGGCAAATATTAGAGAAAAAATTGGAGTATAACGGTATTGTTCACCAGCTGTATATAGATTTTAAAAAGGCTTACGATTCTATTGACCGCCAGAAATTGTATAATATTCTAATCGAGCAGGGGATTCCAAAAAAACTAGTAAATCTAGTCAGGATGTGCTTGACGAAGACACTCAATAAAGTTAGAATCGGTAATAATTTGTCCGAAAAATTTGAGGTTCGTTCGGGCTTAAAACAGGGGGATTCTCTTTCGCCTGTCCTGTTCAATTTGGCATTAGAACATGCCATTAGGGAGGTAATGCGAACCGAGAAAGGGTTGGATCTGGGCGGGACAACATCCGTGCTGGGCTATGCTGATGATCTGGTACTGTTAAGCGAAGACGTTGAAACTATAAAACTGAATACGACAACGTTAATGAAAGCCGGGAAAGAACTAGGACTCGAAATAAACGTGGATAAAACAAAATATATGGTTAGCTGCAAAAATGGCGATACTACGGGTGATATCGATATAGATGGTAATATGTTTGAACAGGTAGATAAATTTAGGTATCTAGGTTCTACGATAACTAGAAAAAACGAAATTGAAGAAGAGATTAAGGTTAGACTGAAGGCGGGGAACGCTTGTTATTTTTCTGTGACAAAACTACTTAGTTCGCGCCTCTTGTCCCGAAACTTAAAAATTAGAATCTATAAAACAATTATCTTACCTACAGTTCTTTATGGATGCGAAACTTGGCCGCTTACATTAAGGGATGAGCAGCGTCTTAAGGTTTTTGAAAATAAAGTATTGCGTAGAATATTCGGACCGAAAAAGGATGAGTTAACCGGAGAGTTCAGACGGTTACACAACGCCGAATTGCGTGAGATGTATCCGGGTAATATAATTGAGGTAATTTCATCGCGGCGAATCAAATGGGCTTGTAAAGTTGTTGGGCTTAGTAACGAGAGAATTCCTAAAAGGTTAATATTTGCTGTGCCGAATGGTAAGCGTCCGAGGGGTAGACCGAAGCGAAGATGGGAGGATTGCATTAAAGCCGATCTGAAGGGACTGGGTTTGGACGGCGAACGGTGGAGGGAGGTGTGTAACAAGCGATTGGTGGTGTCGGCATCGAACCTTCGGGTTCGCTAAGCCTTATTATTATTATTATTATTACATAAGTCTAATTTTACCATCCCTCGTAATTTTTTTTCTCCATCCACGGGAGAAAGCCAGATGCTAATGCCGAATTTCGAGGATAAGCTTCTGGTGCCCTTTGATATTGATTCCAAATCTCCAAACAATCAGTCTAGTTGTCTCAAAGAAAAACCGCGTAAGCCGTACTGACAGATTTTTTTTTCCTGATTCTACGTACCTTGAAACTAAAGTGGCGTATTTTTTTAGTTTTTGGTGAAATAATATTTGTAAGGAAAACAATAAATGTTATCCTAAATTCTTCTTTGGTCTTCCTGCTGGTAGAAGACCTAGACCATATGTGGATCTAGGATTTAATGAGCTAACATTAGCTAATTCTGTGGATAGAGACACTTCAATCTATTCCCCTTCATGAATCCTCTTGTGAACAAGACGTTACATTATGTAGCTAATTTTTATGCCGCCGAATCCCATATCGCCGTATTAGCTAGGTACGGATATAAATAAATAAATAATAAATTACATTATGTATAATCTCGTAGGCTCAATATATGTTGGAAAAAGAAAGAGAATTTTTAAGATATCAAAACGATAACTTTCAGACATACCACATATAGCTATTAGATGCCTTTTGGATGAAGCTGTATTGGGTTTCACAAATCAAATGTCTTTTAGATTTGAGAAACCTTTTTCTCAGGAAATATTAAACGGATTACTTAAAAAGGGCGCATAATCTGTCTTTTTGATGCCTTAAACATGTATTTCGGTAAATTTGTTAGACATCTCATATCATGATCAAGACATCTGTTAGCCATATTTTAAATAAATTATTGCTGGTTGGGAAGTTAATCCTTTTTGCTTTTTACACGAATAAATTGCAATTATATTTATTTTGATTAGAACAGAAGGATCGGAGTCCTGTGTGCCCTCTTTGCCGGAAGGGTGGCCTTCACCTTCCAGTGTGCAACGCTTTCTCATATTGTCTATAACTATAACATTTCTGATGTGACAAACAAATGTCACAGATGTCACAGACAAAGACTCACAGATGTTTGCTATTCGAGCAGTAACATCAAAATGGTGAATTCTATCATAGATAATTGAAAAGTTAGACTAAAAGACTACATTTCAATTGATTTCTTGTTTTTACAATTAATTTCTTGATATTAATATATTATATGATATAATGTATCATAAATGGATATAATATGACATTTATTATGAATTTATAATGTATGGTATTTATTGAAAACACGCCAGATACTATAAAATGATCAATGTTGCCACTCGTCACAACCAAATCATTGTACCTTAAGGTGCGATATTACACAAACAATGAGAAAAACAATTATCTAATATAACTAACAACGGCATTATTGTTAAACAAAACTTTTTTTTTATTAATTTAGGGTGCGAAATAAGTTAACAAAACATGTATCTTGTGTAACACGTAGCTTTTGGAAGCTAATCTTTGAAGAGTTGCTGGAGAAGCTCGAAGAGGAGCGGTTCCCTGCCACGGCCTATGTTGATGATTTGGCCTCAAACAGCATAGCCGGTCTGAAAGCAATGGCTGAACGATGCGCCAGTTTGGTAGGAAGATGGTCCGAGAGGAAGAAGTAAAAGATGGCAACAAAGACCCAGGCAATTCTCTTGAGGGGTACGACTGACAGGACTCATCATATTATTTTGAGTATAGATAAAGAAAGGATACGTCCAAGTGAGGTTGTCACCTATCTTGGCATTAAAATTGGTCGAAAGTTCAACGTGACTCCTCACCTGGACTATATGAGAACTAGAGTCACAGTGCTAGTACTGGTAGGAGGGACACCTCTCGATCTCCTCCTACGAGAAGACTATTGCCTCTTTAGAATGAAAAGAGAAGGTTCGGTGGATCTACCGGAACATCGAAAGATGAGAATTGAAGAAGACCCAAGGAGATGGAAAAGAATTATCAAGGAGGACACAATTGATCAATGGAACCGGCGGTGGATGGCAACTCCGAGGGGAATTACCCTTAGAAAGTACTTCCCCAAGGTCAAGTCACGATTAGATGCAAGATGGGTCCTCCCAGATTACTGGGTGTCTCAACTCCTCACGGGACTTCATGGGGCTTCAATGCTGCAAACTATTAAAGCATTTGTTGAAAAAAAAAACGACAGATGATGTATAACGCCGCTCCTTCGTTCAGCTTCACACACCACATACATTTGCTCTCTACTCGGTCCGTAAAGGAAGTAGAACTTATGTACATACTAACCTTTAGGTCAAGATTAAAAGCGAAAGAGACCGAGACTCGGAATGTTAGCTCTGTTAGGTCAATCTACCTATTTTTTTTAGCATTTTTCTAAGATCTAAAATGGCATGTTCAATAAATAGCAATAAGCTAATAGGCAACTGCAAGACTATTGTGAGACTCTTCAGCTAGACCAAGACGAGTCTTTGTCATTTGGGCATCATTACATGGGCTCACATTCCGGGCAAATGATCAAGTATATACCTGGCTCAAAGAATATCGGGGAACTAATAAAATCTTTCTTAAATAAATTAATAAAAGAATAAATTCTTTTAATCAAAAAAATTACAGGCCATTTGGCTTCTGGTAGCTCAATACAGCTTGGCCATGATAGAATTCACCAATTTGATGTTACTGCTCGAATAGCAAACCCACAGGTTGCTATTCGAGCAGTAACATCAAACTCACTGCTCGAACAGCAAACTCACAAGTCTGTCGCTTCAGGAATGTTATAGTTATAGACAACATGAGAAAGCGTTGCACACTGAGAGGTGGAGGCCACTCTTCCTGCAAAGAGGGCACACAGGGCTTTGCACGACTACGATCCTTGTAAGTACCTTTTAAGGTAATCATGTCCTGCAATCAAGTGGAAACTCGCCAAAGAAATCTTCCTACTGTGTGTACGTTCAATCGGCCCCTCCCTTAAACTTTTCCAATGCTTCCAAATTACCTGCTGTTTTTGTTAGTTTCTAATCTCTTACTTGTAAAAATATTTTTAGCAAGGTTTCGGGACAGCAGAGGATCGGTTTGTGACATTTTCGAGAGGATCCGTTCGAGCACATCAGCTTGTTCGTTTCTCGGTAGCATCTGATAAATCAGGATGATGGATCAGACCATTTCCATTGCGGATCGCCAATATGGCGGGTTGTAAGTCAACAATACTGGGCTTCTTCTCCATTCCAGGCAGTGCTGCTGAAATGGTTTTGACCTCGACATGAAAATTTGTGGAGGTCAAAACCATTAACGTACGTTAAAAACAGAACTAGAATATAAAATTTATAAATGAAGGAGATGATCCGGGGTGGCGGTCATAAATAGGCTAAATAGTGGCTGCAAAGACCAAGGCTGCAAAATAGGCTAAAAAGACCTGCAAAGTCGGGTCGAAACGTTGGCTTTTAATAAAATAGTTTTGCCACTATTTAGTCTGTTTACGACCGCCACCCCGGACCATCTCCTTCATTTATAATGCAACGGTCAACTATTAAATATTCAATAAAATTTATAAATATTTTTACTACCTCTTCAATTATTTTATTGCAAAAATATTATTTTACAGATTTTCTTGTCATTAACAACTAGGATCCATAATTGCTCCTTTTAGATCGTATAATGCAATCAATACCTTTTTAGTTTTTCTTGAAATAATTATGAAAGCTACATAATTATTGTTTGTTCTGATTTGACCCCCAGGAGCGCTAGTGTGTAAATAACTAATCGTTTGGGAAGGTAGTCCTGGTTGGCTCTTCAAAACACAATTTTAAATCCGATAAAACTTTGTGTTCATATATTTGTTGGATGTTGTAATTAACTGATTTGTTATGGAAGTGTCCGAAGTAAATGACGTTGTCTGCGTTGATGAGACAGTTCCCTCTCCTCCTGTTCAAGTGGAAGCCTCAACCAATGATCCTGCTGAAATTGCCTGTGTTGATAGTCAAGAAGAGGATGAATTATTAACTTTATACAAAGAATATTTCCTTAAAGAACCAAGTTATTTTGTGGACCTTGATAATGAGAAAGATTGCACTAAGCAATCTTGCATTAATCTACAGTGCGATACAGGGTCAGATTTTGTGGAACCACCCCGAATCGCCAGGTCTTATTATTGTGCTCCAGAAGGACGAAATTTAGCCATCTGTAAACCATGTTTAAAAAAGGTTTTGGGGTTCTATGAGGTAAGCTTGAAATCTAACAAAGAGAGCACATTCACACTCTATTTACAATAAATAGTACAGAAAAATAGTAATATTCAAAGTAAATCTATGTAAACAAAAGAACTAAACTAATCAAAATAACATCTAAAACATGAGCATACTTTTTTACTATATTTACAGAATCCATTTACTGAGGAGAATTACGAGCCAAGCCTTTCTCACCACTCGTGCAAAGAAAGGTAGTACTCTAGAGATCCCAGCGCCTCTTTCTCAGTCGCATTTCTGGTATTAAGGACCAGTAGAGGCTGAGCAGAGGCGCAATAATCAGATATACATAGCTTGAGTGGAGATTCTGGTCATTACCAAAACTCCAATTTATGCTTATTCACAAAAGATCTCTGGGCCACTGTTGCTTCAACTTTCGAGGAGGGTTGTAGAGATGGGTGGATCTAGAAAGGAATTATGCTAGAGGATTTGGATGATTTGTAAGGTTCTGGTAAGGTCTAGGACAAATGAGATATTAAGGTCATGGTGTAGGGTTTTATTGGTTACATAGAATGGAGCATCAACTATTGTTCGAAGGACTTTAGATTGAAAGGATTGGATGTGTTTGATGTCAGAAAATTTTGCTGTCCCCCACAATTCAAATCTGTATGTCCATATAGGTTTCAGGATTGTCTTGGTATAGGATAGGTAACTTTTCAATAGAAATTTTACATTTTCTGTTCAGTAGTCTGTATAGTAGGCCGTATCGTCGGTTGACTTTGGTTTTTGAGTCTAGTATATGGGTTCCATGTAGTCTTCGGTTTAAAAGAAAGCCAAGATACCGGACTGTGTCTGAGAAAGGAAGCTGGATTGGATTAAAGTCTACTGGTAGACAGGAGTTGCGTCGGAGTGTAAAGGTAATATGTTGGCGTTTGGATTCATTCACTTTAATACGCCAGTTATTACACCAGTGCTCAGTCAAGGAGAGGTGCCTTTGCAGATTTGAGGATGCTATTTCGGGATCAGAGTTGGATGATAAGATTGCGGTGTCATCAGCGAATGTCATCAGGAAGGTATCGGGATGAACAGGTCTGTAGGATGTCAAGCTGTTGGGAGGTTTGCCTGGTTTTGGGAATAGGATAATAGTAAATTATTTCCATAATAGAGGGAAATGGGTGGTGCGTAGAATGCAATTGTAGATGTATGTAAGGAATATGACTGCTTTGGATGGAAGTTGTCGAAGGGTCTGGGGGGTAAGGAGATCATATTCAGGAGATTAAATGTATTGGAGAAATGTTTGGTGAACTCCTCGGCTTTATCTTCTTCAGATGCTGCCCAAGAGCCGTCATCTTGCTGGAGGAGATGGGAAATCAGGTGAGATTTTTAGTGGTTTTCCATAGGGGACTATCATGCACAGAGAGGGAGGATAGGTATTCAATTAAAGGATTCGGATCTATAGGATGCTAATTCCTGTTGGATTAGTGAAATAACAGTTTTAGGGATGTACGATTACTCTGAATTTAATATTGTATTGAAATGAAGGCACTACTTCAGAAATATCCTTCCAAAACTGTGGCTCAGCTAAAATCACATTAATCACATTGTAAATAAAGTTTCTAAAGGAACCCTGTATTGACAAGCTTGTTCACTGTCACAAACTGACAAGTTGGTTTGCAGGTTCTCCTTTATCAACAATATGAAGTTATTTTATTTAAGGGATTATTTGTAGTTATAAACAATTTTGCTGTTATATTTTGTTCAAGATTATTAACTTCTACTCCCTACCATCTTTTAAGGCTAAACAAATTCCAAATAAGTTATTATCAATTGAAATTGAGGCCTTTTCAAGCAGTAATCCTTGTCAGTGGAAATGAATTCTTTTCAGTTCATCATCAAATACCTTTCAGAATATCTTTTAAAGGATTGTATGGATATCAGTTGCCTCCTGCTTTCGGACACACTCAACTACTTTCAAAATTCCATGTGGAGTGTGATCGATATGATCACCTATCTACAATATGAATGATACTTGTGAACTAGTACCAGAGTAATTTCATGGGACCAATTATAGACCACATAACTAAATCCATCAAAAAAAATTTATTATCATTTAATAATTAATAATTATTAAATATAATGAGATCATGTTGGTGTGAAAATTCAGGATTGAGTTTTGTTCAGTACTCCCAATAAAAACTTAACAAAATATAAACAAATTATTTATAAAAAATCACAATTCTATCCTTCTACAAAGAAGGAACAATACAAAGAATTATCTTATAATGAGCTTTGTTAATTGAGCCTTTCAATTGACAAAATGACTCTCCAATTTTAATATTTTGATTATTAATTTTAGTGATATTTCTAGTGGGAAAGTTTATCCCTTTATTCACAGTTCTATATTTCAACACTACTCTGGAATCAACTTAATCACTGTACAGATATAAATTTTTCAACTACAGAAATATCACTACTATTACTTCACTGAAAAATGTTGAAATTGGAGTCATTCTGTCAATTGAAAGGTTCAATTTTAATTTTTAATTGTGAGAGAAATGCTTGAAAAAGAAAATCTTAACCAACTGAAACTTGCATGAAAGTCGTTGTTCATTATTTTATTTGAAACATAGTTGCTTTTTTTTTCATAAAGAATTTCATCTGAATTATTGTGTGAACCAAGGATAAATTGCATTCCTACCTTTGGAAACGGAAATGATTTGATGGTCCTATTGAAGGTTGCTTCAGTTTTGTCCTTTTTCTGTTATTGGCATGCAAATATATACTCCTTAGAAAAATGATCCAACTTCGAAATTTTGTACGATCGCACAACACTTTTACTATTCTACGGCACAGATAAATCGCTTGTAAAATATTGAATATACAGTTACTGACTGCGGTTGATACACTACTTGTGTAAAATATGTACAGACAATAAATTACTGTTTCCCACTCTTAAAGACAAGTGGTGCCCTCAGATGTTAATGTTAAACTAGAAATAGAAAACAATGGACTAATTGTATCTCTAGCTCAAACAGACATGCTTACGTAAGACTTGTTTATAAAAAATAACCTAAAAATAAATATTAATATAAATATTTAAAAAATAAATATTAATATAAAAAAATAATAGTAATTCATATCAATATTTTTGTAAGATATTTTATTAATTTCTTAAGTTTTAACTATACAGTACTTGCTGACCTAGTATTTTTGATCTTGTTGATATAATATGTGCCATAATAAACATTTATAAGATTAGTAATGTCTATTCCGTATAACAAATCCAACTCCAACTCCAAATTCTAAAATTGTTGAGAAGAAAAAAAAAAAAAAAAAATTAAAATACCCTTTAAAAGCTTACCATTGATAAAACAAACTTTATTGTTGCTTAGTGTTTTGTTGTGCAAATTAACTTTTGAGTAAATATTTATTTTAGCTATATATTAAAATTTTCATTATTAGTCTAAGCGGTGACAGCGATTGAGTATGCAAAAATCCGTACCTTGATTTCTCTTCAGATTCTAGTCTGGGATGTCCTATGACTAGAAAACTGTGAAATTCAAATTTTAAAACTTTGCGTTAATGTGTTGTGCGCAACCATCATTAACTTTATTTTCCCTTTCATGAACAATAAACACCTAACTTCAGTTATAATGTTGCACACAAAGCGCACTAGAAATGCTCAATTTGTGTAAAAAGCAATATTTTCCATTATATGAATACATGTAGCGCATGATTTCTATGATTTTGTTAGAAAACGTATCTATTTTAAATAATCAATGTGGAAATAAGTAAAAACAGGTTAAAATACAAAAAAAAAAAAAAAAAAAAGAGCCAAATATAAACTTTTATATTTTACATACAATTTTTAATTTTGCCATAAACTTTCTTAGTAACTAGCATTCTAATTAAAAATACAAATTTATATAAATAAAAAATGAACATAACTGTGTATATTCTTTCGGAATCGCCTTTATGATTTGTTTTCACATATTAATTCTTGACACTTGCAAAGTGGTATGCATATTTTTTTTTTTTTTGTACCTCATCTTTCGTCACTTTGATTTGCATTTACATGGCTGAACCTATGTGTGAGGTAGGGTTCCTTTTGTTTTCATTTTTGGATAAATGTACATATCTTTTATTTCCCAACCAAATCTTTCAATATCAATTTCCTCAATCATGGGTGACAAAGAGTTCTTTCATATAAAGACCTGAGCTGTCGCCCTTTGGCAATGTAGGTACAGTGAATCTCATGTTTTTAATAAATTTACGGTTAAACCAATGTTTTCCGAAAACCATTGCCCATCATTGAAAGTCATTGTTGGACGAAGTTCAAAGGTGCAATAGATAATGCCTGCTTTTTCATACGACTAGAAATATCACAGCCTGTTAAAGCATCTAACACTGGTAGAATGATACTTATATTAGATCCTAGAGATTTTGCTGCCAAATAACATTTGAAAAATGGCATATTGTTTTTACAGCCTTAGAACCATAAACCTAGACAAACCACTTTTGAAAGCTGGCTCCAAAAATAAATTTCTACTACAAGTGCAAGTGTCAGAAATTAATATGTGAAAACCAATGATAAAATCAATTCCGAAAGATTATATACAGTTATGTTAATCTTTTATTTATATAAGTCTGTATTTTCAATTAGAATACTAGTTATCAAGAAAGTTAATGGCAAAATTAAAATTTTATTTAAAATATAAAAATTTATATTTGGCTTTTATTGTATTTCAACCCGTTTTTTCTTATTTTGTCATTGATTATTTTAAACAGATACGTTTTTTAACAAAACTAATGTCACAGCATGATTCAGCATCAAAAATTACATAGAAATCATGGGTCACATGTAATTGAGATTATGAAAAATATTACTTTTTACACAAATTGCTCATTTCTAGTCCAACATTATAACTCAAGTGAGGTGTTTATTGTTCGTGAAATTTGATTTGGACTATGAATTTGAATTTCACATGAAAAATTAAGAGTGGTTCATTAGAACCATTTTGATTTCTCATATAAAATAAGAAAAATAAATGAAGAAATATATTTAGAACACTATAAATCTCCAATTTTGTTTTTTTAAGGATTTAATTTGATTTGATTGCAAAAACTTTACAAGCTGGTCAAAACTGTCTAGAAGTTTTATTTAAGATGATAACCGATTTAAAAAAAATAAAATAAATAAAAAATTGGGTTTTCTCCTTTTTTTAGTAAACATTTCATATAGAAACCCTAAAAAAAAAAAGAATATATAGATTTTAGCAACTAGTGTTACAAACATTAAACCTTGACTTTATTGGTCTTTAGTGTCCAGGTCTCGCAGTGTATATCAGAACTGGCTTTATCATAGCATTATACACCCTTAATTTGAGATTTCTTGAAATTTTTCAGGATTTTAATGCTTTTTGCTTGTTATACACTCGTCTATTTCCAACCGTTGGTCATTCATTGAGGTTATTGCGGAACTGCCGTATTTGAATTTTTCTACTCTTGGTAACAATTTTCCTTTAGATCCTGTTATTGGAATGGAATTTTTGGCTTATTATCATATAACTGTTTTATCATTTATCTATCATGCTTATTTTATACTATGTTTACTATATATCTATCATATATTTATCATGTTTTATTTAATTGTACCATATAATTGTCTTATCTTCATTTACTTGTAGACTGAACTCTGCTTCTCTTATTAGAGTCAGCGAATTTCTCAATGTCCACTTAGTTGCTGCTAAGGACTGTCTGCATATTCAAGATTTTATGATTTATTCCGATGTTCATACTTCCGTCTTCGTGTGGTGTTGTTCTTATGATCTCCAACATTAAGTTGAACTACATCAGTGAGAGTATATCTCCCTGCCGTAAGCCAGTTCGAACTTTGAGGGCTTCAGATATTTCTCATTGTATTAGGACTCAAAATTTAGGATCATTTGTACATACCTTTGTCAATCTCACCAACTTACCGGAAACTCCCAGTTCATTCATGATTTTCCAAAGGCAGTTCCTGTCCACAGAATCATAGGCTGGTTTGAAATCAACAAATAAGGCGGGGATGTCCTGAGCTGCTTCCCATCGTTTTTTAAGTACTTGTTTTAGGATGAAGATCTAGTCTAGCTTCTTTTTCTTCTGAATTCAACTTGGTGGTCGCGTATTATATTTTGGTTATACACATATGTCCGGTTTATTAGGATATTGGTTGTTATCTTGTAAGTCTCTGTAATTATTACACTCATACATAATACATAGAGCCTTTATTTTGATTAAGACCGTATTCCAAGCCTCTGTTATTTTCCTCCATCCTTATTTTTCTGTAGTAGTTACTGTAACTTGGCAATTATGTCTTCTTTGTTGTTGTTTTGAGCCTTTCTATAGTTATTTCCACATCCAGTATATCTAGTTTATTGGCTTATCAGCCTCTTCTTGGTTGAGGTCTTCTGTATGGTCCATCTCTTCTTTGTTTGTGGATCCCCTTAATTGAAAAGCTGCTGGAAATGCTCTTTCCAGATGTTCTATTTCTTTTCTTTAGATGCGTCAAAAAATTGAAAATTTACAAAATTGGACTTTAAATGCTATAATGCCCAACCTTATTATTCATAATATGTACTTTCTCTAAGGAATTTAATGAAAGCTAAAATAACCAATCCATTTGTGGTGTTAGTGTCCAAAGAAAAGAAATTGAGCATCTGAAAAGAGCATTTTCAGCAGCTTTTCAATCAAGAGGATCCATGAATGAAGAAGACAAAAGAAAAGGAAAATTCTAAATTTGGTTTGGGAAAATCCCAATTTGGGTAGGAAAGTTCTAAATTTGATTTGAAAAATTCCAATTCGTTTTGGGAATTTCTAAATTAGATTTGGAAATGCTATATAATTAATGAGCCATTGATTTACTCAATTTCTGATGCTCATTTTGGATGTTATAGTTGTTTTGTTTTTTGGAATGGTGGGATATAGTTTAGGACTGCTGGATTTCCATTTTAAAAAATCTGGCCCAAAAAGAAATAATTTATATATGTATATGTATGTAATATAAATATATATATATACAGGATATATATATATATATATAGGATAATAAAATTATTTTTCATTTCATTTCATGTGTTTATCATTTTGTATAATTTTCTTAAATTTATACAAAATGAGATTTAGAAAAATTCTAAATTTTTCCATCTAATCAAAATAAACTTTTCTGCCCATGATTTAGAGACTCCTTTACAAATCATAGCCAGCTTAAGATATTTCTTGTTAAAAAAAAAAAATGTTTTGGAATCAGTTGAAATTTCTTTAATTATTTTCAATTTGTAGTAAATTATTAATTCATTAAAAAAGGTTTTTAAAATGTATTAAATTAAAGTTTTATTTAATTAATTTAAATTTATAGGACTTGTTAGATAAATTGAGAAGAGGGAAGCCAGTCAGTGATGCAAAATTTCCTGCAGGCACAGAAGTTATCATAGTTGATGATGATGAGGAAGATTTGCTCCAGAAAGAGCTCAAAAAGAAAGAGAGTAAGTTGTATTTCTTAAATTTATTATTATCTCTTCAAAGAATTTTCATATTTATTTTTCAATTTATCTTCCTTCCATTGTTCATCGAAAACTGTTAAAGTTAATGTAATTACTATATTTATTGTAGTTTTTAAAAATGTATTATTTGTCTTGTGGTAGTTAAAGAATATTAATTTAATAACAGTTGATTAATAGTTGACTTTCGTGAAAATAATGAAGAGGAGTTGGTTGGGGTGAGCAGTCACAAGTAAAAATTAATAAATTATATTTAAATGAGATCACTAGTATGGGATGAGGTCATCAGAAGACTTAAAAAGGATTATGAAGGGGGGCTTTGGATACCAGAAGAGGATGTTTACCGCCTCTTCGCTGAAACTAAAAGGTCGTAGAAAGTAGTCGAAACCATGTTAAACCAATTTACGGCCATCTCAGAAAAACTAGTAGACTGTAGAACAGGCGGAGGCGGCTCCCTCAGTTTGCGATTAAATACTAACAATCATTTCTGGTTACCTAGAAGAACTTATAGCTTTAACCTTTCCATTTTTCTTTGTGCAGAGAGAATAATGCCTTCAATATTAAAATTTCCTATTTTTTTTATAATATGGTCCAAGTTCTGAACAAAATAAAGAAAATAAAAATTAATTTTTTTATTAGTGATATCTGAGTTTTACTAAACAACCAATCAACTATTCATTATTTGTAGTTCAGATTAGTTATATATTATTTTAGTTTATAAAACAGGAATTAATATTACTCATTTCTGGGGAAGTATATACAAATTAAATTACCTCTAAGAATCAGTGAATATGCAAATCAAAGTGTTAAATTGCAAGCGTTAAATAAAAAGTTCAAGATATTTAGCAAAGTATTTTTGAACTAAGTTTTATTATTATAATTATATCATTTTTACAATAGAGGCCTTCTTAAACGACCTCCATATAGAATAAAGGAAGTTAAATTTAAAAAATAAAATAAAATAATACATTTAAAAAAAAATTGTTTTATTTTTTTGGACAATTAAATTATTGCATTAATATTTGTTCGTTAATACAATCAATATAATGTACCAAAAACGTTATTATAACACTATAACTAAGCCATTTATGAGTACTGAATGGTGTGGTAGAGGCCTGTAAGAACCTACGCCAGTGCCGCTTTTCTGCTGCTTAAGTGCATTTTCTACGATACTGCTTCAAATACTTTAAAAAGTAATCAGTGTTTAGAAAGAGCAATCTATTCTCCAAATGTTTTATTATCAGTACGTTTTGCGTTATTGTTACAAACAATGCGTTGGCCCTTTAATTACAAATGAAACTTGATTTTCAACTTGAACATTTTTTTGTTAAATATGAACTTTACTGGTGTTTTCTATTGCCTGATTCAATTATTTTTTAAATAGTTTTTCATGTTTTATTATTCTCTGACTATTTAGCTTTAATAAAAGACCAACTATGACGAAATTAAGCCAAATTCTGATTCTCAGTGACTAAAAAAAATAATTAAAGTCCAAGTCGTAAGTTTGCCATGTTTGGATGCCATTTTGGGGCAGTGCTTTCACTTTTTTTTGTGAAAACATTGGCTTTTTTAAAATAAATAGTTACAAGGAATACAACAATATGCAATTTTTAGGGATGTTGGGAGAGAGGGGGAGTGCACGGTAGAGGGGTCTTGCCCACCGTGTATTATGGTCTATTCCTGTAGTTCCGTTAGTTAAGTAAGCTGTTTTATTTCTTTATACTATAATGACGTTTTGTTTAATGTTAAGGAATTTATTTATGTTTCATGTGTTTTGAATATTTGATAATTTTAGAATAGTAGTTTATGTAAATAAAGATTGTAAATAAACAATGTAATACTATAAAAGACCATGTAGAAAGTCAGTATTATTCAGACCATGGTTGTGTTCACTTCATGCCCTAGTATTTTTTTTTTTATCTTGGTTCCGTACTTATTTTAACTCATATATACCTGATTGAAAATATCCAAAATGGAGTAAAGTAGTAAGTAAATTATGGTGTCTACTGCATCCATGCCATCTAAGAGTTTTATCTCTATATGAAAATATTATATAGTCATTGTTTTATCATATTATAATAATAATAATAACCTTTATTTGTACACACAGTTAAAAAAATATATACATAAGTTTATATTTTGTTTTCTATCTAATGTTTAAATAAATGCGTACAAAATCAATATTTTAGTTGAGATTTTAAGTTCGAATATTTCTAACTCTCTTGCAACCACACTAAGTAGGAAGTATTGTGCTCATTCAAAGTTTTCTTTTGACTTTTGAGATCACAGAGGAGCTTAATCACATACTTTTTAAAAATAAATCTCATTAAATATTGTTAGACATTTATTCAGTTTTCTTTTCTTTTTATTAATTTTTTATACTTGTGTTTTGATTTGATTTTCATTTTAAATAAGCAATCCAAAATTTTGATCTTGTTGAGGTTTATTAATTAAATATATTGTCATACAAATTCTAACACCGCCTAATTCAATTTTCATAATTTTAAAAGAGATTAAAAAAAAAAAAAACTCTCATTTCAATGCTAATCACTCCCTTTGTATAGTTTGTAGCATAATTTAACTGTGAAACATCTTGGAAATATACAGGTAACATATCTATGGTTACCATTTGATTAGGTTTGATAAACCTAATCCATATAGCTACCTAACTCATTTCAGTCAAAAAGTGAGTTAGGCGGTTTACTGTGTTAAAATTTATATGATGATATTATAAAAGAGATCAATTTGATTTGAAATTATCTTTCACCCTCCTTTCTATTCTTGTTCTTACACTGGAAATAGTGATAGAATTAAAGATAAATGTTGTTATATTAATATAATCAATAATGAAACACCAAATTTGTTAATATTCTAATTAACATTGCATCCATAGTTTTCTGATATTAACTCAAACTAATAAAATTGGAAAGAAAAATTAAATTAGAAAACATCATTTTCCTTTCCTTAAATGTATAAAACAAAGTGTGTGGATGTTAGACTATGTCAGTATATTCAATAGGATTAAGGAATGCTTTTTTTAAATCAGTCTTTCATATGGACAAGGGGCTAAACAAAGACTGATGAACAATTGCTCACTTTCTTTCTAATTGTCTTTCAAATAAAATTTACATAATTGAGGAATATCAAATATTTTTTTTTATTTTATAAAGAAAATTAGGTAAGCTTACAGAATTTTATTTATCTTTTAGTTACTGGCCTCACAGAAATAAAAGAAATTGCTGAAGAAGTGAAAAATGCACTGCCGTCTATCTCTCGTCGATATAATATTGAAGGACAGATGGACAATAATTTGAATTGCTTGCAATCGGAGATAGAACAATTAGAAGGTATGTTGAAAATATATATTCATATGTCTTTTTTAAACATTTTACCAAGCTATTTAATTATATTGATTAGTGAATCAAGTAATCCTAAGTAGTAGGGCAGCACTATTTTAAATTAAATATTTCTTTCTCTATCTGTTGAATGCTGTAGTCCTTCCTTTATCCCGTAGCAGGGAGGAAATAAACCTAATGCTAAATTAGATTGGTAGGGGTGTTCAAATAATGTTAAAATTAAGGTAAAGAAGAACAAGAAATATATAAAATAAAATAAAATATTACATGCTCTAGAATTGAATGGTGGAATGGGGTCCCTATAAACATTTGTTTAGTAATTATAAACACTTGTTAATGGATTAGTTTTTTAATGATCGGATGTTTTTGAAATCTGCTGATTGGTGAATGTGGGTTGGTGAATTTTGTGTATCTTCCTTGCCACTTCTCTTTCATCCCTCTCTTCCACGCCTGCTAAGATCTTTTCTTGCTCTCCCTAGCCAGTAATATGTAATGGTGATAAGTATACAATGGCTCCTTGGCGACAGCGTCATTATGAAGTCACATTTTAAACTTATATTAAAATGAAAAATATATAATATTATGTATATATATATTTTTTTTTTTTTAAACCCATGGAATGTGGTGTTGAGAACATGGGATAGGAGGAGGATTAAATATGACCTCTTGTATATTATATAATAATAATTTAATATATTTAAACAATATTTTTGTACCATTAATTATTAATGAGAAGGTAGAATTTCAATGATAAGTTTAATATTTGACTAGGAAAAATATCTTTGGGATCCCTTGGCTCCTATATACAGCCCTGCAGCGAATATTTGAGCTTATTTAATTTGAAATTAATTTTTCATTTATATTGCAACAGTTAAATGATTTTTAGAAGTTTATCCAATTGATAATTGGCTGGTTATTGGTGATTGGTTGGTTAGAGTGTTGTGGTGGTAATAGGAAAGTAGGTTAACAATAATAATAATTTTATATTACTATAAATTTTCACTATTCATGGATTTTGAACTTCTTTCAGAACTGTATTTATTTTGGAAATTTATTTTACGTTTTTGAAAAATAATTTAGTTATAAAATAAATGGTAATCAAGCAATAAATATAAGAGTGAATGAAAAAATTTCTGTTAATTATTTGAGAAATAACTCATTCAGAAATATAAGGCAATGAACGTTCAATTTATTCAAAGTTCAAAAAGTATTTATAATAAAATTTGACGAGTGATCACTGCTGTGATTTCTCAGCGCCTACAGTGACCGTCAGTGTTGGAGCACAGTAATTTCACAGCTCCTACAGTGATGTGTCACTGAAATTTCAGTGCGTCTGTCTCTGTGATCACCAGCTTTGGCCCAGTCGCTGTGACAGAATCATAGCTCTGCCGGGCTTATCTGCTGGGTCCGTCACTAATATAAACGTTAAAACCAAGACAACAAATGAGTGGCCTTAACACAATATCTTAATTATCTTTTATAGATCATTCAACAGAATTAAAAGAATACCTTAAATATCAAAGCAATTATAATAGTCCATGGTACAAACCCCTTTTTATCAAATCATTAACATCCTCCTGAAACTTCGTGAATGGCTTCATCTTATCATGAATAACTTCATCTCATTGTAACCTACAACTATTTTATTTACGAGAACTCTTGGAATTGGACCATTTTTAACCTGGACGTCGGCAAACTTTATCCAATTAATTAGGTACTAAAAACTGGTATATACTCATTTGCTTTCCACTTGAATCGTAAGATAATTTGATTACAAAATCAATGAAAAAGGTGGCCTTTAAAAATATTTGACCCTTTGGCCTTTGTAACCTCGTTGTTTTGACAATTGGGGATGCAGGTTACGCCAAATGGCTCAATATCTTTGAAGGCTGCCTTTTTTCTTGACTTTGTGCTCAAGTTATCTTACAATTCAAGTGGAAAGCAAATGGGTATTTACGAGTTTTTAGTACCTAATTAAATAGACAAAGTTTGCCAATTTCCAGATTAAAAACTCCCCCATTCCATAAATGTTTCGTAAATAAAATATTTGTAGATTACGATGAGATCAAGCTATTTATGAAGTTTCAGGTGGATGTTAATAATTTGATAAAAAGGAGTATGTCTAGTTAAGCTGAAAACAAAAGGCTTAATCATTTTAATTATATAAAATGCTATTAAGACTGGATAAAAGAGAATAGTTAAAATACACAACAAGGGGCGGGGTGGCCGAATGGTCTGATATATATGTGCACAGCACCGCGAGTTGCCAGGCAACCAGATAACCGATGTTATGAGATTAAAAAAAGTAGGAGTTGGTGTCCCGGTACCGAAATGCTTTTAAATTCCCGTCCCCCCTCCCCCTCCTGGCCCGGGGAAATCCCGTATAGCCTAAAAGGCATGGTAGGGAAGAAAAAGAAAAAGTTAAAATACAAAAAGATATTATGTCCAAAAAACTTTGTTTTGATAAGTAGAGGGTAGGGATCAGGGTTAATATTAAAAAGAAAAAGTGACAATATTAAACTATGGTTTTATCAAATTTGCGTAAATATGTAGAAGAAATATCCATTAATTCCTAAACCACCATAGTTAAACCAATGCTGTCTACTTTTGAGGTTTTAAGAACAAAATATATAAATTTTCCAATTATGAAAAAAGAGATTTGTAAAAATAAGATAATATATTTTTATTGACATTTACAACTGTATTACATAAATACATCAAGTAAATTTGGACATAATTGATATAATGACATGAATACACTTGCTGAGTAACTACCCAATGGTAGCACTCTAATGATATGACTATATTAGGAGATCACGGGGCCATCTTCTTTTCAGACGCCTCGGAGGGTTATCAGGAATTGAAGAGGAAGCAAGGTTAGAAACGAGAGGGTTGGGATGATTCTGAAGTTTATTATGGAAGGATAGGTATCTGGATTGGGCCAGATCTGAAACATAAGGAACATTAAGATCTTTATGGATAATTTTATTAGTGACAAAGTAAGGAGCATTGAGGATTTTACGAAGGATTTTGGATTGTAAGGATTGGATGCGAGAGGAATTCGATGGTTTAGTGGAGCCCCATAGCTCAACTCCGTAAGTCCAAATAGGTCTTATTATAGTCAAGTATATAAGTCTTTTGTAATTAATGGGAAGTTTAGAGCGTTTGTCTAGTAAGTGCTGAAGTAATCGGAAACGTCGAGCGGTTTCTTGTCGTTTCAGTCTAGTATGAGGATTCCAAGTTAGTCGTTTGTCCAGGTGGAGTCCTAGGTATCGGATTTGCTCAACAGGGATAAGTGGAGTATTGTTAAAGGAAACTGTAGGACAGGAAGTCGTTGGTTTACGACGAAGGGTAAAGGTAATTTGGTGGGATTTATTGGAGTTTATTTTAATTCTCCAGTTTTGACACCATTCTTCTAGATTTATGATGTGTGATTGAAGCATTTGGGATGCAATTGCTGGGTCATTGTTTACTGATAGGATACATGTGTCATCGGCATATGTGGTGATGACAGTGTTGGGACAGGTAGGGATGTCAGCTGTATAAACTGTATAGAGGATAGGACCTAGGATACTACCTTGAGGAACACCAGCAGACTGGGAAAAAAGGGATGAATAGGCGTTATTGTGATTTACTTTAAAGTATCTATCAGTAAGGTAGGAACGGATAATGAGGAAGTATGTAGGTGGTAGGAATTTTCGGAGTTTGTACAGCAGTCCCGGGTGCCAAACTCTATCAAACGCCTGTTCAACGTCGAGAAAGACTCCCGTACAGTACATTCCGCGCTCCAATGCAGAGGAGACTACGTCTACCACACGATGACATTGCTGTATAGTGGAATGGGAAGTTCGGAAACCAAATTGGTGATCTGGGATTATGTGTTTAGAATTTAGGATAGGGTACAGGCGTTTTAAGATGAGTTTTTCTAGGATTTTGCCCATGATGGGTAAAAGAGAGATAGGACGGTAAGAGGATGGGTATTCTGGTGGTTTTTTGGGTTTGTGGATCATTTTAACAATAGATCGTTTCCAAAGATCAGGAAAATATGTAGAACGGAGTACAGCATTATATATATAAGTAAGGAATAGGATGGCTTTTCGAGGAAGAAGTTTTAGGATCTGGGATGTAATTAGGTCATGTCCAGGAGCTTTACGGGAAGGTAATTTTTGAATGATGTTGGATATTTCTATGGGATGAAATGCTTTGGTTGGCAGAGACATTTGGAGAGGAATATCCAGTTCTGCTTCAATACAATTGATGTGAGTTGAATTAAGGATATCGGGATGTGGATTAAAAGTTTGGAAAAGATGTTGACCAAATAGTTGGGCTTTTTCTTCGTCGGATTTGGACCAGGTTTGGGAATCAGTAAGTAGTGGGTGATTAAAGTCTTGAAACTTAAGAAGTTTTTTGGTGGTCATCCATAATGATTTGTCAGTGGTTGTAAGTTTTTCAGTAAAATTTAGTAAATTTTGAATTTTGTATTTTCTAATTTCTGATTTCAGTTTGTTAGTCAGTTGTGTGTAATGTGATTTATCTGTTGGGTATCTAGTCCTATGCCACTTCGATCTTGCTCTGCGTTTTTCCTGTAATAAGATGTGAATATGCTGTGGCAAGTTAGTATTTTGTGGGAAGTTAATCTTATTGATAAAGGTGTTATTATTTATACTGTCTGTTATTGATGATGTCAGTTTTTCTATGGCACCATTAATGTCTTCTTTTGTTTTTAGCGGAATTTTGAGGTCTAGTTTGTTTTCCAAATCATCACGAAATTTGTCCCAGTTTACTCGTCCAGTGATCATTTTTATTATAAATTGAAATATCTTCATAGGATATTTTATGTTTGAAGTACCAAAATAGCAGAAAATTATGTGACGGAGGACTTGGTATAAAATAAAGTATATTTTAAATATGTCTTTATTTGTGTATGATAATGTTGTATATCTACTTATTTATGAAAGGGGGACCGAAATGTTTATACTGATAATTAATTTTACAGATAAATACAGGAAAATTGAAGATGAAATAAATACGACTTATGAAAATTTATTTCAGTCAATGAGACAGCTTTATGATACCTATGCTCCAGAAAGAGAAGTTAGTATATAGACATTTTGTTTATAATTTAAACAAGACATTTTGCTATTATTTGAATAAGATTTATTTATTATTATTCTATGTAATAGTATTTTATTAATTTATAATACAACATGTATACATATATATCTGCAAAAATTATTCTATTACGTATTATTCTAGGAAATGGAGGAACTTGACTTACCTTATGAAGAATTCAAGGAACCACCAATGAAACCTCTTCAGATACGTTCTGATGAAAATGTAATTTATCAATATTAATAGAGCAATTAATAGGAAAGTTTACTAATGTTTATCAGAGCTGTATAAAAAAAGTCTTACAAGATTAATTTGTCACAGACAATATAATAACATAGTTTTAGTGTATGCATGAATTTCAATTTCATATAATTTTATGTTAGAGCTTTTTTATTTCAAAAGACAATAATTGAAAATCTGTCCACAAAAGCTCTAAATTCATGTTCTTTTCTAGGATCTTATCATTACCGGGTTTCATCCTGAAAGTGGTCCTCCGAATCTTCCACCATTTGGAGCAGTCGAGAAACCTAAGGTGAAGGCTTTTGATAAAGTCTATGTGATGAAGGTGTCAGCATTTTCTGAATGGGTACCAGCAGTTGTTGAGGAGGTTATACCGCCACCTCCTGAAGTTAGTGTAATAGAATTGTTTCTTTTGCTATGGTTAACATTATTTACGCAATGCACCTGTTTGCTACAATATTTTATTTATAATAATGATGTATTATAATTTTCAGGATATTATATAAATAAAAGTTGTACTTATTCTTCATTAAATTATCTACTAAATATATAATAAAGTAGTATAGATCCTGTTACTTTTGATTTTGACAAACAAGTATAAAGTTATCACAAAAAGAAAACTTTATTTGCATATAATACACAAAGTATACATTTATTATACCCATGATAAATTGAAAGGTTCTTAAATTACCTACAAAAAGAAAAACAAACAAAAACTTCAATATTGGACGTGCATTTTTAGAATGTTGGACGACATGATAAACTTAATATTGCAGTGAGGGTTCCAAAGTGTTTGGTTAAAAACATTACTGCACACTTTTTAGTGGCCCTGAGAAATGAAATTAATGTAAAAATATTTTATTATTCTCGGATTGTTGTCCCTTTAGAACAAATTATAAATACAGATTGTATGTCTGTGTGGTTACAATTAGATTATATATTTACAATAAGAGTTGACTAAAAATAAAAATGCTGAAGAAGAGAAAGAAAAGAACAAGAAAATTGTATATATATATGAGAAACTAAAATAAACTAAATGAATTGAGGTAGTCTCTGGGGGTGATTAGATATTTCTCTTAAGTATACTTCTCAATCAGTCGGATTGAGAAAGGAGGAGAGGTTTGAAAGAGGAAACTGATTGAGTGTCAGCAGGGATATCAGCAGGGATGGAATTCCAGAGAGAGGCGGCTTGTATTGCAAAGGATTTGTCAAATGCAGCAGTTCGGTGAGAAGGAGGATAGAGGTTGGAAGTACGAGATCTAGTGGGACGGGATTGCATGGAGTATTTGAATTGTAAGCTGTGAAAAATATAGGGGTGTCGATGAGTTCTAATGATCTGGTACTGAAAGTTGGCTAGGAAGTACTGACGGCGATAGGATGGGTAGAGCCACCTCAACTCGGTGTAATACTGGGTTATATGCGTATCCCTTGAGATTCCGAAAACAAATCGTGCACAATTCATTAGGCGTTTAAGTTTGCCCTCGGAATCCCCCGAGAGTCCACCGTACACCATACAACTATAGTCGAAGTGGGGGAAAACAAGGGAGGAAACTAGGAGTTGACGGGACTTATATGGAAGGAGATATCATAGACGATTGAACTGTTTTAGGGTTTGATCAAAAGTAACACCTAGGTTTTTAACGGTGGTGTGGAATAAGATAGGCGAATTGTTCAGGAGGAGGTTGGGAGATTCCGGGCAGGATTTGAGGAGTGAGGGGAATCCAATCAAGATGGCTTTTGTCTTCTCGGCGTTCAGAGTGAGCCTATTGTAGTTGAGACTCCCATTCTGGTTAGTACTTGGTTCCAACCTATGGGTAACTGTCATGGGTTGGCAAAAAAGGAAAATGCCATTTTCCTAGTATACTTGAATGTTAACCCTTTAATAATGGTGGACCCAAATTTGAGTCAAGAGGGAATCTGGCCCAGGCGATGGTGGACACATATATTAGTTGAGATCCTATCTGGTTCTTTCTCTTTAAATGGCAGGGTACTCAGAGATGAATTCTATTTGCATACCATGCCGTGTCCTTTCTATCAATTGTATTAAATTTCTTTTTTGTCCTAATGATGCCTGAATTGGTAAAACATTGATGAGTTTTTTTCTTTTCATGTATTTTGGAGACAGTTTGGAATTTTTGCAGAGCGGAGAACTACAATAATATTTCATGGCTGCCCAAATGTGATGAGTTGCTAAACACACACCTCAACAGATCAACAGATAATATCAAAAAAGAAATAAGAGAGAGAGTTAGGTGGGATCACTGTAATATCTAATGTGCCAAGAAAATGGTGATAGAGGATTTCCAACGATGATTAGATTATATCATTAATTAATAACCTAAAATTGTATAAAGCTTAGATAAAAAAAAATCAAAAAGTTCTGAACGATACCCTAAATAAAGACTAAAGTGGTGAGTAGAGGTTATGAAAATTATTCCATCCTAGGGGCATGGAGAACTGTCTGCTAATGCCATCCTCATGGTCACTCTTCGCTTTCCGTTCATTGTCGCTAAATGTTTAAAATACAATATATAAAATTTGATTGTAGGTCTATGTTAGCAAAGCTATTTTTGCTATATGAAAAGGTCAAATAAACTCATTGAACAATAAATGACAGCCTTGAAAGTTATTTTCTTTTTTATAGGAGTTTGTACTGTATAAACTTTTAAGGGCTATAAATAATAAATATTGCATTTTTTAAATTTTAATTTGTGATATATTTTGATTTTTATAGAATCCTAAGGCTGTTGAATCTTACAAAGTGATGATAAATGCTGGAAAACCTTCTGCTTATCGGAAAGATGTCAGTTTGCAGCTGATAGCATGCTACAACGCACCTCCTGTCAGATTACCTGTCGGATCACGTGTTATTTCTCGATATGTTAACAGGTTGAAGAATACAGTTAAATTCTTCTCTGGTATGATTGCCGAGATGCCATCTCATATCAATAATTTTCGGTAAATATCTTAAATGAATTTTCTCTTCTTATTAAAAAATCTTATTAGGTTTTTTTTTATTTGTCTTAATTGTTTAATTTTGCCATTAATGATGAATTTTAGTTAAAAGGCTTATATGAACTTTCATGAGGTTTCATTCTAATTTATAAAACGATATCTACTGCTGTCTGAAATAATTTGTTGAATCACTTCTCAAAATTTTTCCATGGAATTCATAAGTAGAAATATATACAGGGTGTTTCGTAATTGCACGGCACTATTTTAGGTATGTGTTCACTAACACAAAATAAACAGAAAAGTTCATATTAACATATATCTCAAACTCATTTATTAAACAGATATCAAAGGTTAAAGATTTATTATTTATTATTACTATTTATTTATTATTATTACAACATTTAGAGTAACTGTTCAAAGGGCCTCCGTTTTGTTGAATGCAACATTCAGCCGACGAATCCATGCTTCTCTGGCTCTTCGTATAGCATCAGGATGGTGCTTGATAGTTACTGCGGCTTCCACGATCCGATTTCTTAGCTCTTCTTGCGTGCCAACTGCCGCAGAATAAACCATAGACTTCATCCAGCCCCACACAAAATAATCTAATGGCGTTAAATCCGGAGATCGTGGTGGCCATTTAACAGGTCCGTTTCGACCAACCCATCGGTCTCCATAAGTTGCATTTAAATAATCAGTGACACTATTAGAAAAGTGAGCTGGAGCACCGTCATGCATAAACCACAGCCTTTGCCTAATGCCTAGCGGAATATCTTCTAGGAGTTCATGAAGATTATTTTGCAAAAAATGCAAGTAAGATATACCTGACAGCCTAGGTGGCAAAAAGAAGGGGCCGATGATGTTGTCGCTTAGAAGACCACACCAGACATTTAAAGAAAGATTATGTTGGTAATGTCCAACAGCAGTCGTATGAGGGTTTTCTTCAGCCCAAGTATGGGTATTTCGAAAATTAAGGAATCTCGTTTCTTGTAAAGCAAGATTCATCAGTAACCAAAATGCAGTTCAGGAAGTTAGGATCTCGTGTGCATTGTTGAATTAACCACTGGGAGAAATTTCTGTGTTTGTTATCTTTTGCAATCTTGTATTAACAAATCTTGCCTACTCGATACGTGAAATGGATACAATTGTTGTTCGCCATACGCTGGTCGAGGAAACATCGAAATGGCGTGACAATCTTCTGGTACTAGTAGTAAGAGATAACTGAACATCATCGAGTATTTCTTCTTCAATATTTGTAGTTCGTCGAAATCTTTTTCGACCAGCATTTACTTGTATAGGTTTTAGCGTGCCATTATCCCTAAGGCGTTTTTCATTGGCCTCAAACATTTTACGATTTGTTATTCTTCGGTTAGGAAATTTTTCATGATATCTTCGAACAGCAGCAGCACCGTTTCTATGTACCTCACTATAAGTTAAAAGTATGTCTGTTTGTTCTGCAAAAGTTAATAAATTTATGGTGTCTTCCATGATAATCATAAATTGAACTGTGTCACAGTATTCACTCGCACTAAAACACGCAGAAGATGAGCAACTACTGTCATTGCTTATCGTTCATTTGTATATCAGGTATTTAAAACCTGTTATTTAGTATTAAACATGTTAAACTTTGTACATTCAATCTAATGTAGTAAATAAATAATAAATCTTTAACCTTTGATATTTGTTTAATAAATGATTTGAGATGTATGTTAATATGAACTTTTTTGTTTATTTTGTGTTAGTGCACATATACCTAAAATAGTGCTGTGCAATTATGAAACATCCTGTATAATACAATATTTTTCCAGGTATTTCATTATATTAAAGGCCTCTAAGACCATTTTAGTACAAAGAAAGAGAGTAAGCCATCATTATTTAAAAACTATTTTTCCTAGCAATAAAAACTACTATTAATGGAGAGTGGTGCTGGTTGGCAACACTTATCATGTTTAATTTTTCATTCAAAATATAAGTTATTATATTTTGAAACATATTTGAAAATATATATTATCATGTCTATTCTTCAGACTTTAACCGGAGAGTTCAGATGGTTACACAACGCTGAATTGCGTGAACTGTGTCCGTGTAGTATGATTGAGGTGATTTCATCCTGGCGAATCAAATGGGCTTGTAAAATTGTTGGGCTTAGTAACGAGAGAATTCCTAAAAGGTTAATGAAGGAGATGGTCCGTAGTGGCGGTCATAAATAGGCTAAATAGTGGCAAAACTATTTTATTAAAAGCCAATGTTTCGTTTTAAGTTACTTAGTAGTTTTAATGTTCGTAGTAGTTGTAAGTGAAATTTCTAGCTGAACACACCTCCCTGAAGAAGACCTGCAAAGTCGGGTCAAAACATTGGCTTTTAATAAAATAGTTTTTAGCCTATTTATGACCGCCACCCCGGACCATCTTCTTCCTTTATAATGCAACAGTCAACTAATAAAAATTCAATCTAAAAGGTTCATATTTGCTTTACCGAATAGTAAACGTCTGAGAGGTAGACCGATGCCAAGGTGCGAAGATTGCATTAAAGCCGATCTAAAGGGACCAGGTGTAGAGGGCAGGTGTGGAGGGAGGTGTGTAGTAAGCAATGGGTGGTGTCGGCATCCAACCTTCGGGTTCGCTAAGCCGTTATTATTATTATTATTCAGACTTAGTGTAAAGTGTCAAGTTTTTAGAGAGAATCTTAAAGTCCACAATAGGCAAGGTATGCCAACATTCTCCAAAACGAGGCAAGGAAAACTTATAAAAGACAGAATAAAAAAGTTTGCCTAAAATTTTATGTTGGAAAACATTATAAAAAAAAAGAACAATACTTAGTAGAAAAATAAAACTAATTCAACATCTGAACATTCCCGCCCTCCATTATAAAGGCCATTTATTCATCAATCATCTTAACTTTTGACTATTTTTCTAAAAGTTTTTGTTTTGCAATTATATCGCATTAATATCCATATTGGTTACAGAGTAACGCAATATGTAAAAATAACATGTTGCCTAACCAGCTCCGAAACAGATTTTAAAAAAAAATGGCTGTCAACGTCCAGAAAAACCGAAATAGGGTAGTTTTACATTACAATGATCAGAATGGAAATGATAATTATATATTACTAGTGTGGTATCCTCTGTCTGCCTAACAGTGGGCCAATGCCTGTTTTACAAATTATACAACTATTCATTTATTTGTACTACTCGTTGCTCAACTTTTTATCAACATACCTTTGATATAGTCCGGTCATATATAGTGTTACAAGGAAGTATATACAGATTTCTACAGAAAAATTAATTTTTCAAAAACTTTATTAGAAAGTAAAATGTTTATCTATATAGCGTAAAACAAAAAAAGAAATAACTCAAAACGTCCCCCTTTTACCTTGACACAGGCATTTAACCTCCATGGCCAATCATCAACAGCACTATGCAGCACTTCTTGAGGAAAGCGCTGAACTGCCAGAGATTGTTTGAGGCTTTCCAAGTTTAAATGTGCTATCTTCTCCAGTTTGAACCAAAGCCGATAATTTAGTGGGTTGAGATCAGAGCTTCCTGAGGGCCAATCCGAGGCAGAGATGAAGTCTGGAATGTTCTTTTGAAACCACTGCTGAGTTGACCTGGCCTTGTGAGCTGCAGCGGAATATTACTGGAAAACCCAATGACTTCTAGCAAACAGAATACCATGTAGAAGTTTGACAACAGATTCCAAAATATCGTCCTGATAGTTTTTAGCGGCTGTTTTAACTCCTTTTTCACAAAAATAGAGCTTTGTGGTACCATATAAGCAAACTCCCCACCAAACCATCACTGAGAAAGGGTGATGACCTCTTTCCACTCTTCCAATGACTTCCTAGGCTTCTTTAGAGCTGTATGCATACACACGATCATTTTGGCAATTAAATTTTTCTTCAATTTTAAAAATTTTCTCATCGCTAAACAAAATCTTTTGATGAAGACCATTTGTTTTTTTGGCCAAGGAGCACTTTCCATCTATCCACTCTAATTTTTATTAGGAAAGTGGTTAGCCTTTGTCCTGTCATTCTTCGAGATTCACCCATGCTAAGGTCACTTTTTATTATGTGAGACATTGATCTGACAGAGATTCCCATTTCCCAAGACATGATTTGTTTCTTTCGAATGGGATTTCTTCTGAATCGAGCAGCCTCTGCTCTCACTGTATTTGCTATTCTCACAGTGCAGGGTCAAGGTCTGTCGTATACAGATAGGGTTTCATTATTTCTATTTATAGTGCGGTACACAAACAGATGGCTGATACCCAAAGGTTTCAAAGTGTTGAAAATCTCTGACCTACATTTTCCAACTTTGTGTAAGGCGATCACAGCTATTTAGTTTTCTTTATCATCCTACTCCATGTTAACTGAATGAAAGAAAAATACAAACTATTTGGGATTATTATCCTGATTGGTTTTCTTTATTACCCCACTCCATGTCAACTGAGTGAAAGAAAAATACAAACTATTGGGGATTATTATCTTGGCATGTAAAGAAAATAACCTGATAGAGGTAAGGATTATCTAAATAATACCCAAGGATGTAAACAAAGTACAACTTTTGAAACAGTATTTATGGTAGAACGGAACGAAACCGCAGTGTGGGGATGGGGATCGCCTGAGAATGAATCTCACATCAAGCAACACTATCCAGGGGTAACACTGCGTTGGTGAGAAGACTTTGGGTATTTAACAATAATATAAGAGATTACACGAAAGATTGGCAGAATAGTTGTTTGTAAATAGTGTACATTGTGTTAGTCTGCTGTAAATGTTGTGTATAAAATGTGATTTAAATGTTTGTTTTCGTAAATGGTTTGTTTATATTCTTTGATTATTATTTCAAATTTTTCGTAACAATCAATTCTTAGTTCGCGTGGTGTACTGAGTCAAAGTTATTATTTTATCTTGATACCTCATTTCACACAGTCCGGACAAATTTTTAATTTCTTTATAAATCTATATTGTACATCGCACCTTATTGCTAATTTATATTATTATATAATTATAATTATTGTTATTGCCAATTTGTAACCATACTAAGGGAAAATAATTCTGAGAATAAGAAGTGGGTGTCTTTTACGGTTACAGTACATACCGCTTTGTTTATGTAAAATAAAATATCACAGTCACTAAAAACTTTTCTATATTAGGAGAATATAAGATAACTTGGTTTGTGAATTATGAAATAGACAAAGAAAACTAGAAAAAAATTACTTCTCAAGGTGAAATAACAAACTTTTGTAAAGTTCTCTTCTATATAAGCTGACACTTATTTTAACAAATTTTAGTCTGGTGAATGTTATAATAATGAAAATAAAAAACAGTTGTTCAATTTATCCCATAAACCTCACAAGTCCTGATCACCTCTATAATATTATTTGTAATTTTTATATTCTCACTCTTTAAGAACTATAGAAGAAAGTTAGTTCAAAGCTATGAATTAATAAATGATTTTTAATTATTTAAATTTCAAATGCTCATTTTAAGCAATGATATAAGACATAAAAGACAAGACCCAGCCCAAAAACTATTATTAAAAATTTGTTTTATTTATAGGTTTTGATTTTTTGATCTATGTTTTTTGATTTTAAATCTTACTTAACATTTCTATTTAGATATTTGATATTTTTTGATGATGGACAAGCCCAATATGGTGCCCATGACTCCATTCGACTGGTTTGTGAATCGAAAGCAAACATCTGGGACCATTTCAATCTTAAAGTACAGCAGTTCATCAAGAGGTACTTGGTCACTTTCCCAGAGCGAGCTATGTTAAAAGTGAAGAATTTGGATTGTATCAAGACTGAACATAAAGGTATTAATTATCTGAAAGTGTTTATTTTATTTAAAACTGAAACAAATCATATTTTTTATCTTGATTTATTTATGTTAACAGGATTATTGTTGAACTTTCTATAACTGTCTTTATTAAATCTCTGTAGATTAGATATCGATAAGTGTCTAATATTTTAAACTCAATGCATCCATATAATAATTTAATAAAATGTTTAAGCAGTTTTACTGAAACGTATACAATTTATTTCAGGTATGTGGGTTAACGCTAGAGTGGTAGAAATAGATTGTTCTCTTGTCCATTTGGTGTTTCTCCACGACAAACATTCAGAGTGGCTGTACCGAGGGTCGACAAGACTGTATCCAATGTACATCGGGCTCCACAGAAAAGGGGCCCGGACTAGAGGAGGTCCTTTTGCAAGGGTGAGTTTAAGATTTTTCAATGTCCTTTTCATACATTATTTAATCAATATATTTAAAAATATATAAAAATACAAGTTATAACGAAATATTAATCAGATAACTAATATGTCAGCTATCAGTCACAAAATTTTTTCTGTTAAAGTTAATTAACTGAACAGTTTTTTTCATGAGCGCCCACTGAATGGCAAACATGTCAGTAATGGGGATAATTAAATTAACATTTTTATTTATCACAATTTAAAGTAATTTTAATTCCTTTTATTTAATTGTTACAACAAATTTGAGACACTAATCAAAGAATATGATAAGTGAAACACGTGTGATGCGCAGACCGCACCAGATTTTTTGTATTTGTTTTTTGGAAATTTTGATAGTACAAACTTCTCATTAGATAATTCATATTTAACCTTCAGACTTTGGACGGTATGAATTATTGGGATTCTACTTTATAAATATTTAGCATTCTAGATTTCAGTATTATGTTTATTAATATAAAATTGATCATTTAGGCTTATTGTGAATTTTCAAAATTCCTTTAGTGGAAATTTTAAAAATTAATTAATCTTTATTTTATTATTAATTTATTTTTTTCAGCGCAAAGGTCCTTACGTTCAATATGATGTGGTTCTATCTGATGATGGTAAGTACTTGATTTAATTTTATCATTTACCTTTTAGTAGAAATCAATTAATTACTTTCTTAACAATACAAGATGGAGAAGATATTGCAACCAATCCAATGTTTTTTTTCCATTTGATTCATATGGTTTAGTGTTATTTAATTTTTTTTTTAAATATCCTGTCTTCTTGGTCGCCTCTTTCTAACGTTTCTTTTTCTTAAATTATGTTGTGAAGGGAAAAAAAAGAAAAAAAAAAAAGAAGCAAACCATCTTATTAGGAAGGGATTAGGCAGTCCAAGTCAGATATATTTTATAATGTTGAGGTTGGTAAGGTAAGGTACGAGAGGTATTTGGAGGCTTAACAAAGTTTACTCGGTAGGGCAGCTTGAAACATTTAGGTTTGAATGCAAAACAAAAAAATATACAGGATTTTGGAACTTTTATAAACTATGTAACTTATCATCAAATCTATTTCTTTAACTCTTAGAAATTTCTTTATATTTTTCAAAACAAACTGCAGTGGTGGTCCAGATTATTATCTGAGTATGCTTAATCCAAAACCGAAGATAGGGTTTTTTGGAGTAAAAAAAAAAAAACAAGATTACAATAAAACACAGTGATACTAAGTAATAAATGCTTATTTCTGAAAAATTAAAACACTTCAAATTAGATAGTGTACTGAAATAATAACATTATTTTAATAAACTATAGCTTAATGGATGCATTAATAAATTGTTTCAAAGAAATCTGTTCAATTTTTTTCTGACAGAATATCTCTTCCTTGAAGCCAAATCACGCCACTAGCTCAAAAAAAGAATTAAAAAAAAAGGGGGTGTCTACTAGATTCACTATGGATTTTATTCTATAGTACTATATTGAATGTTGACATGATATCTGAGTGGAATACCTTTTGCTTGCATCCTCTGTTTCACTTTTATGTTATCTGTGATGAAAATTTTTTTTCCAAACCAGTGATGTTCTCTACTCATTGTCTAAAATTTCATAGTTGTGATCATCAGATCAAAATTACTCATACACATAATTTTCATTGCTATTGCATCCAAGAACAATTCCTAAAAGTTTTCTAACTCATAAAACACTGGTTCAATCTACCTCCTGATTAACGTTGTCTATGAACGACTCGGTCAAAGTTTGTTTCAGAATTTTATCATCACATTTTATTAAATAAACTGCATTAGATGTAATTATATTAATATTTATGCGGTTGTTTGTTATTATGTATTACCTAAACTTTAATTTAAGAATGGGTGATAATTATTCAGGATGCAGTCATTATAAGGTTTTATTAGTGCTGACGTTTCAACCCAAACATGTGGGTCAACATCAGGGCGTGGTTCGAGCACTGAAGGTATTCAAGTACTCAAATCTTCAGTGCTCGAACCATGCCCTGATGATGACCCACATGTTATGGTTGAAACGTTGGCACTAATAAAAATCTTAAAAGGACTGTGTCCTGAATATTTATCACCCATGATATGTAGAACAGTCGATTAACTTCTTTCAATAATTCATTAATTTAAGAATGATTCTGCTTAATCCGAAATGGCTCTGTTCCCAATCATTTTGGAAAGTCACTACTTCACTGTAATAATATATCTATTTTCTACCTATGTTTTTATATTAATAACTAAATTATTTAGAGAATATTGATTTAAAATCTATTTTAGAAGACAATCAGAATGAAAATGCACGTCCTGTAAGAGCTGTAGCAAGGAAGAGCAGTACTCGCCTGCCGGACTTGTACGATACTGAACGAAGGCTATATGACAGAAGGGCCACCTCTAGATTCCCGCCACAGCAGGATGACGGTGTAATTGAGGTTGGTAAACATTTATATTATAAATTTTTATTTATAACTAGCTTTACCCGTCCACGCGCTGCTGTGGCTTAGCCTGGCAAAATGAAAAAGAAAGAAAATAGAAAGCACATATGAGTAGATTAGTAGCAAAGGACATCTGTCATTTTTAAAAAGTTGGGAAACAAATTTGTCTGTAAAATGGCAATTTGTCAGTTGAAACTAATTCTAATTGTTTTTTTCTCATGATTCAAATTGAACATTCACAATCATCTGACTGAGTAAATACGCTGTCATTCATTATTATCAGAAACAGTTAGTCAGAGTTGAACTAATAATTGAACTAATAAAACTAAATTAAAAAATTAATTTTAAAAACGTATAATAGTATTGATCTACACAAGGAGAATCATATAAATTCTTCAAATGATAATTTCAATTACTGTAGTAATTATAAAATTTTCGATTAATCAATAAAAAAGAAAATGCTTACCGACGTTCGGTAGTGAGGAAGCAAAAGGAAACGGCCCTTTCTGAAGAGAAAGTAGTAAATGTTTAAAACTTAATAACTCTGTAACGAACCGTTCGATTTCGATGATTTTTTTTTTATTTTGATGGCAAATCAGGAATCTTTCAAATAAATGTGGGTATTATCCGTCAAAAATTGTGTACTTTTTTAGTTATCATCTAATAAAATATTGAATTCATCGTAACATTTTTCGGGAAAGTATGTTATACACATAAATTAAAAGGGTTTCAAGGGGAAGACTTTAGCCAAGTTTCGTTAAAATCGGTAAAGCCGTTTTGGCACTACAGTTTATAGAGATACATTTTTTGTGGCTTTGAACAGAAAAACATTTACATTTGCATAGACAGAAGTACTATGCCAGAAACCTTCCCAGGAGTGTACGGAACAATTTCCCAAAGTTTCATGCCGATCGGTTGAATGGTTTAGTAATGCACTAAGGACAAACAGACGGACAGACAGACATACATTCATTTTTATATATATATAGATATAATTATTTCATTATAATTATTTTCATGAAATTTCAATGTTTATTTTTGGTGAGATTAGATTTTAACTGTAAAATTGCAAAAAGTTATGAATTTTTCTGATGCATGTTTGCAAAGATAAGTAGCATTAAAGGAAAGTGGTGGAGAGAGTTACTCCGCAAAAGTGGAAACTAGGCTACTTCATGCCATGCCAGCACCAGCGCATAGCTCATACCTTTCAGTATTATATATGTTTTAGCTTACAGTTGCGTTTTCAGCTTCAGAACCCATCCAAGAAATATTTTTCTATTTTTCTGACCCTATTGTCTCTGAATAAAAATATTCATAGGGTGATAACCGAACTATAAAAATGAGAAAAGTCAAGAAATTTTCAAAAAGGGAAAAGTTAGAAGAAAGTCAAGGAATTTTTTAGTACGTAAATATTTTTTTTCAAATTGGATATAAATTTATATTGAATATCGTTTGTAATAATGTTCTTGAAGGGGTAAACTTCGTCATTATAAACAATCACGGTTGTTCGGGTTAGGATCTGGCTGGCAAGTACTTATTCTTTCGACCTGTGGTACTTCTTAAATTAAAAGAGCATTTATTAAGCAGAAATTGCACAGTTAGTATCATATGAATAATTATTAATCTGTTTATAGTAATAAAGAAACTAATTACTTATGAGAAACTACATTAATATTAGAATCCCCCTTCCCCCTCTATTGCTCACTTTATTTTATAATAGTCAGCGCTTCATATGTCAAGCATCAACTTTTACCTCCTTTCAGTATATGAAAATAAAATCCTGTACCACCACTACAACCCATGAAGGGTCTTGGGTTCAGTACTATTTAGAGAAAGCACTGTTTCTAGGTCAACGGTTGTGCAAGGAGGTGATGTGACCGAGTCACGCTCATTAAGGGTACCCACTTTATAGAGGCTAGGTGTGCCCCAGGAGGATCTCCCGACCCAGGGTTGCCCCACGGCCAATGAATCAGATAAATAAATTTTCTGCCATGAGCCGGGGTTCGAACCTGGGATCTTTAGCATTGCAAGCACAGTATCCTACCACTGAGCTACTCCACTCGCTTGAAAATAAAATAAAAGCGATAAAAATAAATTACTTAAAAGTTTTGTTTTCTAAAATAAAAAATCCTAATCAAGTTCAAAAAATGCTTCCTCTAAAACATATATTTGTTATTTCAAATGGTGATTTTTTTTACCCAAATCATTTTGTGGTCAATTTACTTTCATGTATAATAAATAAATCTAGTTATAAATTGGACATTTTAAATATTATTGTCCCCAGACATATTGGTCAGGAAAAACTATCATTAAAATGGGAAATGTCAGGGAATTTTATTTTAACTGTCTCTTAGCCACCCTGATTCAGTTAAAAATGTATTTTATTAGCTTTTATAAATGCATGTTTATAAAAGTAGGGCTAACTGATATTTGATAGAATTGTGTTTGGCAGCGTTATGATATTATGGTACATCACATTACCTTGGATTCAGGCCACGCTCTCAGTTCCCACCATTACTTCCATACTCACTCACTGTTATTTCAAGTTTTTAACTAAATATGAATTTTTTTATATTATTTGAAAAGTGCAATCTAAGTCTTATATACATTCTTTATCACTTGGATTCTATTGCTCAAATTTACGTGATTTTTTTTTCATGGGAGGACTCAATTGTGGCAAATATTGTTTTCACAATATATATTTCAATTGGCATTTTATATACATTCATGACTATTTTAACTCTTAACAAACAGTTCACTAAATCTCACGTCAAGAATGAAACAAGCTTAACTCCGTACAGTAGAAAGTAATATCGATAAAGTGTGTACTTTAGTTATAAGTAATATCATAAAACAGAATGAGATATTAATAGAAATTCTGTATTTTTTTTTATTGTATTCAATAGGTTGCTTCTAGGAACTTGATTTCTAGTAATAAGGATTTTGAGTTTTGCTCTTTGAATTGGGATGAGCGATCTATAACTTGCTTTTATTTTCTTTATGGTTTCATCAAAAATACATTTTATATTAATTTATATGTAGGTATAATAAAAACCACCTACCTGCCTTATTTTTAAAAAGGAAAATATTTTTTCAGCAAAGAATACCGTCTAAATTAGTTAAGCCAAGACTATTTCGTCCACATAAGTGTGATTCCAGTTGCACGGATTGGTTAACGACAAAAGAAGAAGATATCAAACTTTTGAATCCATTAGTCATTCCTGTCCTTTATGCCTTTTCCAGGTAAAGTATAAGAATTATTCTTTTTTGTTATTATGCCTTTAACAAAGAGGAGAACTAGAGAAAACAGTTGAACAGACTTGGAAAATGTTTTTTTTATATTGTTACATAGAACATTAAGAACAACATGCCATTCTCCTTCTGAAGACAAAATGATGGACAGTAATTATAATCAAAATCAAAAGAAATTTCAATACCAGCATATTATTTTGTCTCAAGACTGGAAATAATAGTTTAATATTGCTTGAAATCTTTTGACAACTCTAAATGACAAGATAATTAAGTTTTTCATTTTGTCATTTAGAGCTGTAAAGAGATTTTAATAGTTTAACAATATTAAACTATTATATATATATAATCTTGGGACAAAATTATTTGGAAGTATCGAAATTTTCTTTGATTTTTGTTTTATTTATTTAAAAATGAAGTCAGCCGACCTATTATATTATCAATCTGGGTCAATGTTAGGCCAAAACTACTCTGTGTATTCAATCGCTACTTCAGTTGATCATCTATCATAAACGAAAGTAGTAATTAAGTCACTCTGTAAATGGAAAGGGTCAGTATTTGAATAAAATACTGAGTACATCGTACTCAAGAGTAGTATTTGCCCATCTTGGATTAGGATTCTTTCATTAAAGTTATAACCTTAAGCCTGCTGCAGCTGGCCGTGGACACTGAGTAAGTTCATCCAACAGACCAGCCTGACCAGATTAAGTGCGTATCATGAGCTATAAAACATTTTTAAAAAATATTGATGATTGATGGAATAGTAAACTTTAAACAGTTTTCTGTTATTCATGTTGTATGTAACCCTCAGTGCCTGTAATATAATCTTAAGATCATGATGGAATGTTTATTAATTTCTGAAATACCAAAGGTTAGGCGTAAGAGGTGAATATCCTTTCCTAAGTTAGTTACAGAAGCTTCCATTCCTTATGAGTAATTGTGATATTTAGTAAAGAAAGTATAGATTACAAGGCATGGAGGTGCTTATTATAGTTAATTTCTATTATACTATATAAAGTTCTCCTTATTAAGAATAGTTTAATTATCTATTTCTCCGTTCCTTGCATTCCACCAAAACGGGATGTTGGTAACATTGCAAGGCACGTATGTATGGATTGCTAATAAAATTCTAACTTGTCTTTTATCTTTAAGTTATCAAAGACTTGAATGTTCCTTTAACTATGTTAATATACAGAGTCAAGTGCAGTTTTCCACTCTTCAGTCACCAGCTGAGGAAAATCCATCCAGGGCCATTTTCATCCTCTTACTCCCATACTATCAAGCTATTACACTAACATATCTTTCTGTTTCTTCTTTCAAGCCAGCTCTGTTGCTGGAGACTACCATAATGACTAAATTGACATACCGCATCAGGGAATCAGTCTTCTTCATTAATTTATTGTTCTATCTAGTTAGGCTAGCTGGAACATTTAAGTTTGATTTTACTGTAAAATAGCTTTGTCTATTTAATTATTTTCTATTTTAGAGAAACTGAAATCCCAACGAATGCCATCAGTTATATCGCACCTTGCGGTAGGCGGTTGAGAAACATTGTCGAAGTCATGAATTATTTAACAGAGACCAATTTGAAGCTGAGCTTGGATTTGTTTGATTTTGACCCTTGGGTGAACATATTTAATGAATATGTTGTCTCTCCGGATATGGTTGTCATGGAGGTAAGGTTAATTTATTGTAAGTTTTTATTATTTTTATGTTTTGTTAATTTTTTAAACATTGTTATAACAATTTTTAGAATTTGGCTATTCTTGCCAGGTCACTGATTATTGACTACTCTATTATTGTATTTTATTATTATTATTATTTGTTTTTATTTATGAAATAAATTATCTTTATTCTACAATGTTGACCATCACAATTTAGCTTGTTAATCACCAGTCTTACTTTTGTTTTCAGGACCTATCTTATGGCCAGGAGATTATGCCGATCGCTTGTGTCAATACAATTAACAGAAGTATTCCCACCTATATGGATTATATGACTAAACGGCGTGGTAGTGAAGGAGTGTATTTGAATTTGGAACCTGGGTTCTTAGTGAGTTGTGACTGTACCGATAACTGCCAGGTAGGTTTCTGAAGTACAAAAGTTTTTTTGTGTTTTTTTTTTGAGGAGGGGAAAAGAGGAAAACATATGAAAAGTGATTAAGTTATTTTATTCATGCTTACCTGAGGAAATTGAATTGAATTTCATACATCTGTTTTTTTGTTTTGTTTTTTTTATTTATTGAGTATTATAACAATCTGTCTTTTGGACATTGGTTATAGTGAGGTAGGATGACATTCACACTATATGTAAAAAAATAAATAAAATAAATAGAACAAAATAATAATCAAAAGTATATACAATAGACAATAAAATAAAATAACCTAAAAAATAAGAAAATTAAAACTAAGAAAAAAAAACACATGCATGCCTATATACAATCAGGCGAGGGAACTCCAGGAGAACCCTGCGCTACTCTCCCAACCGCGTCACTGGTACTAAAGCCAGCGGAGATTGGTCGAGAGCACTTTAGCCACATACACTCATGTCTTGAGTGAAGAATCTGGCCATTGCCAGAACTCCAATTTATACAATCTACAAAAGGTCTCGAGGCCACTGCCGTTTCAACCTTCTTGGAGGATTATAGGGATGGGAGGTGCTTGATAGGGATTGTGCAAGAGGATTTGAGTGGTAACTAAGGTTCTGGTGAAATTTAGAGAATTAAATCCATTAACAAGATGTTCCTGTGTTTTCCACTATTATGCTAAGTTAGGATGCCTCTTCCCCTCCTTCAGAAGACAATACGTCCTAGGCACATTCCTTTACCAAATAACCAACAACTATCACTCCTGCCACGCCTAGAATCTCCAATTCAAGTCCTCTATCTATTCCTTCTTGACCCTCTGACCTCTATATCTAAATCCCTTTTCATAGATCTGCCTCATTCCAAAACTCCTTCAGGTACTTGTTAAATAGCCGGTCAGGTCCGATTGCTATCTGCCAATGTTTATAACCTTAACACTGATAATTCTGATAAGGCACTGTTAATATATTCGTATTCATATTTATTGTATTACATTCATATTATTATATCTTTATATTCATATTATTGAAATTGTAAACAAAAACAAATGTAATAATAAAAAAATACTTTTATTTTCCGAGATGTATATTAAATAGACCAAAATATTATACATATATAATGTAAAAGAAACAATATAAACAAAATATGTACATAAAATACAATTTTATTTTAACAATTTATTTTGGTAGGGAAAATAGTTTTATGCTATTTAAAATAGGGAGGAAATAGTTAAGTTATGGGATCAATAATAAATGAACTTTAAAGACGTTAAAAAAGAAATCCTTGACCCCTCTAACCACGTTTCTTTCCTTATAGAAACATTTTTGTTACATGTGCGAAAGCATCTCCATTTCATCTTCCTGTCCAACTTCATTCCATGACCTTTATCATAATATTTCACCTTTGCAATTATCCCGGCGTCTTGAAAATATTTGATAGCCTCTTCTGAAGACAGCAATTCGAACAATATAGCAACATCCATAATTTTAAGAAAATAATACTAACTCACAGCTTACAGGAGGAACAAAAAATAAACAATGGAATAACTTAGGTTAGATGAGATAAGAGAAGGGAGGTTATGTGGTGTAAGATTAGATAACAAGGGAGGTTTCGACCCTATTTAACAAGTACCCTCCTTTATTGCCCACTCCACAACTTTTTGGAATTCTGTTCCTTTTAAAATTCGCCAGGCTCCCTCTTTTCCAGTTCTTCTTCACAACGCAAACAAGTGCTGACTTATGTATTATATAATAAGAATTAGTTTTTTGATTTGGTTTTTTGTAAGGTGCTCTTGCTTAGAGTTTCCTATTATGCTTAGTCAGTTATACATTTTTTAATAACATAACAGAAGTTGTAATTTATTTATTTATCTTATTCTTGGTTAGTTAAGAATGGATGTTTGTATGATTACCTTTTTTGTATCATTCTTTTTAAGTAGGAAAGATTTTATTTCACCTTTTCTTATTTGGTTTTTAATAAATTTGTTTTTATATTTTCTTTTTTTATAACTATGTATAAAAGTAGTTATTTATTTTAATTTTGGTCTTATGGCCAGGATTGATCATTATTTTTCTTTGTATTGTTATTGTTAAGGGAGATAATCCCAGATTAAAGTTGTTTTATCTAAGAAAAAGACAAAAAACAATTGGGTGTGGAAAAAAAGTTAAAAGTCCTTAAATAGCCCGGTGACCTTGTCATGAAAAGGAGGGTCTAAGTTGCATCAAATGGAGTTAAAAGGTTTTTTTTTTTTTTTCTTGTATGGGTTGTGTTTGAGATGCAAAATCCAAGTTTTTGACCTCGGCGCCCTTTCTCCCCCTCCCCCTCCTCCGGATCACTTTTTAAAACCCCCAAAACTGCTATTTATTTTCACTTTTTTCGTTTTTTCTCCCCATTTTGACCATGAAGGAGCACATTTTCGATAAAAAACATTAATTCTATACTGTTTTAAACTATATTAAATATGCTACAATTTAATACCAGGACAGGCTCAGTAAATCAAATAGTTTGGGAGATACAGATTTTCAAATTTTAGAACTTGAAAGTTCTAAGCTATTTCTTCTGTTTAATTATTGATAGAATCCTAGTATGCAAAGCTACTTCCATAAAATGGTACAACCTTTTGAACTTCATTAGAAGAACAAAAAGGTTTCAGACAGAGTTGGAGGTACAATAGACAACCATTGGTAGTATCATCTTTGGGGTTGATCATTTGCACTTGTCTTTATATCTTCAATAACCTGTCTTATATGATTCAGTGAAGTAAATTTTTATTCATTTTAACATTTTGAAGGAGGGGTGAGGGGAAGTTTGGTGGGGAATGGGATGGGAGATTACTTTTCACAACCAGAAGGCTGAATTGAAATTAAAATAAAAAAAATATTTAACCAACATTTACATCAGATGCATACCAAAATATTAAATGAAGTCAATGAAATTTTTGAAACATGAAAATGTTTAGCTAATTTCATGTTTATATCTTCAATAACCTGCCTTATAAGAGTTAGTGAAGTAAGCATTTATTGAAGTTAGTATTTTGAAGGAGTAGGACACCTCGATATAGGAATGGCTGTAAATAATAAGAAATATAAATAATTGTTAAAATAAGTGAGCTTATGTTAAAATAAGAGAGAGTAAAATAATGACAACGACAACAATGACAAGCTTAGTCATTTATTGCATTCGATCTTTTTCTTAAGTGCCGTCTTTTCCGGCAATTAAGTACATTTTCTAAAGAACTGTTTCAAATATATTAAACATTACTCAGTGATTTATAATAGATAAATGTATTCTATAGATGTTTTATATCGGGACATTTTTAGTTATTGTTGGCTGTTTAATTATAAATGATAATTGACTTTACTGGTATTTTTTATTGCCAAGGCCAATTATTTTTTAAATTTGTTTGATGATTTATTATACCCTGACTATTCAGCTTTAATAAAAGACCAATTATGACGAAATTAAGCCAACTGCTGAATCTCAGTGACTGAAAAACTAACTCAAGTCAAAGTTGTCACTCAGCCATGTCTAGACGCCATTTTGGGACAGTGTGGACACCTTTTTTGTAATATATAGTTACAAGGAATACAATGATATGCAATTTATTGTGATGTGGAGGGAGGGTGCACGGTAGGGTAGTCTGGCCCACGGACTACCCTCTTTCACCATTCATCTTCCCCTTCCCCCCTCCCCCCACCGTCACCCCTCCTTCAAAATATTAAAATGAATAAATATTTACTTTGCTGACTCATATAAGATAGGTTATTGAAGATAAAAGACAATTGCATATGAAAAATAATTTAAATGGGAAATAAAATTTTCTAAATTTTAAAATCTATATCTCTTGAAACTATTTGATTTACTGAGTCTGTTCTGGTGTTAAATTTTGTCGAAAACGTGCTAGTTCATGGATAAAATGGAGAATAACCGAAAAAAGTGTGAAAATACAGCACTTCTTGCGATATTCAGAAGTGATCCGGGAGAGGGCTGAGGTCGTTAACTTGGATTTTGCATCTCAGTTATATCCCATACAAATAAAAAGAAACTTTCTACTCCCATTCAATGCAACTTATGATGTTTAAGATTACTGGGCTAAAAGGTATTAACACCAACTCAATTCAAATACAAATTTTCAATCCTTTAATTTAATTTGGAGGGGCCACACCTTAAAAACAAGTGAAATTTTGTAGTGGGATAAAATATTCGATACACCCAAAGGTAATAGAAATACCAACTCGATTCACATTCAAATTTTAAACCATCCTACTCAATTTGAAAATGCTTGTGTAAGTGCCACACATATGGAAATGACAAAGTTTTGGCTGAAATTTTAAAATGCACCCTCTCTCCTTTGGTGATCTTTAATACAGTCCAAGAACCTATTAATTATTTTCAGGGAGAATACAACTATTATATCTTGATGAATGAAATTAATTCTTGCAGGATAAAACAAAATGTGCATGCTGGCAGTTGACTTACGCAGAGAGTCAAGTTTTCCCCCCTGCCGCTGCTAAGAATCTTGACCAAGATTCCATCGGTTACCAATATAAGAGATTACCAAATATAATTAATACAGCTATCTACGAATGTAACAGTAGGTAAGTTTCATAATATATCTCTATTCTTATGTTATTTAAACTTAGTTAATCATTATTGTTAATTAATAATTACTTAAAGGTTTTCATTTACTCAATTATTAAAGGAAGCTAGTTGACTGTTCTACATATTATGAGTGATAAATATAAATTGTAAACTGTGAAAAATAAAGGAGGGTCTCTGTGCTCTGATGACCTGGTACAATTGCTACCTTTTTATAGGAAATAGGATGGTAATCTTCCCAGGTAGTTGAGAACCAAACTACTTAACTGCAATTAAATTAAGGTTAAAGCTTCGGTCAAGAAACTTAACTCTATAAAATGGCCTTTTGACTTATAAAAACATTTTCTTTACCATGAATTGAATCCAATTTTGTTTTTGCACCAACAGCTTCAGTAATGGCCAAGTGCTATTATTCATTAATCTTACCATACTTTCTGATTTTTACTTTCACTTACCTATGTTTGTAATATATAGTAAGGGTAACTATTGCGATCGTGAAAATTTTTGAATCTGAGTTTTCAACGGAAATACATGTTTTGGGTTACCCTGAGTCCAAATAACCAAGTCCCAAAAAATGGTCTGTGTGTCTGAGTTTTTTTTTAGTTTGAACAAAAAAGTATTTAAAATCCACTGAATCAAGCCAATGCCATTGTTTAAAATACTATTTCATTGTACTTGTGTGAAAGAAGAAGTGAAATATAAAAACATTTTATGGATATGATTATAACCTCAAATATATTTACTGTAGTTTAATAATTCTAGATTTGATATTATATTTAAATAATTAGGTATCAACGTCCGTTTATTCCAAAATATTGTCATGTAACTTTTTAAAAAATTAAATCAGTGAATAATTTGAGGGGTCTCCCCTCTATGATGTTCCAACAGTATCCACTTACAATTAGTGTGACAACTTTTGACCAGTCCATGACAGAATGCAAATCTCTTAATTCCGTTTTAGTAAACTTTGCAATGGAAAATATTAGTTTAATAACTAACAGTCGTACAATCCATAATCAACCGGTAGTATAATAAATAGAACTTCTTTAATGGTATTTATGATTTATTAGCTGTATTTTTTTTGCTTTGGCTCTGTTAAAAACGCATTTCAAAAATTTTATAATAGCCCAGCATGGCCAGAAAATAATTCAAAGTTGAGCGGTGAGTGAAAGTTGTGTGTTGCATGCACCAGATTTTTTATTTATAAGTAATTTTAATCCATTTTTTTGGTCTTGTTTGTATTGATAATATTCTTGTATTACAATATCTTTCGGTTAAAGTGCTTTATAATTGCGGTAGTTGTTTGAATGATATTTTTACTTCTGCAGGTGTAAATGCTGTGTAAAAACATGCTTGAACCGTGTTGTCCAACACCCACTGAAATTGAAATTACAATTATTCATGACTAAAAACAAAGGCTGGGGTACGAGGTGTCTCAATGACATTCCAGCCGGTACCTTTGTCTGTGTTTATGTTGGCAACATATATACTGAAGCAGTTGCAAACGAGGTAATTCAATTTTTATTATTTATTTTTTATATATGATCAAATTAAGTTAGCTTTAATTAGTTTTATTGCTGACAAAAAAATCTAAAAGTCTAAAATGACACTATAAAAACATATCTGGCCAAAATACATATGTATTATAAACAAATAATAAATCATCATTATGTACATAAATAAATGAATAAATATATATATACAAGGTGTGTAAATTAAGTAATGAGGCTATTTTTTTCTTGGCTAAGTTTTTTATTGAAATAAAATTACAAATTCACATCGTCTCCTTCAAAGTAACTACCTTTAGAAGCCACACAGCACTGCAGGTGATTCTTCCATTCATCATAGCAGTGCTGGAAATTGGATACTGGAATAGCCTTCAGTTGTTCCGTTACGGCTGATTGAATATTCAATATCCCAAAATGTCGTTTCTTAAGGTGATTTTTTTCAATCATGGGAAAAAAAAGTCATATGGACCCAAGTCGAATGAATAAAGAGGCTGAGAAGTCACAGGAATTTTTTTACTGGCCCAAAACTCATTGATAAAAATTGCAGTGTGACAAGGAGCATTGTCCTGATGTAACATCCACATGTTTTTGATGGTCCCACAAACTTGATCCTTCTTCAAAGTCTCTCGAGAACTTCTCAGTAAAAATGTTGATTAACCGATTAACTTTGTAAATGATTCCTTGGCTATCAAAAAAGCAAATTAGCATGCATTTGATTATTTGCTCATTCTTTCCTTTTTTCACCTTGAAGAGGTTGAAGTGTGCCAATCCATGGCACTTTAGTACTTGGTTTCCAAGTCATACTCTAACACTAAAGATTTGTCACCAGTAATAACACATTCCAGAAAATGGGGATCATTTAAAATTGCTCTCAAAAAGTCCAGGAACCTTTCCTTTCTGATATCGTTTTGTTCTTGTGAAGGATTTTTCGGAACCATTTCTGCACAGATGTTTCTCATCCCCTATTCATTGGTCTGTATTGGTTGTGATGAATGGTTGTGTAAGTCAAATTGAACTCTTCATGGATCATTCGGACTGTCAAACGACAATCTCAATGCACTAAAAAAACCTTTCTCACAAAAAAATTTACGTTGGACAATGCAACAACTCTGGCAGCTATATATATATTTTCTGTTGCCATTAAAGGCCATGTAGATCTTTTGCTGTATTAACAAGCCTGCTCCATCTCTACCTGATATTTCTTTCCATTTATCTCCAAGCAGCTCTATTACATCTTTGTTGATTTTATCTATCCATCTGCTTTTTGTCCTTCCACATGATCTTTTGCCTTCTATTGAGGCATTCATAGTTAGATAGAGGTTTCCAGAAGGACTACTACGAATTACGTGGCCCTTTTTTTTTTTTTTTTTGGATCCTCCCTTCCTCGCCGTTAAGGCTATACGGGGTTTTCCCGGGCCAGGGAGTGTGAGCGGGGATTTAAAAGACGCCGGCACCTTGGCACCGGCACGCGAACTCGTGACTATTTCTATAACACAATTGTCATATATCAGGTTGCCGGGCAACGGTGGTGCTGTGCACAACGCGTTAGACCATTCGGCTACCCCGCCCACAAAAATTACATGGCCTGTCCATCTTAACCTCCGTGCCTTCATATCATGGGGTATTGAGTGCCCAGTTTCTGCAAGAAGTTCTTTATTGGTCTTTCTTTTCCATGTGTTAGTACTCTGATCCCAGATCGCTCCAGTTATCGTGCGGAGGATTTTTCTCTCAAATCTTTCAACACCTTTTTCTAGGATGCTGGCTTGTGTTCAAGTCTTACAGTCATATATTAGAACAGGATTTATCATAGAAATGTACACTCTTAATTTGAGATTTCTTGGGATTTTGATACTTTTGAAAAGGAGAAGAAAGCTTTGTTTGCGCTAGTCATACGCTGTTTATAGTCATACGTCATTAGTTATACATCTATTTCTGCCCATTGATCATTCATTGAGGTTATTGTGGAGCCGAGGTATTTGAATTTTTCTACTCTCGGGAATAATCTTTCTTCTATAGAGATCCTGTAATTATGGTGGGATTTTCAGCTCATTATCATATATTTTGTTATGTCTTCTTTTAATTGTAGGCCGATCTGCTCTGCCTCTCTTATCAGAGTCTTTGCAAGTTTCTCAATGTCCTTTTGATTACTTCCAAGGACAGCTATATCATCTGCGTATTCAAGGATTTTATGATTTATCAACTTATAGATATTTTATCTTCAAAAAGTTTTCTTTAAGATTAGGTATTTTACTAATATAATAAACTTTCATAAGAGTCACTCGTCTTGCCTTTCAATTATTTAAGTTAACTGCTACATTTCAGCTTTTCAACCTTTATCACATCATACTGAATTATATCATCCATTGGCTTATTGCAAAAAGTTATTTTGGAAATACAGTTTTGATGGAGCCGAACTTTTTATTAAATTTTAACAATTATTGATGAAAAAACACTGTAAGTACATCAAAATTATATAAATCGTTTTGTAAATCAAAAATAGGTGTTCTAAGTGCTCAATGTTCTGATTTCACAGATAAAAAAAACTCACCAAAGTAATGATTTGATTTTATGAAATGTTACCTAATGTATTTTTGCAATACACCCATTATATTTAAAAGTCCTTCAACCTTATTATAAGATATTTGAAATATGAATGTGAAATTTATGTTCTAGGATGGAAAAATGTACGGAGATGAATATTTTGCTGAACTTGATTACATTGAAGTAGTTGAACAAAGTAAGGAGGGTTATGAAGACTTTGTGGACCCAGATGAATATTTGAACAATGAAAAAGGTATTAATACAAACTTTGTTATTATTAATCCATTACAGAATAGAACTTTTTGTCCATTTTATTAGTATTATTATTGTTAATACTTATTAGTACAAGTTGTGGTTAGGCAGTAACCACCTGACTTCAAGTCAGCATTTCAGCTTATTTTATAGATTTATCAAAAGATTTTAGTTGCTATAGTTTATTTAATGAGCTCTGTAATTAAAAAATAATGAAAAAAGATACGTCACTACAAAACTTGTAGGAGCAATTTATTTCACTTCTTCATAAGTATCCAAAAGAAATATTCTTTATCATCTAGAAATTACAAACGAGTATCTTGATCTACGAGTATCTCGAATTACTTTCACAGTTTATTTCTCTTAAGAAGCTATAGAGCAGTTTGACTCTTGAAGAGAACTCTAACTTTTATTCTATTATTATAAAAAATGAATAGTACTTGAAGATCAATGAGTAGTGTTAAGGACTGAGGTCCCCAACTTTTTTCCACCTGTGTGTACATTTATATGGTACATGTTAGGTGGCAGACACCACGTATTTATTCAACGTGAATTGCAGGTAGGTTTCTGTTTATAATGTATAAAAAGAACATTTAAAGGATATAAACAAAAAAAAAAAAAAAAAAATAGACATCTTTATTATTTCTAAACTAATAAAACATATTTCTACAGAAAAGAAGAAAATATCAAGTATTTGAAATTAGTGCTGAAAATTAATTAGAAGTAATATAGAATATAATTAGTTAAAAATAAGCTCAATGCAGTGTAACAAACAGTAGCATTTCCTTTCTTTTTTTTTTTTTTGCTACCAAAGAAAGAGATTATAAACGATACTGATGATATTATATCAATAAATGAATTATTATGTTTAAATATATATTTATTTAAGAGAATACTTGTAAAACATTTGACTTGAAAACTCATTTATCTGCATACAGAAATACAATGTTAAACAATAACGATTATTAACAAAAATTTGGTGCGTGCAACACACAAATTTCACTTACTGCTCTACTTTGAATAGAAATTATTTTCTTTCAATGTTGGGCTATTATAACATTTTTGAAGTGCATTTTAAATGGAGCTAAAGCTTAAAGCTTACAGATAACAAATCATTAAGACCATTAAAATTACAAACAGTCTATTTATCATATCGACGGTGGGCGATAAAAATCTAGTTCTATAAACCACATAACTTCAGTCTCTGAGCCTTTCAGTTGACAGAATGACTAACTCCAATTTCAACATTTTTGAGTAATGTCAGTTTAGTGATATTTCTAATTGGAATAGTTACATCTATACAGACATTGAGTAAGTAGATTCCAGAGTAGGTGATTGCAATGTTGAAATATAGAACTGTGAATAAAGGTATAAATTTTGCTGGTAGAATCATCACTAAAATTAATAATAAACAATGTTGACATTGGAGTTAGTCATTCTGTCAACCGAAAGCCTCATATATGCCTAGGGATATTTGAAAGTACATCTGAATATTTAACTTATAAATGATTATAGATTGTAGGCCTATTAGTTATTAAACTGTTATTTTCCATTGTAAAGTTTACTAAAATGAAATTTCAAGATTTTCATTGCCTGCCATGGATAGAGGTCAAAAGTTGTCACCCTTTGTAAGTGGATAATGTTGGGATTTCATAAAGGGAAAATTCATCAAATTATTCACTAATTTAATTTTCTAAAAGGTTACTTAATGATTTTTTAGAATAAACGGCCGATAGATAACTAATTATTTAAATATAATATCATATCTAGAGTTATTAAACTACAGCAAAAGTATTTTAAGTTACATATCTTATATGAAATATTTTTATATTTCACTTTTTATTTCACACAAGTACTATTAAATAGTATTTTAAACAATGGCAATGGCATGATTCGATGGATTTTAAATACTTTTTTTTTCCAACTAAAAAAAAATTTAATACCTAAAATATCTATCTTAAATACATAATATCACTTTCGTTTTTGAGCTAGACTGTTCACAGACACAGACCATTTTGCGGGACTTGGTTATTTGGACTCAGGGAACCTCAAACTGTCTATTTCCATTGAAAACTCAGATTCAAAAATTTTCACGATTGTAATAGTTTCCCTTACTATATATTACATGCGTAGGTAAGTGAAAGTAAAAATAATAATAAATTAACATTTTCAATGTAATTACTCATGCTTACAATTAATGATTAGATAATCATTAAAATAAATATTCGAAATTCTATAGAAAACTTGTCTTTCTGCAGCGAGCAAGGTGATTGCCGATGAAGATTATGTTAGATATAAGTGGGAACAAGTTTGCTCATGGGTGATAATTATAGGACAAATATTTTTCACAAGATATGTCATTTAAATCGAAGGAGAAAGGATTCTTGAGCTTTTGTTAGCTTCAACATTCTGAGGCATAGGTTTTTATGTCCCTACATATTAATTTGAAGTCTAATTTATTTACTAATACAAATTATTATTCTTACTTATATAAGTATGCAGGATGTTTTTCTATACTTAGCTGCAAATTAGCCAAAATTATGTGAGGGACAACACTGGTTGCCTGTCCTTAAGCCTAACCATAACATCTTTTCTCATGCCATTCTTCTCTTTCTTGCCGTAGGAGCTCTTCAAGCCCCTGAGACTATTGTACCAAAGCAGTTGGCTATTTAATGTCAATAGATAAAGCAAGATTTCAGAACTTGTTATCTATTAACAATCCTTCTCACATATAATGTGGTTTCTAATATAATTTTGCAGGTTCTGAGGTAGTACGCAATAGTAACAATGGGAATGGGCGCCATTCTGAGGATGAGTTTGAACCAAATGTTTGGATTTCACCTTCTGAATATAAGAAGAGCACAGGGTAAGTCAGCAGCTATATTTGATGATAATAGAATGTATTGGCATTTTTATTTTATTTTTGGCATTGTACACTTTTCATTTAAATTTGCTTTATTTTTCTAGAATGAACTTACGGAAGCGATCAGCAAGGAGTGTTAATTCAGACTTCAGTGAGTGCATTAGTAAAGAATTTACTATTCTGTATTTTAAAAATATTGCTTCCCTAAACTGGTTTTCTTTACCACGATCTATAATCGTTTATTGGAACATACATTGCTGAATTCTCAGAACTTGGCATGTTATGTCAGTAGAGTGTTTTCTTAGCAACACTTTAGTTTACAAAATACCACATATAGTCATGGATCTCCCTAAGGTAAAACTCTCATTATCCGGTGGTAAACTAGTCCCCCGTTCGGGTTTCTGGGTGAGGACTGCTTTAAAGGATTCTTAGCACAAGTTGAAAATTAAGGATTCAGTTATAGGGATATGGAATATAAGAATTTAATTTCATTATTATTTTCTTTTATCACAAAAATGTATGAAAATAATTTTAGGAGATGCTATGCAAATGTGGTTAAGGAAGCAGATCTGATCATCAGTAAAGAAAGTTTGCACGACTAAACTAATGATAATGAAATCTGACTACTAAACTTTACCATCTCGGAAAAGCTAATTATTAAAATTAATACATTTAAACATAAAGATATTTCTAAATATACTTAAACACCACTGGATTTACAAACCAGAAATCTACTATATCCTGGCCGAGAACAATAATGACTGCCTCTGGAATAGTGAGGATTATATAGCCGAAATTGAGCGCCACCTTATTTTATTCGGTAGTTTGCACTCTAGGAAAACACTCTCAACATTCTTTTAAGTATCCAGATAAGTATTCAGTGTCACAAAAATTCCTTTTGAATGAACCATTTCTTTAAATTTATCTTTTTTTTTAGGTGATAGTGAAGATGAGGACAATTACGGATTAGATGATTCTGATGGTAAATTTACCTTGATTACTTTCTGAATAGATATTGTTGTAGTGCTTTCCTCTGTAAGAGATTATAATCATTAGTTTTATTTATCAACAGATGAGCAGCAGGGTCCTGTCAATGTGGATGTATCAGATAATGATAGCGTCTCATCATTAATGAAACCAAGTGTTAGGAATTTTTATGGCAAAGATGAGTCTGTATATATAATGGATGCAAAAGCAGCTGGTAACATTGGAAGATACTTAAATGTAAGAGCTCTTTTTATTCACTTCTTTAATATTTTTAAAAGATTTTCAATTTACCATACAATAGACCCAAATTGTGGAAGGACAATTCAAGGGTTTTTCTCCAAGAATGCATCGTCTGTCGATAGCTTTCTAGCCAAATATAACATCACAGTGCTAGACCATCAACCCTTTTCATTATATCTTGCACCACACGACTTCTATCTGTTTCCTGAGGTGAAGTCTGCATTAAAAGGAACAAGATTCGAGTCCGTTTAAGCCGTGAAAGAAAAAATGACACAGGTCCTGAAGGAGCTGACAGAAGACTTCCAGTTTCAAACAATGGAAGATTCACATGGAGTGTTGTAGGGATAGAAGAGGAGTGTATATCACCTCGTTTGAATATATACATTATAACAATCAAATTTAACATCATAACTGGCCATAATTTTATTTAGTTTTTGAATCTAGAATAGATTTTGATTCAACAGATTATAATATAACCAGTTTAAGAATAACTTTGCTAGGAATTAATTTTAATCTAACAAAGATGACACAAAAAAGTTTTATTTGGCAAGGGTTCCCAAATTTTTGTTAACCCCCAAAAAAGTTTGAAAACTGATTTTATAAATAATAAATATTATTAATTATTTTTGAGATTATAGAATATAATTTAGTTTGTATTAATGTTTGTGAATTATATATTTTGAGTTAATTTTATTCAGAATGAGTCTTAGATACATTTGTTTATTTTATCTGAGCTTTGTTTTGAAGTTTGTTGCTAAGCAACTTGGAATCATATCATAACCTTCTACTTTAATTCAAACATGTTAATTTCATTCCATTGGATATTTTGTATTAATTTTAAAAGTTTTCATTTTATATTAAAAAATATTACCACTTTTTGTTATTGAGTGTGATTTTATAAATATTTTAGTTATTTAACCTTTACGATTCATTAGTTTATAAGTGTTTTCTTGTGATAATTTTTCCTAACATAATTGAGTGACCCAAAAGTTTGTAAGCAATGTTGGAAGAAGAAATGACAGCAGAAAAATTAAAGGAAATGCTTACGAATTTGTTTACAGAAAAGGAAAATAAACAAACCCTTAAGACTTTTGTAAGAAGTATAATTTTAAATAAATTGACAAAAGAAGATGAACAGTCGGATTTGAAATTAAAAACTTTAATTTTAGATAACATAGATATTGCTTTAGTATACTTCGTATGTGATTATTTAGCCAAAAATCACTTTCATTACAGTCTGAGTATCTTTTCCTCTGAAATATCATGTACAAAATTGAATGAGTATGTTTGTGATTATTTTAGCAAAATATCTTATAAATGGAATACTAAGAAACCACCAATGCTAGAATATTATACAGTTCATAATGTCTTGTTGACCTTGAATATTGATCCAGCAAGTTCAGTTGGGAGTGAAATCATCAACAGGTATTATTTGCTTTGTGAGGGTTCATTATTGAAAGTTGTTGCTTCAGCAATGAAGGATTCCAATGGAAATGATGCTCATTTCAAATTGAATTCTAATTATTCTCATGGGAGTATTCCTGAGAATCCATTAAAATTACAGACAAAACATCCTCTTAATCATAAGGGTACCAATATACCATCAGAGAGCCATGTTGGCAAGAAAGAGGTTTTTTCATATGAGGTGATTGAAAAATATTTGAAAAAAAAAGATTTGCAAATCGAACAGAGGATAAGCTCACAAAAACATGAGTTTTCTCGTTGTAAAAGGATATTGCTGTCATGTCATGATGCGCTTATTGCTAAGTTGAATGAAGTTTATCAGCTAATGGAATATTTAAACACACAGAAAAAAGAAATTTCTTGTAAGCTTCAAGTTATTGAGAATATCAATGTTAAATTAAAATTACTGGTTGAGGAACAAATGGATATGAACAGGCAAAAAAAGGTCATAGAACGAGTTGACAAAGCTGTGTTGGTTATGAAAACCACAGATGTACAAGATAATTTTACTCAGACAAAAAAACTTATCCGTTCTGATAAAATTACTGAAACTGCCATTCAAAATTTGATAAATATTGGGTCGCAAACGGATTCTCAATCCGATTCTTCTGCCTCAGTTGAATGGCAACATGAAAAACTAGAACTATTACAATTCATAGATCAACAGCAGGAGAGAATAAAGAGCTTAACTGAAAAAGCAATGGAACTGACTAGTAAAATAACCTCTCAACAATGTTACCTTCCTGAGAGAGATGAATCTGTCAAAGATGATAAACTCTACACATCGAATGACCCTCTTACGGACCTTGAAGAAATCATTCATAAATCTGACCAGACCATAAATAGGTTCAATTTCAATTTCGAATTAATTAAGAAAAAGTCATATGAAGCTGAAAAAAGTTATTCCAATTTCATAGACACTTTGCTTAACAGTTAATAGTCAATGGAGAATAGAACAACAAATGTTTAATCATCTTTTGACTTTGATAAAATAGGGTAACCATCAATTGAATTAGGTTTAAAACCTTAGCTTAAAGTTATCTGGTTTATTTCTAACTTGTAAATTGTTATCCACATCAATTTTATTTTTTTAGTTCTTGACCAAACTAAATAAATTTTATAACAAAGTATGTAGTTTTAAATTTAGAAATAAATTAAACTTGTCTTCAGAAGATTTACAATTTAAGAATTGTATTTGCATTGTTACTTTAATAGCAAACTATAAGCCACCACGTTAAAGGAGCAACTTATGGGCGGAGCTTAGGCGAGGAGGACCATAGTCAATGTGGAAAACCATCAAACAGCCACTGTCTTTAAACATTTTGATTTGTTTTATATTTTTCATTTTTTGTTATTTTAATCGATTTAAAAAAAAAGCTTAAGCCTTTAATGGATAAAACTACTTTGCTCAAATAAAAATAAAATTAGTGAAAGTTTCAGGAATTCCTATTGAGTATATAAAAAAAAATTATTTGCTTATAAAAAAAATTTACTCTATATATGATATTTTAGTCCTACCAATCTGGCGGACCAACAACAATAAATTCAGACATACAAAATTTTTTTTAATCACTTATCGGCCACTGAGGACCACACGAATATCATCGTTTAGGCTTCTTTGGGAGTCTTGATACAAGTTTTATTGATGTAAATATAGTAAAAATTATTGTATAATGAAAAAAAAATTAATTATAAGAAATTGTATATTAATTATAAAATTCATAGTGTACATTATATTTCTTCTATTACTAGTTCTTGTGGAACATCAATGATGTTTGAAAATATCTCATGAAAAAATGGAAATCACAAAGAACCTAAATAATATCTTTTAATTAATTGATTTAATAATAATTTATAAAAATGTTTATAGTAAAATGTAGATAAAAAATTAGAGAACGGCCACGATACTAGTTAATTATGTAAATATGAATTATTTGCAACCTCAAAAAAAAATTTTCATTTTCTAGCAAAGTGTTATCGGTTTGATCGATTTGTGGCTTTATTATTTTTAAAGGAGATAATATATTAGATTAAAGAATAGTTTCACATTTGGGACAAAGTAATTCACTGGAATTATAGAAAGCTCAATAAATTGCGTCAGACCTCTTAACTTTTTGATGAAAACATTAGTCTCTTTATTCATCGATTAAATCACTGATAATCCATTGGCTACCTGAGTTGATGAATGTAATCGTGTTGGTGTCAGCGTTAGGACAGAAATAACTGAGCACCCTATTGAAGACCCTATTAATAATGAAGTAATATGCTATGTTCTTCACATATACATCTTTTCTCCTTTTTGAGTATTTTTATTTTTATTGGGTGGATGGTAGGGATTTTGTGATGTAGTTGCCTAGAAACATCAAAAGGCCGCCACTGATTTCAGTTTTTATAATCAATAATACAGTAGGTAGATATTACCTCATTTTTTCTCTGTGAATCTGTTTCATTTTTATATTATATATTCATTTGCTCATTATTAAGGTAAATGTACCGGTTATTTACTGAGTATCTATTAAAGTACTGACGGTGGATCTTTGCAAATGAGTTTAATTGACAGAAAATTTAGTCTTTTACCAACTTTGTTTTTTCTATATAGTTAATTAGTTTATTATTCATGAAAAACTTAGGAAATTCTGACAGCGTATTTTGCACCAGTAATAGATACTCAATTTTTGGGGTCAACATATTTTTCTATATAATAAAAAAACCCAAAATAAATTCTTCGCAGTTTTTAACTAGGAAATGGCAAACTACAGATAAATTAATCAAAAATTCAAATCTATCTCCTTAAGAAAACTGATTAGGAAAGCTCCCTGAAATCCAGCCTTGCTCCATTGAAAAATCAACCAATCGGCTATTATGCTATATCACCTGAGGTTCTGGTATTACCTTCCTAAGTGTTCTAGCTTCAAATCTTATCATATTTGCCCTCTCTTTTAGACGTCTAAAGCTTATTACATGTTAATGAGTTGAAAAATGTATTACCGATACATTTATCCTAAATGAATTTCAAATATCATTTTTAGGAAAAGAACTAAATTTGATGGAGACTCTAAAAAATGTTAAGACAGTTGTGAAATGGTCAAAGAGTTCAATTACGAATAAATTTTAAAAATAATATAAATATGATTCACCATATCAAAATTGTGAAATTTAAAATTTATTTATTAATTTCAAAAATAAAATCTATGGTTCTGTGTTTTATTAACTCTCAATAGTGTCAACCTTGCACGTGAATCAAACTAGTCATTTATAATCTCAACTTAAATTGCTATTCATTCTTGATGTATTTCATCAATGAAATTAGCATTGATTTTAAAAACTTGTCCCATTAATATTTAAAATTATTTCAGCTTTGACAGCCATGTCAAATTGTTGAGTAGTGCACACAAAAAAATACAATAATAATAGAAATATATGTACTAGAGACTAAAATATTTATAAATATTAGTATATATTGTAATACGTACAATGAACCTGCCACAAGACAAAGACACGATGCTATATTTACACAAAATATTTCTGAACTGGTGGAAGAAGCAATGGTCCTTCCGTCCTACCAGCTCATGTGCACTAAAACGATCTCCATTAATTTACTATTCTTCATGAAATTTTTTATTTTTTTTTATCAAGTATAAAATATACCTAACTGGAACACAGCAGGTCATATCTCATCTCATGTTACCAATCTAATTTGACTATGAGTCAAACCATTTGTTTTATTTATGAATCTTTTAACAATTACCTTATATTTTTTAAGTGTCGCTTAATACTAATATTAATTATTATCATTTTACAGCACTCCTGCGATCCTAACATTTTTGTCCAGAATGTTTTTGTCGACACTCACGATTTGCGCTTTCCTTGGGTTGCATTCTTTGCCTTGAAGTACATTCCTGCTGGGACGGAGCTCACTTGGGATTATAGATATGAAGTGGGAAGCGTACCAGGAAAAAAGATGAAGTGTTATTGTGGTTCTGAATATTGTCGAGGACGTCTTTTATGAATCGTTTTTCTTCTGTTGTAAATATTATTAATTAGGTTAAATAGATTTATTTTAATTTGTCCAATCGAATATAGACTTTTAAACAATTGACACTTACATGTATATACTTGCGAAACTGATTTCTCATTTATTTATTATGTAAATTGTGCTATGCCAGTTGATTAGGCTGGCCAGATTGTACATATTCATCTCCATATCTTATTATTTTTAACTGCTATGAATTAGTAATTAATAAAGTTGTCATGAAATTTAAAATTAAATGTTTAAATTATTCTATTCATTTTGTGTTGTGAGTAGATATTGTTTTATAGAGAAAAATAAATGGCTACTAAAAACTTAATTAACAAAATATTGACACAGTTTACTTAATTTTATTTTTTGAAAAATAGATACAGGATCATATACTTAAAAGATCATATGTCAATTTGTCTACAGTTTTAATACTGTTATATTATTATAGTCAAATCTAAAATTAAAATTTATATATAAAATGAATTAAAATATATATATTTATTGTTTTTTTAATTGCTGTTGAATTTGTCCAAAATCGGTACTGCTTCCAGTGGAAGAACTAAAAAAAAAAACTGGTGCAGTGCATGTTTCATACAACTGTCACTTACCACCCTAGTAGTAGGCATTTCCATAGGTAATATAATATAAAAATTCTAGATGGTACACCATGTTCTTTAAATAAAACACACTGATGTATTTTTTATTCTTGTACATTACCTTCTACGACTGTCTGTTTAAGGTATTATTTTTTCTGAAATCTTAATTTTTAGTATAGACATAGTGTATATTATATAGTATTATATGTCTGGACATGTTTTCAAGCTGTGAAAATATTTTCCCTTATTTCTTCCATAGGGTAAGGTAAATAAATCCTTTCATAATTTATATTTACATGTTTTATTATTACATCTAGCAATGAGTCTTTCAATCATTTTATTTATCTTTCAGCTGAAGTCAGTTTTTAAATTATATCTTATTTTTTTGCTGAATACACAACTACACAATGTTTTGCTAATTTAGTCTTTATTTTTAAGGAATGGCTCAATATATATAATATGGTTAAATATTATGACCTAACTATACTGTCCTCCATACCCCGCCACCTTCACCATTGTTATTTATGTATATTGACAGCCACACTGCAAAAGCCTGTAAGAACAAAAACCAAAAATTTTCAGATGAAAAAATTGCATAATTTTTTTTGCAGGTCTAAGACAATGATGAAATGCTCTATATAACTTTTTTTATCATATCTTTGCCAAATAATCTTTTAGAGGCATTCTAATAATAAAAAACTTACAGCTTTTTACTTACTTTGAAAAACAAATATTATTTAGGTAAAAGCAATCAAATTTAATGTAGAGAAAAGATACTTTTAATAAAAAAATTGTAAAACATTTGACTGGAACGTGAGTATTTGATCACACAGATTATTCACTTTATTATTCCCCATTGTAGGGAAGGCTGGGATGGTGTGCATACACTCCATTTTAGAGTAGTCCAAGAAATTTTCATTATCAAGGTACACAACTTCATATGGAAATGGTTTGATTCACGAATTATTGATAAGTTCTAGGTAATCTACTGGAGTGTAGATCACTTCGTTTCTGAGCATCTTGCGATTTCGAAGATTGATTGGTTTGAAAAGATCCACGTACAATGAAACTGGAGTTCTTTTTTCGTCCTGTGTTAAATTTTCCAATTGATGAAATCATTTCTCTGTTTCTCACTATCTGGAATTAAGTGCTTTTTTCCAGTCAAGCTCATTTTTCAGTTAGCTAAGAGGTTATTATTTTTTTGAAGGCCGTTTAATATTATATTCTTACTTACCACTCTCTTCTTTGCTTCATCTAGTTCTATGGTAAGCAATACCGGCCTTAGGGCAGAAAACTCTAGGCTATTGTCCAGAGGCGCCAGGCTGGAAGTGCTTGCCACTTATTAGAAATTTAATATAATACAAAGTGTATGAGAAAATTAATAAAGCTAATATTTACTGACAATCTCAATAATACTGTAACTTAAGGTGTTTACATAACAATTTGCTGTTTTTTAACTTACAGGCTTTTACAGAAGGCCATAGAGAAAAAATGAAGCATCGTAGATTCCATTTTGTGGAGTCAAAATATGCGCCAGGGCAAGATTGACCGGAAAAGCTCATAACTGTGGCTGTCGATATACTTTCTAAATATTATAGGCACTTCTTAAGAATATACTTTGAAACAAACACTATTATTTGAGAAAGAAAATGAACTAACTGGAAAACTCTGTATTTCTCTACACATTATGATAACAGGGGTGCCCATCCTCCTTTCTTATAAGGAATGCAAGTGAAATAATAATTAAAACTGTAGTTTATTTATAATTTCACTGGCTGTCGCCTGTTCAATATTTTTCCACTTGTTCTCTCGTTCGAAAGTTAATCCAAAATTAGTTCAGTAAAAGGCTTCTCCACTCAAATAACCGTAAAAATTAACTCCCTTCCAATAATTTTGGTGCAGCTTGTGCCAATCCAACCCCAGGGGTTGGGTCAGGGCACCCCTGTGTGATAGTAACCCTCAGGATAGTAATAAGTGATAATTACTTTTCGCTCTCATCAGCATCATAACATTTACTGGACAATATTATATGAAAATCATTCCACTTGTAGTATATTTGTGCTTAAAGTAAAGATAAGCAAGCAGTTTACCTCATATCTTGTTTTGTTTTTTCTGTGGGTCCGCTACGAAATAAATTTCAAACCATCCTGGCCAGATTCTAATCAGTGCCAATCGACTCGAGAATGTTACAACACATTCAGATTCAGCCATCATGGTCTCATTTACCCAATACTTGATCTTATATAAAATTTCTGACACTACAAAGTTCTATGACCATTGAAAATGGCAGAACTAGTTACTTGAATTTTACAAGAGTACTTTCCACATATATTTGTTGTTGATGTAATTTAGTAACTTAATTGATTAATTTAAGATAATTTATAACATTAATTGTAATTTCATAAAATAATTAATTTTGTAATTGTATTAGGTAATTAATTTTATAATTTTTATTGTATTTAATTTTATTGGATCCATTCTAGATCCAATTAATGATAGTCTGACAGTCGAAATGTTTTGGAAATAAAACTTTTTTGGAGAGGTGAAGTTGTTTTTCTGATCTCTGTAATCTATAAGATCAAAGAGTTTTTTTTAAATAAACATTTAACAGTAACATGATAATTTTAATTTTTTGTTTTCATATGTAATATGTGCCATATTAGTCTATTCTTTTGTACATTATAAAATAAAGGCCACATTGTATGCATACTACTTTTAATGAAACTCTCGCTTATTTGAATTTTTCCTTCGTCCTTTTTAATCATTTCAACGCTTGGTAACTTGAACTCTTTCTCAAGTCTCAAATTATCGATAGTCAACTACAGTGACATTTCTAATTGATTATATCTACTATTTTTATAAAAATTTATGCAACTTGGGCAAAAAAATTGCTACGGTTTCCTAAAGAATTTTTTTCTTTTTAATCTTACGATTAACATTATGACTATGAGACTACATAATGAATTGTTTTGTTTTTTTTGCTGTTTATATTTCAATTGATTATGATATTTTTTACTTTAAAATACTTACTCAATCATTCTGTAGCCGATTTCCAAGATATAATTTCATAAAGAGAAATGGAGGAACAATGAGGGACAGTGGACAAATAAAAATAGATTAATCAATATCTAAAAATTGATAACAATATATATTAACAATCAACAAGCTATTCTATTTCTGGAATGGAATTAGTAATAATATCTTAAATGTTTTCAATTTAAAATAGATATACAACAATTTTAAACTTTTAATATCACTTTGTAACACATACAAAGTACCTGGACAGGGTACTTCCATTCAAGTTGACTTTGAATTTCATTAGATGTTAGATTGACCAGTAGAGCTCAGTGACATACGTCTCAGTCTTATCGACAAACCTTTCAACTGAAATATATAATAACAAATATATTAATAAAATATTTTTTTTAAATTAATCCAAAGTGAAACCTGAAGCTGAAGTGTGTGTGTGTGTGTTTTTATCTAATTCCATTATATATCTTTATCTTTTTTTAGACTAATTAAATCAGTAATCAAATCAAAATACATGCTTCTGTCTTAACAAATATTTAACTCAGAAGATACATAATAATTTCTAAAAAAAATATCGATAATCAGTTATTACTAATTATTGTTCTCAAAATCAGGAAGATCCATATGATTTTTTTTTGATTTTTTGGCTTCTAAAACCAAAAAAAACCTATTTTGTTCTTTAACATTTTACATCATGTACCCACAGAGAATAGAAATTAATAGAAAACAACAAAATATTTTGATGGGATTGACTACAATTTCAAAATGCATAATAGATTTATTTCCAAACATAGAGTAATTAACGAAATAGAAAATAGAGTAAGCTGGTGTTTGAACTGTATTATACTAATATAGTAATATGGGCAAAAATAGTCAGGACGCAGTTAGTCTCGAAGATTTTTATTGTTGCCGATGTTTCAACCCAATCTTGTAGGTCATCATGAGGGCATGTTACCAGCACTGAAGGTGTTCAAGTCTTAGAAGTACTGTACTAATATAATATTATTTATTCATAATTGGTAATTGGTTGACTGTCGTGGATAATGAAGAGAAGAATAGTTGGGGTGCTCAGTCAAAAAGTAAGGCAAAAAAATAAATTATAATATTTATTTTTTACATATGCCGACGTTTCGACCTGAAGTTCAGGCCTTCATCAGGGCTAAGAAAATAACCAGATAACAAGGTATGAGAAACATAAGTAATGATGGTAAAAAAAAAGATAATAAAAAATAAAATAAAAATAAAAAAAATTATTAGAAAAATAAAATAGATAGATATAAAGTAAAATGAAATTGTTAGAATAATGACTAAGAACTAAGAGATAAATAATAAAAACTGTTACATAGTGTGGAATGATGAAGTAGGCATAATCAAAAAGGGGTGACAAAAGTGTTACATTGGGAATCTTGCCCATATTACTATATTAGTATAATACAGTTCAAACACCAGCTTACTCTATTTTCGTTAATTTTAAAGATATGTTTGGAAATAAATCTATTATCCATTTTGAAATTGTAGTTAAACTTTTGTAAGATTCCCAATGTAACACTTTTGTCACCCCTTTTTGATTATGCCTACTTCATCATTCCACACTATGTAACAGTTTTTATTATTTATCTCTTAGTTCTTAGTCATTATTCTAACAATTTCAATTTACCTATCTATCTATTTCATCTATCTATTTTATTTTTCTAATAATTTTTTTTTTTTTCATTTTTTATTATCTTTTTTTTTACCATCATTACTTATGTTTCTCATACCTTGTTATCTGGTTATTTTCTTAGCCCTGATGAAGGCCTGAACTTCAGGTCGAAACGTCGGCATATGTAAAAAATAAATATTATAATTTATTTTTTTGCCTTACTTTTTGACTGAGCACCCTAACTATTCTTCTCTTCATTAATATTATTTATATATATATTTACAAAATTTCTTCAATTGATCTTTGAGTATTACATTTTAACATAATTATTTAAATTGGGAGTTAGGTCACTTAATAATTATTCAATAAACTACAAAATGTTCATTGATTCTGCTGTTTATTTGACGTTTCGATCAATGGTTTTTTATTTTACTTTTTTTTAGTTAACAATAGGATCCTCTTTAATGTTTTAAAATAGAGCCTTGTTACCACAGGCCAGGGATACACCAACAGCCTCAGCACCGTCCACTAGCACAGATATTAAGCTACTTAATAAACAGTAGCTTAATATCTGTGCTAGTGGACGGTGCTGAGGCTCGCTGTGTGTCCCTGGCCTGAGGTATCGAGGCTCTATTTTAAAACATTAAAGAGGATCCTATTGTTAACTAAAAAAAAAAATAAAATAAAAACTGGGATCGAAACATCAAATAAACAGCAGAATCAATGAACATTTATAGTTTATTGAATAATTATTAAGTGACCTAACACCCAATTTAAATAATTATGTTAAAATATATATATATATAAAAAGATTATTTGGTATAATCTTTTATTTTTTTTTATCTCAGTCACTCATTTTTTTATCATATCATCATTTTGAAAAAGCTTATTTATTTCATATCATTTTATTTATTTTGTAACTTTTTATTTTAAAAACCCATAATTAAATTAAAATATGAAGAATGAAATTACCTTAATCATTATCGAGGCCAAAAGAAGACTGCTATCCTAGGAGTTATCAATCCTGTAAGAATGGTTGATAAAAGGTTGACTGAATGGTTATCCAGGACCCTACAACCGCAGATATACTCAACTCCTGGCCCCGGCGTTTCAACAATCATACCGTTCTTTTTATTGAGACCTAATGTAAAATATAAAATTAACAAATGTACTATATCGAAATACCAAAATAAATATATTTTATCAAAATCTAAAAAATAGATTTATTCAATTACTTATTTATTTTTTTGAGATTTCTTTTATGAATTTATGTTTATTAATTGCACACTACTTCTTTTTAAAAAAGAAGTTAAAAGAAAAGTATTTCATCCTTTTGATAAGAAGCTTCGAACTCGGTGAATCAAACAGAGTCCTATAACAGATATTATTTTTTTTTATTGGATGATGGTTTCATAGAAAAAAAAATAAAGTAAATCTGTTGCGCGTGACACACAACTTTCTACTTTGAATAGAAATTATCTTCTGGCAATGTTGAGCAATTATAAAATTTTTGAAGTTCACTTTTGACGGATCTATAGCTTAAAGTTACAGCTATCACATCATTAACACCTTTAAAATAACAAAAACCCTAATCATTATATCAACGGTAAACATTAAAAACCTCGGTACTCCATCTATTTTTGTAAATCACATAACTCCAGTCTCTGAGCGATATATATATATGCCTAGAGAGATTTGAAAGTATATCTCTATATTCCACCTATAAATGATTATGGATTGTACACCTACTAGTTATTTAACTTTTATTTTCCATTGTAAAAGTTTACTACAAAGAAGAGGCAGATAAACTAGCCAGATTAGGCTCAGATACCATTCCCATAACTCCTGAACCTGTTTATGGAATCAGCCTTAGTACTGCCAAAAGTAGGATTAGGGAGATTTATGGGAATATATTTAAACAATACTGGACTCAGAAGAAACAATGACATTCGAAGCTTTCCCACAAAGGTCCATGTGAAAAAAGAAGCAAACTGCTACTGAGTATGGGCAGAGCAGCTCTTAAAAAGCTTACAGCGATCTATACAGGAAACTACTAGATGTTCAATCTCCGCGTGACGACGAATCCTCTATGCAGATTCTATGAAGAGGAGAATGAAACAGCCTTTTACATCATTTGTCCATGTGATATATTCGCAAGGCTTAGACTGGAACTATTTAGGGAGGAACGGATGGATCTCACCAGTAGCTATGAGACATCAATCGAACTAGCCTATTAAGGTACACAGAAGCGGCAAAAATAACGTTATGAGAATAAACGAATAACTTAATTGGCACATAATAGATCCTTTAAGGGTTGGTGTGCTCTGAGCCAACAAACTCTTTAAAAAAAAAAAAAAATACTACAAAGAAATAATGAGATTTTCATTGCATGCCACAAATAGGTCAAAAGTTTTTACATTAATTTTAAGCGGATAATGTTTGGATTTCATAAAGAGAAAATTATTCACTAATTTAATTTTTTTAAAGGTTACATGACGATTTTTCTGAATAAACGGAAGTTGATACCTATTTATTTAAATAAAATATCAGATCTAAAGTTATTAAACTACAGTAAAATTTACTGTACATTTAATGTGTTAAAGGTTATAAACATATGCTTTATACATCCATGAAATATTTTTATATTTCAGTTCTTTCAGTTAGTACTAAAAATTTAATAATAAATAATAATAAAAATTTTTTTTCAAACTTAAAAAAGTTTACATTTAGTTAATAAATTTCATTTCATTTCCTTGAAAACATTTTATTTCTGTTAAATAATATTAGTTTCCACAAATTATTATTTATAATTGTTTGTCACTGTCCATTACTTTTTATATTAGTTATTGTTTTTTTCTAAAATTCCCCGCTTTTCAACGATATATTATATAGGTATACCTTCTAACTAGTATTTCTGAAAATTTTAATTATAATTTTCTTTCAAAAGTTATACTTAGCATTTTTTTATAACTTTTAATAATGAGAGATGATTAATTATTTAAAATAAACCAAAATAAAGTTACTTTAGAGAAAGATATGTTGAACATTTAAGCTCTGTAAAGTGACATCAATGGGGATAAGACTTCAATGATATTAAAGACCACTTAATCAAGGGGATACAATGATACGCAGAGTTTAATCAAAATTGTTAGAGGATTTGGTTTTGGACACTTTTTCCTTCTCCAATTCTCTGTGAGAGATAGATAACACAGTATAGGTTAAGATATAATTTTGAATAATAGCTCATTACAAAGAAGACAAATTGCTGAAAATTTCCCTCTCTTACAGTATACAGGTCCGATTTTTATTATCTCAAATATTTTAAGGCATATATTTGACTAACCTAGTTATCATTTGGTTTTTTACACTAGTTTTTTCTTTCTGCCTCCCTAACACGCCGTCACGTTAAGATACAATTTTATAGCTTATTACAGAGAGGATGAAATTTTGAACAATTTCCTCGCATACAGTATGCAGGCCTGATTTTTAGTTTTAAGATATTTTAAACCATATGTAAAATCATTTCAATTAGCCGACTTTACCCGAGCATTAAAATCTGACAGATCAATCTAATCCACTCTCCACAATAAAGTGCAAAACGCGCCTAAAAAAGTTTTCATTTCAAAAAATCAACAATTCAATTTTTAACTTTAACTTTTTAAACAATTTATTGAATTATAATATAAACTGAAAAATTGGCAATAAGTATTAGGGTTAAAAGTGTTCATTTATACAATTCAATTTTGAAAAACCTTTATTTATGATTCATCAAAATATCTCTTTGTTCACCAAATACTTTTTCTCCCATTTTAATTAATATAAAAAATATTATAAACCGTAAGAAAAAAAAAATTCAGCTAGCATGATAACACTGCTACATCGATTAGAAATTAGGTGAATATTGAAATAGGAAACATACATTTTCTAGAAATATCTAAGTTCACAATCAATTTCATATTTACAAAAAAAATTTTTAAAAATTAATTAACTAAAAAAAATTTATTGAAAAGTAAATGAAAATACCTGAATATTGTAAAGTCGCTCCCAGAAGAGAATCGATGATACTGCCAATGAGACCAGCAAAAGCAGCAATAGGAATTATTTTCCACTGAGGCTGAGAGGTTGGTGGAATAGAACAAAAATATAAAACCAAGAAGTGTCCAACACCGACTACAGCACCACCTAAAAAACTCAGAACTAGACCTATCCAAGAGACTCCACCATTCACACCTATAAAACAAATAAACCAGAGTGTAAAATATTTTCCAAAGAACCTGTCAAAAAAGTATTAGTTAACAATTAAGCGAATAGGACTTGCTTTGATAAGTCTTATAGCAAAAAATAAATAAATTTTAACATTTCTTTTTTTACATTAAGATATCTTGAAACATTTTAATTAATAAATTAACATTAACCAGTAGATTAATCAATACAAAAAGTTTAGGCATATTTGTATTATAAAAACAGTATTCAATGATTAACTAAATCATAATTATAATAAAGAAATAAAACATCACACTTTTTTAAAACAAAATTTACCTTTTGGAACTCGTTTTCCTGTAGTGATTAAAAATGGATCTTGCTTAGAAAGAACTGTGCCCAGCTCTGATGCCCATGTATCAGCATTTCCACATGCCATAGCACCTAGGAAAATTAAAAAAAAAATTAAGCTCAATAATAAAAATGGCAAACAGCATTTTTTAAATTGAGTTTTTCCATGGGAAACAAAAATTGTGTTAATTTGAACTGCATCACAATTCAATTAATAAAGAACACACTTTGGGTTTATTGTAACAATTTTTTTTTTTTTTTTTTTTATTTCTTTATGACATTTATAACTGTATTACATAAATACATCAAGTAAATTTGGACATAATTGATATAATGACATGAATACACTTGCTGAGTAACTACCCAATGGTAGCACTCTAATGGTATGACTACATTAGGAGATCACGGGGCCATCTTCTTTTCAGACGCCTCGGAGGGTTATCAGGAATTGAAGAGGAAGCAAGGTTAGAAACGAGAGGGTTGGGATGATTCTGAAGTTTATTATAGAAGGATAGGTATCTGGATTGGGCCAGATCTGAAACATAAGGAACATTAAGATCTTTATGGATAATTTTATTAGTGACAAAGTAAGGAGCATTGAGGATTTTACGAAGGATTTTGGATTGTAAGGATTGGATACGAGAGGAATTCGATGGTTTAGTGGAGCCCCATAGCTCAACTCCATAAGTCCAAATAGGTCTTATTATAGTCAAGTATATGAGTCTTTTGTAATTATTGGGAAGTTTAGAGCGTTTGTCTAGTAAGTGCTGAAGTAATCGGAAACGTCGAGCGGTTTCTTGTCGTTTCAGTCTAGTATGAGGATTCCAAGTTAGTCGTTTGTCCAGGTGGAGTCCTAGGTATCGGATTTGCTCAACAGGGATAAGTGGAGTATTGTTAAAGGAAACTGTAGGACAGGAAGTCGTTGGTTTACGACGAAGGGTAAAGGTAATTTGGTGGGATTTATTGGAGTTTATTTCAATTCTCCAGTTTTGACACCATTCTTCTAGATTTATAATGTGTGATTGAAGCATTTGGGATGCAATTGCTGGGTATTGTAACAAATCATTAAGAAACATTTAAAAAAATTAAATCAATTAGACATTAACAAATGGTCAGGATGTGCAGTCAAAAATTATGTTTATTGAGTTTCAGTTCTTGTCCAACCTTCAAAACATTGCCCTGATGATAAAATTTTTAAATGCTTATACTCACAATTAGTTAATCCTTACAATTTAAACAGTCAACTATTTAACAATATCCATCTCTAAATCACTTTGTACTATGATGAAATTCAGTATACAGGATGTTTCATAACTGCACAGCACTATTTTAGGTGTGTGTTCACTAACACAAAATAAATAAAAAAGTTCATATTAACATATATCTCAAACTCATTTATTAAACAGATATCAATGGTTAAAGATTTATTATTATTACAACATTTAGAGTAACTGTTCAAAAGGCGCTTCGTTTTGTTGAATGCAACATTCAGCACGACGAATCCATGCTTCTCTGGCTTTTCGTATAGCATGAGGATGGTGCTTGATAGTTACTTTTGGCTTCCACGATCCGATTTCTTAGCTCTTCTTGCATGCCAACTGACACAGAATAAACCATAGCCTTCATCCAGTCCCACAGAAAATAATCTAATCGCGTTAAATCCGGAGATCGTGGTGGCCATTTAACAAGTCCGTTTCGACTAACCCAAAGGACTCCATAAGTTACATTTAAATAATCAGACATTATCAGAAAAGTGAGCTGGAGCACGGTCATGCATAAACGATAGCCTTTGCCTAATGCCTAGCGGAATATCTTCTAGAAGTTCATGAAGATTATTTTGCAAAAAATGCAAGTAAGATATACCTGACAGCCTAGGTGGCAAAAAGAAGGAGCCGATGATGTTGTCGCTTAGAAGACTACACCAGAGATTTAAAGAAAAAGTATGTTGGTAATGTCCAACAGCAGTAGTATGAGAGTTTTCTTCAGCCCAAGTATGGGTATTTCGAAAATTAAGAATCCCGTTTCTTGTAAAGCAAGATTCATCAGTAACCAAAATGCAGTTCAGGAAGTTAGGATCTAGTGTGCATTGTCGAATTAACAAAAACACCAAAACGACGTGACAATCTTCTGGTACTAGTATTAGAAAATAACTGAACGGCATCAAGTATTTCTTCTTCAATGTTTGCAGTTTATCAAACTCTTTGTCGACATAAATTGAGATGTGTCACAGTATTCACTCACACTAAAACACACAGAACTAGATAAACAGATGAGCAACTACCGTCATTGCTTATCGTTCATTTGTTTATCAGGTGATTACAACCTGTTATTTAGTATTAATACACGTTAAACTTTCTTTTGTAAGGTAGTAAATAAATAATAAATCTTTAACCTTTGATATCTGTTTAATAAATGAGTTTGAGATATATATTAATATGAACTTTTTTGTTTATTTTGTGATTATATAGTGAACACATACTTAAAATAGTGCCGTGCAATTACGAAACGCCCTATATATAATATATAAAATTCACAAAAACATAATTAAAAGTAAACTTACATAAAAAATGCACTTAGTGACTTTTTGTGATAAATCAATGATACATAACATTGAGATTTCACTTTTTAAACATTAAAAAATGGCTTAGTTAAAAAATGTAGGTGTGGCTTAAGTCAAATGTAGGTGTGGCTTAAGTCTAATGTAGTGTGACACATACAACTGCCTAAGTGTCTCTCAACTCTAATTCACTAACATACATTTATTAAAGCTAATATAATACATTTTAAATTAAATAATGAAGAGAAGAATAGTTAGGGTGATTAGTCAAATAAGAAGGCAAAAATAAATGATCATATTTATTTTGACATTTGCCGACGTTTCGACCTGAACTTCAGGCCTTCATCAGGGCTAAGAAAAGAACCAGATAATAAGATATGAGAAACGAAAGTAGTGTAGGTAAAAAATTAAAGTAAAATGCAGTTGTTAGAGAATAATGACAATAGTAAGAACAAAGAGATAAATAATAATAATCGGTACAAAGTGTGGAAACATAAAGTAAACATAATCAAAAAAGGTGACAGAAGTATTAAAATGGGAATCTTAGAGTAAACGTAAAACAGAAAAAAAGAAATATGAAGTTATATAAGAAATGGAAATAAATAGTAAAATTAAAATATTGCGAATAGAATAGTTAGATAGAAAACTATCTTTGTTTTATTGCCTCTCCATTATTACTCAACAGTTATTATCTTTGTTTTATTGCCTCTCCAAATTTCTATTAAACTATTTAAATTTCAGCCTTCTCAGTTTCTTTCCTCTTTCCTTTCATTCCTTTTCTCTGTTTTAGCTTTTTATTATACTATACGTTGTCTGTACATCTTGATAGACTTTACAATATCTCAATTTTCTATCTAACTATTCTATTCGCAATATTTTAATTTTACTATTTATTTCCATTTCTTATATAACTTCATATTTCTTTTTTATGTTTTACGTTTACTCTAACATTCCCATTTTAATACTTCTGTCACCTTTTTTAATTATGTTTACTTCATCATTCCACACTTTGTACCGATTATTATTATTTATCTCTTAGTTCTTACTATTGTCATTATTCTCTAACAACTGCATTTTACTTTAATTTTTTACCTACACTACTTTTGTTTCTCATATCTTATTATCTGGTTCTTTTCTTAGCCCTGATGAAGGCCTGAACTTCAGGTCGAAACGTCGGCAAATGTCAAAATAAATATTATCATTTATTTTTGCCTTCTTATTTGACTGATCACCCCAACTATTCTTCTCTTTATTATTCACGACAGTCAACCATTTACCTACAATTTCAAATTAAATATTTTATTCAAAGACGATAGAGTATAAGAAATTTCTTGGGTGGATATTTTGAAGCTGGAAACCACATTTTAAGCTAAAAATAATAAGATATCCAACTCTATGAGCTAGGTACTGGCATATCATGACACAGAAGAATTTCCATACTCGTGACATAGCTCCGTCCCTACCATTTTGCAAATATGCATGATAAAAATTCAGGATTTTTCGAGTTTTTATCGTTATGACCTAATCTTCAATAATAATGTTTAAACAAAAATTGAAAATGCATGTAAGAACCCAATTCTATAATATTTATGAAATATTTACCCAATACACCTAGGGAGAGCCAAGAGGACCCAAAATCATTACTGAAGTCGATTGGGCGCTCGCCTGACCCACTATCCAACAGGTAGAGGACTGCTAGCTGAGCGGCCATGCCGAGGTTACATAAACCTTGGATCCAATTCCTCTGGGAACCTGAAGGATTCATTCATGAAACTGCAATTAATAAGTCAAATGTAAAAGTAAAATATTAAGTTGTTAAATAAATCAATACTCAAACACTAAACAATTCAAACATTTTTTTTTTAAATCAAAAATTATTTTATTTACACACACACACACACACATATGTATATATATATATATTATTTACACACACACACACATATATATATATATATATATATATATATATATATATATATATATATATAAACACAATAAGTCATAATGATGGTTATATGCTTATAGCATTATTACCTTACACATGTTACAATAAACTGGTGTGATTTCTATTTTTTTTTTTTTTTTTTTATCCAGAAATATATTTTGTACAGTAGGAAAAAAAAAAAATCTGCTTAAGTTATAAAAATGAATAAATAACATAAAAACTATATACTGTCACTAAAATGTATAAACAAGATAAAACTAAGCACGTAACCACTTGTTTAATATCTTATAAATTATTATTCAATAATTGGTGTGGAAAGTATGTTATGTTGCTGCTTTTTTGACAATATTTGTAATGTAATGTAATGAAGTTGGATTTCGTTATGTTAGGAGTATGTGTTTTCTCCGTTTATGTGTGTACCATTTCAGTGATTTCTTGTCATAGTTTCCTATTGTTTGGATCATGGGATTATTAAATATTGTAGTAAGCTCAAAGAATCTTTGTGTTTTAAAATAAACATATTGTTTTATTGTTGGAAGCTGCAATTCTGTTAACAGTGTCTATTTTTGTATATCGTGGATAGTTGTTTTGAATCACTTCAAGTTTTCTGTAGTTAGACTTACAAGTATAACTTCATACTGGAGAAGAGGATGTGATTACCGATGAGATAACTGCTTTATATAAAACCAATTTATTTTTTTAAGATAAATGGGAGTATCTATTGAAATACGGAGACATTTTGCTAATAATGGTTTAAATACTTTTAGTAACATTCTCTCCCAAAAAATTAATAGACTTTTGTACTGAAGGTCGTCAGAGAGAGGCAGAGATACCTTTTATATCCCTTTCAGAAACAATAGAACACAATCATGAAGGTTTCATGGATATATGATAAACGTAATTTTTTCTCCTTGGGATCAAATTAGTGGAAAGTTAATATGTATTTGATTCGGTCAAAATTTTTCATGTTTTGCACAGTTTTCAAGGTTTTGAACATCTCTACAGCCCTCACTAATTAATTTAGAGGACTGAAAATTGGAATGTAGTATAAGTTGAAATAGTGCTAGAGATTACTGCCGTCTGGGATAATAAATAAAAATAAAAACTCGTTAAAAATTCATGTGTTTCTGTCTCCCTAATATTTTAAATTCACACTAGATCAAAAACTCATACCTAACAAAAAAATCCACCACTTACAGGAATATTATACATCAGTACAAAACAATTCTGTAAAATAGTTAAATGATAACTTTAAGACTAGTAATGTCTTAAAACATACTTGATGTTACATGCTCCATTCATCCATTCATTCACGCCTTCAATTAAGTATTCTAATTTTAAAGAATTATTTAATCCTAAAACAATGCCTATGGAAAGTTATGTCCTTCAATTTAACTTCACAAGATCATAAATTAAGATTATAATCCTAAAATTAACATAGTTTTACAATAATTACAATTTTTTGTCGATGATTTTCATGATTCTAGCACTTTACTGAAAATATATTTGAGCATTTATTCCTACATCTTATATGCTATATTTAAACTTCTTAAAAATCCAGACTTTAGTTATTTCATGGCAATACATTAAATCTGCACTTTAAAGAATATATATTATAATCCTATACCATTATATTCCTACACAATCCCAGGATTTTAAGCTAATAATAGATAGAAAAAAGAAATATCAAACTAATTCTGCAAGAACAATTTAATATATTTCACATACCTTCTTGGAAGCTCACATCTAGTTTATTTTTAACACTCTGCTTATATTTTGTAGCTTTGGATGATGTGACAAAGAATACTATTAAATCCACAAGAAACGCATAGCTGGCAAGAGTCAAAATAAAGGCAATCAGAAGTCCTAAAATGACAGAATATAAATTTATTAATTTAGCCATGGCACCAATAACATATATTGATTAGGGCTTTTAATAAAATTACCAATTAAAGCTCCACTTTTGTTAATATTCTTTTTCTTCAAACCCCAGGCAGCGAATGCAAGAGGGATCAGAGTAGCAGCAAGCCACCTCGTAGGTGGTATCACTTCTGAAACACTATCAATGTTTTTGAACAAGGTAATTAGTATCTGACTACAGAGCAGAAAATGATTCTTACCTCCACTTCCCAGTTTAAGTCGAGTAAATGCCAAGTTTCCAGCCCACATAAGCATAGAAACTGGAATAGACACCAGCAAAAGAAATATTGGTGTAGCTGAATGCATACTCCACTTCACTGGTTTTTTCTTTGCATCAGCCATGCTGTACTTCTTGAATTAAATCACACGAATGTGTTCTGTCCGAATTCTGACCTGCTTATCAATGTCAAATGTACTTTGACCTAGATGAAAAAAAATATATAGACTGCAGACATTTGAAGTACTTTGACTGGTCTCCTGTCTAGATTTAATAGCAACACTAAGTAGATAAATTTAAAGAAAACAACAAACTTTATATCTGTCTACTGTACAAACGAAAACAATAACAATAATGACAACTTGCTAGGAAAATTGGGCCGTCGTTCGCGACTCTAGGGATGTGATGGTACTGGTGGAGCAGTGACGTTTCACAGTCTCGGTTTAGAGCAGTGACAATCTGAACCAGTAACAGTAACAGTGACAAAAGTCGTCTTGTTCATTCCCTTACTTAATTTATAAAAATAATAATATATTATATATCTTATTTATTAACTAACAGTATTCTTGTCCATTAATTAATTAATATGTCGTCGGTTTATAGCAATTAGACATTTCATAGCATTAAATAATTAATCCCTCTATGAAATAAAAAAATTGTGTGCTTATTGTAACTGAATTTGATATATACAAGGATTTGTGTTATTTATATGTATTGACAGTGGTTTTGTATAAAAAAAATTATGTCGAAATTCACCAAAAATCATATTTGATAGTTAACCTTTATCGAAGTTGTACTTAGTGACTATTTCCAATAAACCGACAAAATAAGTATACTTTTTTTTATTTGTCATATTTGTGGATATAGAAAACAATAATGTGATTTGTTTTATTGAAACTCAATATCCACAGTAAATATATATAATTAAAAGTCAAGAAAATAGTATTTTTAATTTTAATTACAATTTTGTAAGAACGTAAACATAGAGCCATAATACTCAATGCTCTTGATTGTGGCAGATTGTATTAGTTTTTCTTCAATAAAATTCAATTTGTATTTTACTAAAATTTTATTAGTTTGATTATTATTTATTCATTTTTGTAATAGATTCCTTTCATTCGAATATATTTTTAAAAAATATATACTTGGCTATTGAGAACACCTTATAGTCATTGGACCAGACCCTCCTACCGTGCACCCTCTCCCACATACCTATAAATTGCATATCGTTGTTTTCCTTGTAACTATTTATTTTAAAAAAGCCAATGTTCCCACAAAAAAAAATCTGGTGAGCGCAACACATAACTTTCACTTACCGCTCTACTTTGAATAGAAATTATTTTCTGGTAATACTGGGCTATTATACAATTTTTTGAAGTGCATTTTAAACGGAGCTAAAGCTTAGAGCTTACAGATAACAAGTTATTAAGATCATTATAATTACAAAAAGGCTATTTAATATATCGACGGTAGGCAATAAAAATCTAGTCACTCCATCTGCTTTTATAAACCACGCAACTTTCTTTGCTTTTATAAACCACAGAATAACTAACTCCAATTTCAACATTTTTGAGTAATGTCATTTTAGTGATATTTTTAGTTGAAAAAGTTATCTATGCAGACAGTGAGTAAGTTGATTCCAGAGGTGGTGATTGCAGTGTTGAAATATAGAACTGAGAATAAATGTATAAATTTAGGTACTTATTTCTTATGAAAGATGTTCTTAGGAAGATACTTTATTAAATATCTGTAGAAAAAAGTTTTTATAGTCTCAACAATTAAAAAAGTATATTTTAAATTTATCCAAATTTTCGCCTCTTCAGGGAAAAAACTAGAGACCATATCTTTCCTCCTAATTGTCCGATTTTAACGATTGTTTTTTGTTTTTTTTAGGAAATTCCATAAACTTTTAAAAAACATTACAATATCCACAAAAAAGTGTATACTTTTTGAGTTATTCGGAATTTAATTTTACCATCCCTCGTAACTTTTTTTCCAGCTTCTTTTCGTTGAAGTATGTTATATAGATAAATTTAAAGGGTGTCGAGAAAATGACTTTAGCGAAGTTTCATTGAAATCGGTACATTCGTTTAGGCGCTACAGTCTATAGCAACGCAGGTTTTTCTGCATTTTTATTTTTTTCTCCTTTATTAACTTATCAAATTCTTTCAAAAGTTATATGTAGCATTTTTTCGTAACTCTGAATAATGTGAAATAATTAACTTTTTAAAATAAACTATATTAAAGGTACTTAAGAGGAAGACATATATGAACATTGGGCATTTAAGCCCTGTAAAGTGACATCAACGGGGATAAGACCTCAATGATATTAAAGACCACTTAATTATACAATGTTACACCGAGTTTAATCAAAATCGTTAGAGCCGTTTCTGAGAAAATTGTAAAAATTTGTTTCAGCGTTCATATAAAGTGGCACTTCCGGTTAGCCGATTTTAACGAAAAAGTAAGGGTCACATCCGGCTCATATACAAACCTTAAATACTTAATATCAGTTTCGTACTACTTTTCGTTCATGAGCTAGACTGTTAACACACACATACAGACCATTTTGTGACACTCGATTATTTGGACTCAGGGGACTTCAAAACATGTATTTCCGTTGAAAACTGAGATTCGAAAATTTTCACGATCGCATTACTTACCCTTACTATATATTACATATACTATTACTATATATACTATATACATATATTATTAGATCGTTCTTTATTATTTTTACTTCATGTTTATTTTCAATTTTTTATTTTTTATTATTAACTATGTAAATTAGAAAGTGACTTATAATTTCTCTTATTATTTTTTTTTTTTGACTATTTAATCAAACTATATTCTTGTTTATGTATCTCTGAGGCTCCTTAGCCCACATTTTTGTCTCTCTGTATTATTCTAAAGGGACTCCTCCCAGAATAAATAAAGCATTATTATTATTATTATATACGTTAGTGAAAGTAAAAAGTGAATGAACTGCCCTAAAATGGCGTCCAAACATGGCCGACTGACGACTTTGACTTTAGTTAGTTTTTTGGTCAGTGACAGTGGCCCCCAGAACTTTTGTAAATATTCTTTTGGAGTCCTGGCAATGTCCGGATTCTCCACTCAAGTCCTGAGCGTCTGAGGCTCCAGTGTCCTCTGGATTCTAATACCACTGATGCCGCTGGAAGAGAAGCACTGGGAACTTTTGAGTCTTGCTTTGCTTTCCACATGTGGAGGACAAAGCTTGGCTCGGATGTAGATATTGTATATTATAGGCATGAATGTGTATTAGAAGATTAATTTTATTTAGTTATGTATATTTGTTTTGGTTTTGTTGTTGTATATATTGTAGCAAACAAATCAATTGTATATATTGAATGAACTCTTGTAGCACTAATACTTGTTGCCCTTCATGAGGCAGATTGTATTATCATTCAATAAAATGAAATCATAGTTAGGGACAAACCTTGGAAATGAAATGTTTTGCCATGGGATCCTTGACTATTAGATTTAGGTAATTTCAGTTCTGTTGTTACTTCTTTACACGAGCGGATCTACGGGGGGGGGGGGGAGGGGGCTTTCGGGCTGAAGCCCCCCCAAAATGGCAAAATATAACCATGTTTTATGGGAAAAAAATTTTAAAAATACCTCTTTAAGTATTATTGTTCGTGTAATTACATTTAAAAGTACTTAAGGAATAGCTTAAACACCATTTCATATAGGTAGTTAGTTTCTTTCTGTTTTTCCAAAGTAATTATCGTTATTTTTATGAAAAAAAAGGTTTCGGGCTGAAGCCCCCCCAAAATTAAATCCTGGATCTGCACAACACAAGAAACATCAACATTAATACAATTCTCATTAAATTAATAAGTTGAAGCTACTTCTATCACTTAATTAAAGTAAGCTAAATGGCTTTCATTGTTTTAAATGAAAAAGTTTAATTCTTCCGTAAAAGTTGAGAGGCTGAAGGAAATAATTTTTTAGAAGGTATTTTATATTACTTTAACAGTTTCAAATACTCAACATTTTAAAATATTAAAAGGTTTACATCTGGTGATTCATAAACACCATTCCACAGTGGCCAAAGGAGTAATAAAAATCCTATGCATTCTCATTACATAATGATTTTATAACAGTGAGTAATAGATAAAAGAGAGACATTTGTCTTTTAAATTTAGTAGAAAATATGCTCCCTGAAAAGCTTCTCATTGCTATCTTACTTTATAATCCTTGAAGTAACTAATAGGTTTTATAAATTTATCTTGAAGTCGCTATTCACAAAACTTATGTTCGCAGTAAAACTGATTTAATAACCAATAAAAAATAACAATCAATTAACAAATTAATAAAGCAAAAACAAATTCTGCACAATATAGAAAAAAAAAGAAGGTTAAAATGGTATGTCCATTTACAAAGAATGACAGAGGAGTATTGACCAAAATTAAGCTTTTTGTATCAACTGATACAACTCCTATAAGTAGTAAAAATCATTAATAAAAAAATATATGGAAAGAAAAAAAAAGCATAAGAAGTATAATATAAAAATAAAACAATTATTAATACTTACGTCTCTTTGTGTTTCTATTAAAATAGAAGTGTAACAAAATATTCATATTAAAAAAATAATATTTACAAAAACAAAACAAAATACAAAAAATAAATAAAATCAAGCCATTAATTAAGATTATAAAATAATCTTAGCCAGAAACTGCTCGTAACCATTTCTTGAGTTCATCGAGGTTTGGTCCGACGTCTTCTTTATCAACAGCAAATGATTCTGCAAATTGAACCTTAGGCAATACTTGATCAAAAGTGAAATCTTGTCCAGGAGAACCCAATTTTATTCTATTGTCCATGGAATTTTCATCTGTGCTAAGGAGCTGGCTGGCCTTAGTTTCCCGAACAGTGTTTCTGTTGAAACAAACTAGTATGAGTAAAATAAATATTTAATAGCCAGCAAACTGGCTTATTTTATTTACATTCAGTTGTCATGGAAATATACACAAATAATTAACACATTCAGTGTGAAATGATGTAAGATGAAGTTCACACTTTCATTTTTCCAGATTATAACAGTAGACTTCTACCTTTTAAAAGTTATACTTCAATGCTAAATCATTCAACTTGTTATTTTATACATAACTTTTAAACTATCAGTGTTATTTAAATCCATATTTATTGCAATTAAAAATACAACAAGTAAATGCGAATTGATATAATGGACAGACTTGCAGAGAAACTATCCATTAGTACCACTCCAATCTATAGGAAAGTTCCAAGGCCATTTTCTATTCAGATTTATCGAAAGATTGTCAGGAATCAAAGGGAATGCAAGGTTAGAAATTAGTGGGTTTGGATAGTTCTTGAGTTTATTATGGAAGGATATGTATTCAGATTGGGCTAAACCAGCAAAATATGAAATATTAAGGGCATTATAGATAATTTTATTGTAACAAACTAAGAAGCATTGAGGAGTTTGGATTGTATTGTAAGGATTGGACAGGAGAAGAATTTGATGGTTTAGTGAAGCACCAAATCTCAGCTCTGTAAATTAAATTAGGCCTTGTTATAGTCATGTAAATGTATGTTTTGTAATTGGAAGTTTAGACAGTCTGATGTGGTACTGATGGTTTGGAATGTCAGCTGTATAAAATGTGTAAAGTATGGGACCGAGGATATTACCTAGAGAAGCACCAGCAGATTGCGAAAAGAGGGATAAATAGGCACCATCGTGATTTACTTTGAATGATCTCTCAATGAGGCAGGAGCATATAATGAGAAAGTATGAAAGGGATAAGAATTGATGGATTTTATAAAGTAGTCCCGGGAGTCGAGCCAGAACCGATCAAAGGTTTGTTTTTTAAATTTGATCCTTAATTTTTGTTAACGATAAGTTGTTTATTAATATTCAAATGGAATTGCATGATGAATATTAGTAAATTATATGTATTACTAAGTTTAACTTTTTTTACAACTATACAATGAATAGATTTTTTTTTTTATAAATTGAGTAGCAACAAGTTTTTTTATGTTTCTTTTACCTACTTTTATAAAATTAATTTAATAAATATTCTGTAATAAAAAATAGATGAAGAAATCCCTTTAAGTGAGGATAAAAATACAACTACTAATTTCTTCAAATTAATTTTTTCACAAATAAGTTGTCAAAAGAGTAAAATGTAATAATTAAACACATGTATATGAAATATTTACAAAAAATATGCACCCATTCAATGGGTTAGTTACTCCTAAAAATTATTTCCGCTGTGAGAGTCTTAATGCAACTCTTATCTATTTTAAAACCTTACTTTTATAAATACCAGTGACACGGCTGGGAGAGAAGCACTGGGATCCCCTGGGGTCCTGCCTTAGTTTCCACATTTGGGAGACAAAGCACGACTCGGAATCCCCTGGACGAATGTAAATATTGTATATAGGTGTGAATGTATTTTATATATTTCAATTTCAAATTCAATTAATATATGTATACATATATATATTTTTTTTACCTATGTATGTTAAACTCTTTTTCTTTTATCTCTATTTTAGTTATCATTTGTATGAATATATTGTGTGAATGCTTAATGTAGCCCTAATATTAATGCCCTTCAATGCGGCAGAATGTATTAATTTTCAAATTAAAAAAAAAAAACCTTTTATAACAATACACTACTTACATAATTCATGTAAAAGCAGCAAACCTAATATTAAAAAAGAGATATGTAATTCCTCAAGTTAAAGCCAAACAAACTTGAAACATAATATAGAACGAAAACAATTAACAAATTCATAAGGAACATCTTAAAGATTTGTTTTAGGTCTTCAATAACTTGAACCATAGCAATAATAATAACAATTTTGCTTTGCTTAATTACTTATAACAGAACAAGTTATATTAATTATAAATAATATGATATGTTAATAATGAATTACTAAATGATACAATGATATAAATAAATTGGGGACAAACTTTTAAAATAATCTTATCTTAGGGACAGTTTTATAACACTATAATTTATAAAAACCTTGAAATGTCTACTCTGAATCACAACAATAAAAGTTGTAATAGGGTTCATTTGAATTTTGGTTTTAATTTTATTTTCGAATATTAAATAAGCTGTGTAAAAGTTTAGAAAAAAATTGGCACAGCTGATACTTGATTGGCAATATAACAGCCTTGAAAATGGACAAATGAGTCTGAAACTTTGTCGAATTTCATCTAATAAATGGAATGAAGAATAATATGAAAATTTAACGATTGGTTAAATAATATTTAACCAAATACTTAATTTATTTTCCTTTGATATAAAACTTATACTTACATCTCTTTTTCAAGAAGTGATTTAATAACACCAGCATCTTTAGCCATTGGTACATCTTGCTTATTACACAGAATCAAAATATTTCTGCAGTTATTAATGACAGTTTTATCAGTTAGGAGGTTGTATAAGTATCTAGATGAAAATAAATAAATAAATATTTAACCTAAATAGATACACATAAAACTAATTAAAAACAGAACAAAATACAATACAGCCTATTTTATGTGAATATTATCAGAATGCACCCCACTAAGATATATGACAAAAATTATTAACTTTCAAAGGTCCTAGACACAACTACATAAACAAAGCCTACTTTCAAGGAAATAATCATGCTTTAAATTTTTAAACTTCTATTTATACAATCACAAGAAAATTAACAAACAACTGACAATTTATTGCTAGATCAATGACTATGTCTTGGGTTTCAATTTAAATTAAAGTTGGGTATGTCTATTTAAAAGTGACATTAACCCACCAACTCCAGAAAAGATGCAGTGACTTATTACTGAACTATTGGGTCTGGAAAATAATGAAAGATTTTGGTTTAAAGAGAAAGATTTATAACTGTTTTATTTAATCAAAATAGACTCTACTACTATCAATACATTTCTGCCAATGTGTTGGCAACTTTTTCATTCCCTTAGAATAGAATTTCCTATATTTAGAATTGATAAACTCCAAAAACGAATTCTCTAATTCCCTTTGTCCATTAAATTTATATTAATTAGTGGTCCAGGTGTCTAAAAAAATGATAATCCCTAGACGTCAGGTCCAAGAGAGTAGGGCGGATGTGGCAGAGTTTCATATCCAAGCTCTAATAGTTTTTGTGACATCAGACGTGAGACATGTGGCCGGGCGTTATTCTGCAACAAAATGGGCACCTATCGATTGACCAAAGATGGCTACTGATATACTGATGCATTGCATTAATTTGGTTATAATATGATTCGGCATTGATGGTTTCTCCAGTATTTAAGCTGTAGTGTATCAAACCAAATGATAAGATGTGAAGTGCACCAAACAGTAATCACTTTTTTTTTTTTTTTAAGAGTTGAGGGCTTTGGAAAATGTTCAGCTGTTTCTCCTTTGTCGAGGCACTGTCCATATTGTCTAATATAATCGTAAAGTATCCAATTTTCATCATAAGTAACAATTCAGGACAGAAAAGGGTCGTTTTTATTTCAGCGAAGAAGTGGAGTACAAACTTCATAACATTGTTTTCTTTTTGGTGGTCGTTAAATGTGTGTGGAACCCAACTTTCAAGCTTTGTTATCTTTCCAATCGCCTTCAGATGGTCATCAACGGTTGATTTGCTAAGGTTAAGTTTCCTTACAAGTTCTCGAACAGTTGTTCTGGAGTTTTCTTCCACCAAAGCCCGCAGAACACGGTCATCAAAAGAGGAAGTCCTTCCACAACCTTTGTCTTCAAGGGTGAAGTCTCCCTCCCGAAATTTTTGGAATCATCCTTGACATTTCTAAGCAGCGAAATGCTATAGAAGTAAACAAACTTTCATCGTTTGGAAGAGGATTAATAAGTTTTGACATTCATACAAATGAATAATCGAGTAACAATTAGTTATGTAGAGGGGTATTTTAAAGAAAACTCAAAATCCTGCATTATTTGGGAACTTTGCAAAATTTTGGGCAAATGACACATAATTATAAAATATATATGCTTACTCTGCTACATCTTTAATCTCCTTCTGAATACTGCAAGAATCGACAACAAAAACTAAAGCCCTTGCAGATGACTTGTATTCATCTAAATACCTATTCCTCACTCTTTCATTCCCTGGCACATCGATTAGCTGCAATGTACCCTGTAATATCCCAATAATTTTATTAAACAGTAATAAATGACAAATTAACACAAAATAAATGACCTGATATCTTTCAAACATACCTTTTCATTTCTATAATAAGCCAAGTTTTCCTTCACTGATGTATATGTATGGATAAATTTATTATGAGCTAATCGAGCAAACAATAGTGTTTTGCCTGAATCGCAAACTCCAGTCAATAATACTGCTTTCCTGCCAATACGTTTGCTACGAAGGATAAGAATCACTGGAAAATAAAAGTAGTAAGTGTGTTTCACATCAAATTCCATATGAGTGGCCTGATATCAAAGAGGGACATCTGTCATTTGGAGAAAGTGTTGTATTGTAAGTTCAACCTTAACTGTATTTGATGATTTTATTTAAGAATGTTGCAAGTTGAATCATGAAAAAAAGTCATTAGAATTGGTTTAAATTGAAGCGATGTTTCAAAAGTTGGCTTTTTCACAACTTTTTAAAAATGACAGATGTCCATCTTTGATGTGAAGCCACTCATATGTTCATTGAAAGGTGGAATCAAAAGTAGGATTGAAATGGCGGGATGGAAATATATATATTTCTTACCAAGTGTGAGGAAAATCACCACAACAGCAGTTATGATTTGTAAACTCAATTTGTCGTTTAAACCCATTTCCAACATCGTGGAGTAAATCCCTCCAACTTGTTTTTGTAACAGTTGGCTATCTGATAACCTGCCTGTCAATTAATATTCGGTCACATTGGCCAACGAGAAACAATAAAAAAATCTACATCATACATACACATTTATTTTGTAATGAACATTTTTTAAAAATTAATATACAACTCAATAAACTTAATTTTTGGCTACACATCGTGAACATTTTTCGTCCTTATTAAAAAAATCTGGTGCGCGCAACACACAACTTTCACTTACCGATCTACTTTGAATAGAAATTATTTTATGGCAATGCTGGGCTATTATAAAATTTTTTTGAAGTGCATTTTAAACGGAGCTAAAGCTTAAAGCTTACAGATAACAAGTCATTAAGACCTTTATAATTACAAAATGTCTATTTAATATATCGACGATAGGCAATAAAAATCTAGTCACTCCATCTGCTTTTATAAACCACACAACTTTCTTAGCTTTTATAAACCACAGAATAACTAACTCCAATTTCAACATTTTTGAGTAATGTCAATTTAGTGATATTTTTAGTTGAATAAGTTATCTATGCAGACAGTGAGTAAGTTAATTCCGGAGGTGATGGTTGCAGTGTTGAAATATAGAACTGAGAATAAAGGTATAAATTTAGGTACTTATTTCTTATGAAAGAAGTTCTTAAAAGAGACATTTTATTAAATATTTGTAGAAAAAAGTTTTTATAGTCTCAACAATTATAAAAGTATATTTTAAATTTATCCAAATTTTAGCCTCTTCAGGGAAAAAAGCTAGAGATCATGTCTTTCCTCCTAATTGTTCGATTTTACGATTGTTTTTCTGTTTTTTTAGGAAATTCCATAAACTTTTTAAAAAACATTTACAATATCCCCAAAAAAGTGTATACTTTTTGAGTTATTCGGAATTTAATTTTACCATCCCTCGCAACTTTTTTTCCAGTTTCTTTTCGTTGAAGTATGTTATATAGATAAATTTAAAGGATGTCGAGAAAATGACTTTAGCGAAGTTTCATTGAAATCGGTACATTCGTTTAGGCGATACAGTCTATAGCAACGCAGGTTTTTCTGCATTTTTATTTTTTTCTCCTTTATTAACTTATCAAATTCTTTCAAAAGTTATATTCCGTAACTCTGAATAATGCAAAATAGTTAACTTTTTGAAATAAACTATATTAAAGGTACTTTAGAGCACTAGCGGATCCAGGATTTAATTTTGGGGGGGAGGGCTTCAGCCCGAAACCTTCTTTTTTCATAAAAATGACGATAATTACTTTGGAAAAACAGAAAGAAACTAACTACCTATATGAAATGGTGTTTAAGTTATTCCTTAAGTACTTTTAAATGTAATTACACGGACAATAATACTTTAAGAGGTATTTTTAAATTTTTTTTCCCCATAAAACATGGTTATATTTTTCCATTTTGGGGGAGGCTTCAGTCCGAAAGCCCCCTCCCTCCCCCCCCCCGTAGATCCGCCCGTGCTTTAGAGGAAGACGCGTATGAACATTGGGCATTTAAGCCCTGTAAAGTGACATTAACGGGGATAAGACCTAAATGATATTAAAGAACCTTAATTTTACAATGATACACCGAGTTTGATCAAAATCGTTAGAGCCGTTTTTGAGAAAAATGTGTTTCAGCGTTCATATAAAGTGGCACTTCCGGTGAGCCGATTTTAACGAAAAAGTTGCTGTCACATCCGGCCCATATACAAACCTTAAATACTTAATATCAGTTTCACACTACTTTTCGTTTATGAGCTAGACTACTAACACACACACACAGACCATTTTGCGGCACTTGGTTATTTGAACTCAGGGGACCTCAAAAAATGTATTTCCGTTGAAAACTGAGATTTGAAAATTTTCACGATCGCAATACTTACCCTTACTATATATTAGTGTGTACTTTATTCACTATATATATAAGTAGTATTTATTCACTATATATATATTACATATATACGTAAGTGAAAGTAAAAAAAGTTTGTAATCTAAAATTGAAGATGAGTCTTCTTTCTTCGAATATTTGTAAGTAGGTCATTCTTATTGAGTAATCCTAGTCATTTTTTTTTTAGCAATTTATTTATTTTGACAAATATATGTCTATGAAATAAAAAAAATTACTTTTTATTCAATTTCTAATTTTTCTTTACTAAAAAAATACATTAGACATATTTTTTACAATGTCAGATGTTTTGTTTTTTTATTATATTTAATACAAAGTGGTCCAATTTCCAATAATTGTCGTATCATCTTGAGGGCCTTTTTAGAAATTTAGCAAACTATGGGACAAACAATACATAAATGGTTTCTTAACTATGCTGGTATTTTTGTTTCTTGTTTTTTATATTTTCCATCTGCTGTCGGTATCAAGGGAAATAAAATAAATAGTTTGGTTTAGAAATAATTTCGCTGTCTTTCTAGCTTCTTTTTAACCCGACAAAAGGATACACTGCAGCTTTATTCAGGCATATTGTGCGTCATTAAAACAGGCCAGATGCCTTTGCGAACTTGTTAAAATTAATGGGATCTATCAATTCACGGAGCTTAGACTCTGTGATAGATCACTTCCGCCGTGAAAATACCACAGTCTGGCCAAATCATCACATCTACATTTAATGTGATAAGCGTTCTCATCCTCCAGGCCGCACAGCCAGCTGGTGGTGGTTTCAATTAAACCCAAATCAAAAAGGATCTTATTAAGTCGATAGTAACCAGTGTCACTAGCGGATCCAGGATTTAATTTTGGGGATTTTAATTTCATAACTACCTATATGAAATGGTGTTTAAGTGATTCTTGAAGTCCTATTAAATGTTATTACACGAACAATAATACTTTAAGAGATAGTTTTTAATATTTTTTTCTATAAAAACATGGTTATAATTTACCATTTTGGGGGGGGCTTCAGCCCATATAAAATGATCTTCCAAGGTTATATTACTAGTAAAAAATATAAGAGATATTACAATATTTATCTACTTGAAGGTCTGAGTTCGTCACAAGCACCTCGTTGCTATCAATCTTATCTAATACAATCTCATATCCCTGAAATGTCAGGAATTTCGATCTCGTTCCCAATTTATTCATTCTATAGGCAGTTCTAAGACCATATGCTTCCAACTCTATATGCAATGTTGTAAGGTTCAAGAGACCTTCCATTGCAGCAGTGGGAGTAGTGCTCATAGCATTTTGGAGTTTTCCGAGCAAAGCTCTAGGATTGCTTGTTGCAGCCCTATGCCACCACACCGCAAGGTCACTGTTAATTAAATTGTGTTTATCATAGTTTGTGAAATGTATAATGCACCTTGAAAAATGTAAGAAATATTAACAACAAGAAATGAATTATAAAAAGAAAAAAATATTAAAAGAAATACTGGTTATATTATTATTATATCATTATACTATTAAAAGAAGTATATATGAGATCTGTTAACAAAATCACAACACAAATTTTTCTAAAATTTGATTTATTTCATGCCTATTATTTACTGTGAAATAACCTTAACATCAATTTTCCTCTTTCCATTTCAGGTCTAGTCTGTGATTTTCATAACATTTTATTCTAGGTTGCTAATCTTATTTATTTATTTTTCTACTTGAAATCCTCTTCAACCCAACATCAAGCCTCAAGGGTATTCTCTTCAATAAATTAAATAAGAGAACAAAAAAAAAGTGCAATAATATTCAAATTAATCTTCAGGCTTGAAAGAGCAATAAATAGGTGGTCTAGTTCTTATGCCACGATTCAAGACCACATTACCGTACAACATTGATAAAATTATTGTGGTATGGATGGAATATAATATAAATAAAACATGCTGTATAAATATTTACTATAACAATCACATAATTATATTAACAACTCAAAATTAGATTAAATCCAACACAACAAAATCTTTTTTAACAAAATTTATAATCCAAGTTTTTTTCATCCAAATATATTTAATATTGTATACATACTTGCATACAATATTAAATATTTTACCAACAAACACTATTAGATAAACACATACTAAAAAGAATTTGATAAGATAAAATAATATGAATATTTTTCAACAGAGTATAACTAAAATAAAATAATAACAATATTTATAAGTTAAAATGACTAGATTTCAAAATAAATAATTGAACATCAAAAGCAACTGACACGAACATTTCTTTGCTTCTAAAATTTTATATTAATTACTAGCTAATAGAAATAAACAACATAATAATATTAACAAAAAATTACAAACTTCAATATTATAAGACGATATTATCTAACAAGAATGATTAATACACAGTAATACAGGGTGGGTAGGTTAAGAGACAACAGAAAGTTTCAGACCAATATAATTAAACTCCTAAACTAAATTTTACTCATAAGATTGGCCTTTATTACTTTGTATTTATATAACATTGGTATGAAATATGCTATATAAACCAATTAATAAAAATAATAGAAATTTACAAATAAATGCTAGAGAAATATAAACAGTTTTGTACTATTTTCATTAACATGATAGATAACAATTTAATGTAATTGGTCAAGAATCAGCTATGGTAATATTACATATTTCTTTTTTAATATCTCCAACATACAGTATGTTTCAACCCACATTATCAGGAGTATACAAGAAGAATTGCACAGGCTAAAACATAAAAAATGGAATAAAATGTGTTTGATTAATCTCAATAGGTTAAATTTAACCAAAACTATATTAAATTTAAGATCCATACACAATCATCATTAGCACAAACATAAACAGTAACTGATAAATAAGGGCACAATTTGAACTACTGTAAAAAAAAAAAAAAAAAAAAAAAAAGCAAAGAAGTAAATATCATAAAAATTAGTAATATAATTTTTTCTCATTGATTAATAATATATATATTTTTAAATTAAACCAACCTTTCTCATTGATAATGGAGCTTCATTAGGAAAATAAAAATAAACTAGAATGAATGACAACTGGTGAAATCCAACGATCAAAACTGAAAGTCATATCTATCTAAATAATTATATAAAATGAATAAACTTCATAAGTTTCTAAGTGAAATGTAACAGTATGAATACATTCATAAGTATAATGGCATCTCAGAGTTCATAATTAATATTATGATACATTGCATAAAGTAATTAATAAACTTAATTTTTTTTTTCATTATAGGTAGTAGTAAGACCTATGGCACAATTTGCTTGTTTTAATTTCATACAAAAAATGAAAAAATAACGATGATTCATGGATTGATTTAACAACCTGTTCCAGCTTTCAAACAATAATAATTTAAACTAGTACATGTTTTAACTAAAATTGAAATAATAATCATAGTGGATGTTAGAAGTTACCAATAAAAAAATAATTGAATAATAATAATAATCAAAATAGACTTGAGATCTCAATATAACTTATACCAAGAAAGAAGTGAAGCTTAATTCATGCCTCCTTAACATTACTTAAAAAAATTAAGTTAAACAATTGCACAAACATTACAACCGATTTATTCAGTAAACAGTACCAAATCTTTTTATTTGATTTTTCCACTTCATAAAAATTGTATTAAAAGACAGTCTTATCAGTCATACAGTATGACAACTACTGTTATAATGTTAGTTAACAATATAAATAATTTTCATAGAAATTGAATTCTTCCTTTTTTAACACAGAATGTGTCAACTTAAAAGTCACCATTCATGAAAAATGACATTTATATTACAAGTCTTAATATTGAATATCTTATTAAAAAGGACATGCACAGAAGTTCCTTCCTGAATACACAAAATTCCTTATCCTCATCAAAAAGTATAATCTTTTTATTAGACCAGATGTCCACAGTTGCCACAGAACATAGACTTTCATGAATTACTTTTATTTAGAATGTTAATTATTTAATTTAATGTTAATTGATATCTATTGTAAATCAACAGATCAATAAATAAGTAACAACATGTATTGAGGATGATTTAGAATATTTATAATTTCATTAAATAAATAAAATAAAACTGTAAACCACCTATCAATGATCAGTTTTAGGTCTGTTGAAATTTTGTGAGAATATCCATATATAAAAAATCTTTGAAATATAATATATATATATATAAATACATAATAATGAAATGATAACTAATATTAACGAGGTAAGGATTTGAAACAAAATACTTCAGGATTACGTAAGGCCTAGAAAAGGGAACTCCCAGCAGATGTCCTCAAAGTACTGTCACTGTTGCGGTTTCGTGTTAACATCCGCAAAATACAGATGCGCCATAGCTTCTTCTGCACCCATCCGTTGGGAAGGATTGCAAACTAACAGCCTTGAAATGAAGAAAAGAATATGAGATAAAATAATTTATACTAGTTGGCCCGTGTGAAAAATTCTCACAATACATTGTTCAGTGATAAAATAAAAAATTAATAAGAGAATAAAATAATGCAACGTATCATAAGATAGAGAAATCAATCATTGTTTTCTTGCTAAATATAATCGACGAAGGAAATCAAAATTAATTTAAAATTTTATTAATGTTAGGAACCAAAATATTTAAAAATGTTAATTAGCTGTATTTTTCCTAATAATAGTCCGATTTCAATGATTTTTAACTCACTTTCTTCCTTGGGTTAATACAAATTGCTTCAACATTGTACTTATAGCTATATACCAGACATATAATTATTTTCAAATGAAATGGACTGTAATAGAGCTCTCCTAAAGAATATTAAACAAAAATAAGAGCAAAAAATAAAAAAGAACAAATCTAATTGGAAAAATTTCTAATAGATTTTGATGATTTTTTTTCTTCTTTTTGTAGGGAATTTAATAACTTTTATATAATCTTGAATGTAGCCCAACAAAAAGTGTTTAATTTTTTAGTTATTCGCAAATAAAGTTTCTTTTCTTTCATAACTTTTTTGCCTGAATTTTTTAGGTGACATATTCTTGCCGCCTGAAGGAGAAAGAAACCTTCAAAATGGCTGGCTCAAACTCGGGATTTGATGTAGAAATTACCAATATATGAAATAGTGACAAAAAAATAAAAAATAATATGAACTCCTCTCTTGATCATGAGGACCTCAAGTCGGCAAAATGAGACATGTATGAATGCAAACTCTTTGCCATGCATTATCTCGAAAATGGTACATTTTTTGCGCTTTAAACTAACCATCCGAGTCTCATATGCATCAAAATTTTCAAAGCCTAATTTGTCCCGCATCGATCTATAGACTTACCAACGTTCCAGTATTGAAGTCTAGCAAAGAGTTTATATAGACTTTTTTTATTTTAGAAAGAAAAACAAAAGCGGAGACTATTATTCGATCAAGCTTCATGAAATCCTGAATCCAACGGTACCTCATTCACAGTATTTGAGCATGAGAGAGGCTTACATTTGGTACAAAACAGATTTCGAGTCTTACTGTAATAATATATGTCGGGATGACAGAGAAACTTACATGAGTAATAAACATGTAACTGTGGATCTTCCTGAAAACACAAGTCAGCAGGAAATAAAATTACTATTAATAAAATTCCCTGCCTTTTCCCTATTTAATGATAGTTTTCTCTGAACAATATGTCTGTGGACACAAATATTAAAAATGTACAATTTATAATTATATTTATTTATTATGCATAAAAGAAAATTGACAAAAATATGATTTTTTAAACTAGATTAGGATTTTTTATTTTAGAAAAATAAATTTTTAGTCATTTATTTTGACTACCTTTATTTTAGTTTCATAAACTGAGAGGAGGTAAAAGTTGATACTTGACAAATAAAGCTTTGATTTTCTTTAATATAAAACAAGATGAGTAACGAGAGATTCTAATATTAATGTAGTTTCTCATAAATAATTTAGTTTCTTTATTACTATAAACAGCGTAATAAATATCTATACGACACCAACTGTGATATTGTTGGTTAAAAAATTCTCTTTTAAGGAGCACGACGAGTCAAACGAATGAGTGCTTGGTACCCAATGAATTGCACCGACCGTAGCCATGAAAATATGAATTAACTAAAAATAAAATTTTAAAAATATATAGGTATCTATCGTTTGCCAATATTAACGATCACTCACCACTCTTTTAATAATTTGAAAAAATTGTGAATCTATTTAAGACAGCCTGCTAAATGTGGTGTATCTTTAAAATCCAAAAAACAATGATCTACCCACAACAAAATCAGTTCTTCTCAATATTTCACTATCAGATGTTACTTGAAAAGACTAACAAACATTTAAAATCAATTTGACGAACCTCAAACTAATATTTTGTGACGATGGATACAAAGAATCTGCTTCTGACACAGATCTGTTTTTTAAAAAAGTAGCTGTGAAGCTGCCATTGTTCTCTTATTAGTCATTAGTATAAAAGTCATTAGTTTTAACATTTTTATTTATTAATTAATTGATTTGGAGATGCAAATCTTAAATTTCCTACATTTCTGCTGGAAAATGGGCAATTGTTTATATGAACTTTTTTGTAGATCTTGGTGCTTACTATCAATCTTTTAAATAATTCCCTCTACTTACGGAACACCCTGTGTAAATATATATATATATATATATATATATATATATATTTGTAATGTAAATATTACTTAGTGATTTTGCATAGTGGCGCGAAGGTGGTGACGTCACAAACTACTGACAGGAATGACAGATAGGGGGGGGGGTAAGCAAGCCCATATGTAGGGCAGAAGGTAGCCAGCCAGTTAGTAATGAGGATCAGTGAGAAGAAAATAGTGAGTGTCTACAACTAGACGAAGACAAGAAAATAATAGAACAAGAGAAAGTTGGATACAATACCGAGGAAGATTCACTACAGAACAGGGTGAGTGAAATATAAATGGACAGTTCGAAAGCGCGCCAAGATTAGACCCCAACAAAGAATGGAAATTCATAAATATGTTATATAAAATTATTATACCTTTGTATTATATATTTGAGGAATGTGTGTTGGTTGTCTCAACCCAAACTGAGAATTAATTATTGTGTAAAATAAATATTATTTGATTAAGAAACTGTTTGTTTAATTTCTGAAGGGAACGTAACCTTACAATATTTTTTTTATATATATATATATATATATATATATATATATATGAGATTCTTGATATAGTATGACTTTAAAAATTCATACCATTCATATTAGCTTTACACTTCTTTCAGTATTTTTTAAAATATTTAAATGAAAAAATATTAAATAAATATATTTTTCTAAATAAGTAATTTTAAATTTAAAAATCAAATCAAATTGGATTACTATTTTTAAAAATGAGTTTAAATAAAACACTCCACAAAACAAATTATTTACAAAACTAACAAAACCAAATAGTAATGAAGACATAATATTACCTTTGAAGTAGATCCCTTCCCTTAGAATTTAGCTTTGGTACTACCTGAAAAAAAAAAGAACATATCAATACTTCACCAGGTTACATTTTTAAAAAACAATCACAATTATCTAAAGAAACAAATTAATTGTAATAAATAACATCTACCTATCTATCTCTGTGGTGCTACAACCCTGAGTAGCCATTGGCCTCCTCAAGAAGCTTCCACCATTTGGCTCTATCTTGTGGTGCCTCCTTCCAGTTGATGATATCTGGGAGGTTTCTTGCATCTGCTCCATCAGTACACCTTAACCAAGGTCTTCCAGCTCTTCGGTTCCTATGAAGAACCTCTTCAGATACCTTCTTCAGCATTTCTTCTTCTCTCATCCTAGCCAAGGGATCAGCCTAACTGAGTCACAAGTTTAATGAATCTGACCACATCAGCCTCCTTGTAGATTTGGTACAGCTCACGGTTCTTCCTAATCCTCCTTCCCTTAGCAACTTTCAATAGACTATTAATATTCCGTAAGATTTTTTTGCCAAAAATCATTAGATCCTTTTCATCACTTTTGGCAATGGTCCATGTTTGTGAGGCATAGGTAAGAACAGGACGGATTAAGGTCTTATAAAGAATAAGCTTGGTTTGCCTGCTCAAGTGTCTGCTTCAAAAGGGTTTCAGTAGTCCAAAGTAGCACAGATTCGCTGCAGACAATCTTTTCTTTATTTGCGCTGACATATCATTCGAAGCTTTCACATGGGATCCAAGATAAGTAAACTCACCCTCTCAAAAGTATAAGAGCCAATACACAACTCCAGATCTCCTCCATCCTCTGTGAAAAATACTTAGTTTTGCCTTAATTTACAAAAAGTCAGATTACAATAATTGAAGCTGCCCTCACAAGATTAAGGAATGCTTCTTCTAGCTTTGGTCAGGATCTTAAAACTTTCAAACTATATCTAGATCATCAGTATAACCAAGTATCTGCACCAAATAGGAGATTATTGCGTCTCGTATCTGAATTCCAGAGGCTCTCACCACTTTTTCTAGTGCACATTAAATAGAAGACAATCCATCTCTATGTCACAATCTTTTTGCAGCAGTGAATTTGGATGAGCAATCAGATTGTATCCGGACTTGACATCTCACCTACCTCATTGTTAGGTTCACAAGGCGATGACAGCGCCTCATACAGATTTGATCGTTTTATGCTGTCGTATTTTTTAAATCAATGAATAAGTGGTGGGTTGGCAGCTTATACTCATGACCTCTTTCCAAAATCGTCCTTAGTGTATATACCTGGTCAATTGTGGATCTGTCATTCTGGAAGCCAGTCTGATATCTCCATATCTCTAGCTCGGTGATTGGAGATAGTCGGTTGAAGAGGATGTTGGAAAGAACTTTGTATGTACACGACAAGAGAGAATAAAAAAAATACAAACCACAATGTTTACAAAAATGAAAATGGATTACCTGAGCAAAACTCATACTCGGATGATAAATGGGAAATGGTTTGTAATCCGGTAGATGAGTTAAGTTAGGCCATGTGTCTTCCGTTGGAGTACCAAGTAACTTAAATATCCTTTTTAGTTGGTCCTCTACATCAGAACCAGGAAACAATGGCCGACCAGCATTCGCCAACTCTGTTAGACATAAAATAAAGAGTTTGACTAAAAATATCATAATAAAAACTTAATCACTACTTTTTTTCCATAATCCTAATTTGAAAGTAAATTACAATAATCTATTTTTATATAATTAATCACCACAGGTTTATATTTTCAATTCTTTGATTTTAATTATACCAATCTTGTATATCTGTTAATGAAAGTGTTGAGGCTCATCATGAAAGTTTTCTAAATCTAATCTTACTTCTACCTTATGCCTTATTTTCATCCTCATGCTGGCAGAATTCTAAGGCTATTAAATTGTAAGTTTGATAAATAATATTTTTATAAATCATACAATATTGTTAATCTTCTGCTTGTTTTTTTCCCAGATAAAAGTGACTGTTATACCTGCAAATATGCAACCAGCAGACCACATATCGATAGAAGTAGTGTATAACTTGGCACCGAACAGAACATCAGGAGGTCGATACCACAAGGTAACAACTTCAGCAGAATAACATTTCACAGGAATACCAAAAGCACGTGCAAGACCAAAATCTGCCAACTTAAGTTCACCATTCTGGAATATTAGAAAATAAAATAATTATAATTTCAGATACTCAACAAAATACAAATAGGCATAATAAATCAGGGTAGCACTTCATTAGGGTCACTCCACCTTGTAGGATGTTCACAATATCACACAATAGATGGAATTTAAAGTAAGAGCCAGAATTAATATGTTTACAAATGTAAGATCATGATTAATGATTTAACCCTTTGACAGCGAGACCTTATAACAAGTGTTTTTTCCCAATGGTGGGTCCCGAAATCCAGAAAGAAGTTCGGAAAAACGGATTTCCTCCCCGATATTTTAAATTTGTGTAAAATACTATGAAAGAACCACTCTGAAAGCTTTCAAAAATGCAATTAAAACCTTTTTATTTAATTTTGGGTTCAGAATTTTTATTCCGAATTTCTGCAACTGATAGCTCCCAAATCGTAGGAAACCAGAGTGAACTCCAGAGGACTAATGACTGCACCAACCAAGCCACAAAGCAAACGGTAAAAGCGGGCTTTCCTCTCCTGCTACAAGTGACCCAACTCCTAATGGGAAAGCAGTTATCCCATCCGCACCCAAGATGATAAACAAATTCACATTAAGAAATTTTTAGTTAGAATAAGAGTCTTGATAAGCTTTAGTTATATTGCATATTTTGACTTCTGCTTATTTAAATGGGTCCTTTTAAGTTAAAATCAGAACCTAGCTTGATCATCTCCACCAACTTTCAGCCACATTCACCCAATTTTGGAAAACAATTGAGGGGCTGTGGTGGTCGAACAAGTTAAGGTGTTTGCAGAAAATTTATTCGGTGAGTTTAAATACCAATAACAATCATTATTTAACAAGTGAGTTCATGAGATTCAATAACAAAAAAATATATAAATAATAATAATAAATTACAATAAATGAGTTCAGTCCCTACTCGACTTGCTTAGGTGAGGGAACCCTATGACTAACAAAATAGCTCCTAGGCCCTTCAGATTAAGGATGGGACTAATAACCCCATCCTGTTAACAAAAAACAACAGGATAGAGATGTCTACGAAAAGTTGTCAACCACCCTGATGAATAGGGAGTGATTTGTGATCACGTCTGGTTGTTATAAACCACGTGCTCTCTGGATAGCTACTGGAAGATTAATGGCAGAAGTCAAATAAGTCAAGAGGCGTTTAATAAAAAAGAAAGGAATTCGATCTAGTGATTGTGAGATATTGTATCCAGCGATCATGTTGAAGTGACAGCTATAATGTACTATCTAAATCCAGTAAGATATATTATTACCTTGTTAATTAAGAGATTTTGGGGTTTTAAATCTCTGTGTAAAACATTGTGACTGTGACAGAAAGCAAGTCCTCTAAGGAGTTGAAACCTGGAAAGATATTTCTATATTAAAGTCTGTTCTTTAATCAGTTTGAAAGAATATGTACGATATAAATGGGACATACATAAAAGATTTAACAATATCTAAGTCGATTTCTCCATTCAAACTATCAAAATACTTCTTCAGGTCTTGATCACAATGTTCAAATACCAAAGTTAATTTTTTATCACTATGCAGTACATCATAAAGGCGAACAATGTTCTTATGTTTAAGCTCCTTCAGCAGGCATATTTCTCTTAGAGCAGATGATGGGACACCCTAAAAAAATATGACAAGATACAATTATAAGTTAATTTAACAAAACGGGAACATTTTGATCAAGTTATATGATTTTAGATAATCTATGGCTTACTTCATCATCATCATCTAATCTCACTCTTTTGAGAGCTACGATTTCCAATGTGTCTCTATTTTTTGCTTTGAATACAGTTCCATAAGTTCCTAAAACGAAATTGGCTTTAAAAACAAAACCACTGAGGGAGAAGTAGAATGTTTGAAATGACCATAATACCTTCGCCAATTTTTTCCAATTTCTCATATTTCTGCATTTTAAATTAAAATTAATATAAATGCATAAGGTGATTTATAGAACAACGAAGGTTCTCAGATTCATGGATGAGATAACAACAACAATAAAACTCCTAAAAATTAAAAATAAACAAAACACTTTAAGCTAACCCGGGAATCCAGACCGTTCACTGATTGATCAAAACGAACTGGGTACTATGTTCTAATCGATGATACTACGGTGATAACTGATTGCTCAGTATCAGCGAGCTAATAGGTAATATACCACCTGCGAGCTAAAAGATGGAAAGCTATTGCTGCCGATAGACTAGCCTGGCAGGCTATCTGTGAGCCCTTAGAGAGCAGTAGCGCCAGAAATAATAATAATAAAGTTGACCATATCCAGTAAGGAACTGAGAGACCCAATAGTCTGGTTTGATCCATCTTGTTGCTTATCGCCCCTTAGTGGTCCCACCTCTGTTCCACTCTTCGACGGATTCCCGGTGTTCCTGCCGAGCCTTCTCTCTTGTAGGCATATTTGCACAAATCTTCTTGCAGGAGGAGATCGAGAGGTATCACCCATACTAAGATCAACACTGCCTCATGAGGCACTGTCTTATATCCTCTGGTGGCCTGTAGCAGAGCCATCCTCTTAATAGATGATGACTTGCCCTTCTTTTGGTTCGAAAAGTTCAAGTACAATTAGGGTGATGCATATCTTAATATACCCAGCACCATTCCTATGTAGTAGCCTAGTTCGCTGGGTATCTAAGGCCCCCCCTTCACCAACACGACTGGAACCATTTAGGGTGACTGTCACAGTGAGGATTTATATTAAGCTTTCTTCCATATCTTACTAAAAAAAAACTAAATAAATATGTGCGCTCCTCAAAAAAAAATTAAAATCCCGTAAAAATCGGCCTGCCTCAGAAATTTTGATGGCGGAACCTGCGCCATACAATTTCTTTCTGGGCATTTACAAGTAGTGAATAACCACTATCCTCTTAATGAAGCTTCCTCGTAATCAACTGAAGATTTTAAAACAAATAGGTATTGGCGGTTGAGAAATTGAGGTTCTTTGAACATCCGTTGATCTTTATCCATTTAATCACAAACCTTAAAATGTACGCTTTGAACGCTGAAATGGAACTGCCCCATCCACTAATAGTTTTTTTCACTATGGATGACAAAATCGACCATTTAAACCATTTTAATTTTTAAATAAACGTTTTCTATTCCATAATTGTCACCTTTTTCCTGCCTTAAATTTTTTATAAAGACGCATTATGCGTTGTGACTTTTCCTTCAGTGGTACCCTCTTCCCTAATTTCCGACAGACGTGATTACTTTTGGCATTCATTCTGTGTACAGTCTACATAGTCCTATAAATGACGAGAAGTTAATTTTTAATAATTGAATTTTTAAATATTTTAGAGCCCTTTCATTAATTTAGTATTAATGAAAACACGTATTTTTAGTTGGAAAATAGTTGTTGAGTAAATGATATGAAGCTCAGTTTGTGATATCGATGTGGCCGAAGCTAATGACACGTATGTCAATTCAAAACAAGCTTCCCTGAAGATGGGGTACCGGCATGTATATTTGGTTTTCTTATCTGTGTTTTGTGCACATTTAGCTTTAGTTCATAGTGAAAATGAAACTTTAGTTCTTTTAGATAATCTAGCAATTAAAGAAACGCATTCCATGTTCTTCAAATCCCTCAAAGGTATGTTTGTAAAAAAGGTTATGTTTTTATATATTACATTCTCCTACTTAGTTTTTTATAAATCTTTTTTAAATTTCAGAGAGGGGTTATTCTTTGACATTTAAGCTAGCGGATGATGCTGGTCTTTTGCTATCAAAATATGGTGGATTTTTGTATGACCATCTTATCATTTTTGCACCTTCAGTGGAGGAATTTGGTGGTGCTTTGAGTGTACAAGCAGTTGCAGAGTTTATCGATGGAGGAGGCAACGTTTTAGTGGCTGGGAGCAGTATGTCTGGTGATATTTTAAGAGAATTGGCTTCAGAATGTGGATTCGAAGTTGATGAAGAAGGTGCTGCTGTAATAGACCATCATAATTATGATGTCAAGGATCAAGGAAAGGTATTTGAAGTTGAATTTATGTTTATTTACATTTTGTCAGTTTCAAATTATCATATAGTGTTCAAATTAATTCTTTTGATGTTATGAGGGATTAGATCATATACAATTTTGTTTTAGCTGCTCTTTAAACAAGTGTGATTCATCATGTGAGATGGGTGAAGATATCAGCATTTCTTTACTCTAATTTAACTCCAACAATAGCAGAATGTTTCCGGAAGTAGATAGTTGTATCAAATCCCATGATATGGCTCCGAACTTAACTCATAAGGGCATTGGATTTGTGTGAATGAAAGTCGAAAGTTGCTATTTGATTGACCCTTGAAGTTGGTTGTTGATTCTTGGGCTTGTGTAGATTCCATTTATATTGTGATTGATATCTTGATCATATTTTAGTGCTATTTGTAGTAGTCTTGGAGCCAGGGACCAAAAATCGACCACATTGCAGGCAGAGGTTTGAATGTAAATTACAAAAGTGTATGTTATTCTGAGTAATAAGAGCCTTGTCTGCCGTTCCAGAGCCTCTGGTTTCAAAAATTATGGTGGATGATTTAAACAATATTAGGCCAATATTTATTGATAAACAATCAAACAATAATTTGAGGATTGGAACGGGAAATCCATTACAAAAAATGTTTTTAACTTGTAAATATGGGTTTAGATATGTAAAAAACAAAATTGCTAATGCGGGCTACCAAGGAAAAACTTTTTACAGCCAAAAAAGGCAGATTTTTTAATATTTTTTCTTTTTTCACTTATAACTACTATACGATGCATCAAAGCGAAAAATGATAACTTGATTACGTGGTTAGGTATAAAACCACAGTCTACCACCGCTGATTTGTATCAAATTTGTCAAAAACTAAGAAAAAATTGCTATAAATGGCCCTGCAACTTGGAAATGAGTAAGAGGAAAAACCCTTGGAATCAAAGTTATAGAGCATCAAATTCTGTGTCCAATGAGTACTGACATTTTACATTTTAGACCAATTTTATATCTTGAATCGTGATTCGTTATTCCTTTATGAAAATTGTTATCTTTCAACACATCATTTATCAATATCCTTTGCTGCTGAGAGGAGGAAAAGAGGCTTATACTGCATGTAACAGATTCTAAATAAAAATAACTCAGAATAGTTATTTTATATATATAACACCCATACTAAAGGATTGCGGATCGTAACATATGTAATAGGCCTAAGGAAATTTGTAACCTTAGAAAAAATGAATTGAAAATTTTGTCTATTTGGTAAAAAAAATGTTTTTACATCAAACCCGGATATGCTTAATATTAAATAACAAAAAATTAAGATTTTTTAATGTCAGTTGCCTTTTTAAACAACATTTTCGAGAAAAAAATATATACTTTATATTGATGTATAATAATAAAAAAAAAAATTAAATATCTACATTCCAAGCCACTTTGAGATTTCCAGTAAGTCCCGTGGGGTGCATTGAGACTTCCACTAAATCCCGCGGGCCACGGCCTGTAAAAAAAATGTTTGCATGAATGTCATATGAGCAGTGAAATAAGCTTTTAAGAGAAACAACTCTTGAAATAAATGCTTTAGTAACCTTGTGTTTGAGTGATTTACTAAATTTTATATTTTGAAAATTTTACTATGCATTCTAAGTAACTTTTGTGGGCTGGATTAGAGGGCGCTTGTGAGCCGGGATCCAGCCCACAGGCTGTAGTTGGAAGACCCCTGTTTAAACCACAAAGTTTAAAGCTTGAAGCTCATTCTGGACGACTTGAATATTTTTCAATCTCGAAATGGATTTTTTTGGTAAATGTCTAAACATATGACAACTTTTAATCAAATTGAAAGTTGGAATTAAAACTTTTTCCATCCAACTTTTATTGTGTTGTGTATTTGTAAAACACAGATAGTAACATGATTGTTTGCGTTTATTCAGTCCTTAAATAATTAACTAACTCAAAATAGGTGGTTAGAGTACAATGTTGACTTATTGAGAATTAAAACAGTATGTGTTCTTTGAGATATAAACTTTTACTGATTTAATTGGTTCTATTTTTCTTGTATTCAATGCATTTATAATGTTACAGCTTATTCTGGTATTATTATTATTACTATTGAAGGATGAGAAACCTTACTGTGTTGTCTTTTATGAAATATGCTAATTTTTAATTTCTGACATAATGCATTTGTATCAGTAATAAAAAAAAAAAAAAAAAAATTAGATTTAGCTGAGAGTAATATCATTAGTGAACCATGATTAATTTTGTAGCATACATTAATTGTTGCGGATCCTAAGAACTTGATTGATGCTCCTGTCATCGTTGGATCTCGGAACATTCCTCCATTGCTCTATCAAGGAACTGGGCTTATTGCTGACTCTGAAAACCCACTTGTTCTTCAGCTGCTCACTGGTGATAGTACTTCTTACTCATATATACCTGATCAGCCCATAAAAGAGGTAGGTTATAACAGTAATTAATAGTTTATTAATTCAGTAAATATAAATTATTCTGATATTTCATAAAATAATAATTTTGTTAAACTTCTGTTCCTGTTTCGGACTAGTCAAATGTTCTAATATTCTGAAAATAATAAAATTATTATATTTCTTATCCTTTTTCGAGCGTCAAGTAATATTCGGATATTTGAAAAAATAGTAATAATTTTTATTTTATTTTAATAAAATTTTATGTTCGAATAATTTATATTAATGCTAAGGGCTTTAATGGTTCTGCTTTTCACTGTCCAAACAGTATTTGTACAGTTTGATAAATTTTAGCTTAGGCTATAGTTTTAAAGAAATTTCCGGAATATTGAAAATAAATTTATCTATGTTGTATTCACAATTAAAAACGTTAGGGAATGGATTTATATTTTCAAAATTTGTATAAGGGTGTCTAAGCAACATAACCATCTGTGAAGAACAAAACTAACCAAACGAAAAGAGTGTCTTGCTGATAAGGTGGAAAAAATTCCTTTTTTTTTCAATACCCAATCTATTGCCATCGAAATCGCTAATCCATATTGTATATGGGTATAACTTTTTAAAAAAAAATGTTTTATTAGTAAAGTTTACATGATATGGCAAAAAATATTTCAATAAACCTAACGAGTTTGTACTTTTTTAAGTAAGCATTTTCTACAGTTTTTTTTTTTTATTTAATAACAATTTTTTTAAACTTTTTTTTGAGAAAATTTTTGGTTAATTTTGGAATATTTTCATGATGATTTTATTTAACCATTCAATGTTTTTCTTCTAAAAGGTCTACCCTTATATTATGATTTTGATTTCAAAAAATATTTCTAATCATCTATGCTGTTACTTGTCTATGAAAAATTCACTTTAGCTACAGCATCAAAAATAATTAGTTTCCTTGGCCATACATATTTAAAACAAATTAATCCATCCTCTAATTCAGGAAATTTCTCTCGTACTATAGTTGTTTTCATAAAGATTACAATTTTGTTGTTTTGTTTTTTAATTTGAACCTAAAGCCCTTATTACAATTTTAATTTTTACTGCAAAAGTAAGTGTGATTAAAATGTTGTTTACAAAAAAAAAGATTTGATGCCAAATAATCTATGCTAAAAAAATTAGCTATTTTCTATATTTTCTTTTTATATTAATAATTCTATAATTTATCGTCCCTTATTAGATAAATTTATTTAATGCAATTTGTTCATGTTAGCACAGATTATATTCTATGGAAATAATAAGTGATAAATAAGCAGGTTAATTAAAGTTTAATATTTTGTGTTAGTTATCTTATAGCTTAAGCTTACCTTTAATTATATTTTCCCCTGTAGATGTTCAGTTTATTCTTTACTTTCAGTACCCGCATGCTGTAGGCAAAAACACACTGATGCTAGCAGCACTGCAAGCAAGGAACAATGCAAGAGTTGTCTTCTCTGGCGCTTTGTATTTCTTCTCTGATGAAGCTTTTACATCACCCGTGCAAAAGAATGGGGTATGTTTAAACCATATTTCTATTTAGATTATAAGTTTATGAATACAATAGAATCCAATCTGGCTTCTGGCTGGATGGTTATTCTTGGCGGAACTGTAACCAGCAGTTAAGCAGAAAAGTCAAATAATCCAAAGTTTAAAATTGAAAGGAAAGTCGCTAATATTAATTGAATAAAATTAATAATACAATAGAAAAATTAATGTATAAGTTATACATTATAATGTAAGTTATACATATAAATGTAAAATTAATCTATAATTTTTTTTTAGATTTATGATTTAATTTAATTAATGGTAGTTTAGTTGAATATTTAATAGTTGACCGTTGCATTATAAAGAAAGGAGATGGTTCGGGGTGGCGGTCATAAATAGGCTAAATAAATAGTGTCAAAACTGTTTTATTAAAAGCCAACGTTTCGACCTGACTTTGCAGGTCTTCTTCAGGTAGGTGTGTTCAGCTAGGAGTTTCACTTAAAACTCAAGTTAACCCAGTTTTAAGTGAAACTCCTAGCTGAACACACCTCCCTGAAGAAGACATACTAAGTCAGGTCGAAACATTAGCTTTTAATAAAATAGTTTTGCCACTATTTAGCCTATTTATGACCACCACCCTGGACCATCTCCTTCCTTTTTAATGGTAGTTTAGCTTTTAATATTATTTAAAAAGTATTTTTTTTTTCTTGTTTTACTGAGCCTAATGTTTTTATACATTCCAAGAAAATTCCAATTGCCATTTATTAAAAATTATTGAGAAAAATATTTTTTTTTTTTTTGAACTTTAAAAAGTTATTTCTTGCTAGTGGAATATCCATTAGAATCAAAGAATCCATTGTTTTTAAAAGGTGATAACAAGATTTCACTTTCATATACATTATGTGTTATATTTCATATTTTTATTCAAATTTGTATTATCAATTAGTGCATTAAAATTATAATCATAGCCCAATAGTACAAATACTGAATGAAAATATATTAATTTTTTTCTTATTAGTACATTGATGTATATATTTTCTAGGGCAAAAAGTTTGAAGTTTCCGGAAACAGAGATGTAGCTACTGCATTGAGCAAATGGGTTTTCAAAGAGAGTGGTGTTTTGAGAGTGAAATCAACTTCACATCATAAAGTTGGCGAGAAGCAGCCACCAGCAGCTTATACCATTATGGATGATGTGGTCAGTATTTTTAATCTTTACTAAAAAATGTTTATGGTGTTGGGTATTCCACTCTCTGAGGTATTCCGGAACAAACTATTATATCTCCTGATCCTGGGGCAGGCCACATATAAAGCATCCTGAAATATAGTTCCATGTCCAGTGAGTATAACGCCTGACCTAAGGATTTGTTGGTGCAAAATATACGATAACTGCATTCATTCCAAAGTGAGTGCAGTGCTCATCAAAATGATTGTTATTGGTTAGTGCAATTAAAGATCCAATTACAAAGTTTGTAAGTTCTTAATTGATCTACTACCGTTTTTATTTTACAGATTAAAATTGAGAGTGCAAGCGTCCATAATTAGCACACATTCCGTAAATAATTTTCTCGACTTTAAAAATATTTAAGAGGTTTACAATACTTAGCACTGGTCGCTTTTTTTATTTTATTTTTTTTTATTGAGATAACATTTAATCCGTACGAGCTCCTGGTACGACTCCCTCATTCCAGTCCAAATATCCAAGGAGGCAAGACTAGCATAATCTTTTAGAAAATTGAATTAGTGAATAATTTGATGAAGTTTCCCTTTGTGATATTCCAACAGTATCCACTTACAATTAGTGTAACAACTTTTGACCTATTTATGACAGGCAATATAAGTATCACAATTACATTTCAGTATACTTTGCAATGGAAAATAATAGTTTAATAACTAATAGTCTTACAATCCATAATCAACCATTGATATAATAAATAGGATTTTTATTATTTTAATGGTATTAGTGATTTGTTAGCTGTAAGCTTTAAGCTTTAGCTCAGTTAAAAATTTACTTCAACAATTTTATATTAGCCCAACATTACTACAAAATAATTTCTATTCAAAGTATAGTGGAGCGGTAAGTGAAAGTTGTGTGTTGCGCACACCAAGTTGTTTACAGTATTATTAAATAATTATTGTTTTATTTATATACTAAAATTATTCTTTAAAATTTCCCCTCTTGGATTTTTCATATCATGCATGGTCAACCAATAAATATGATATCAATATTTATATTTTCCTTGAATCAATAAAAAATTGTTACCATCCAATAATAGATTATAATATTTCTTATGTATTATTATTATTATTATTATTATTATTATTGTTTTTAGGTTTTCTCTTTGGAAATAGAGCGTAAAACTTCAACTGGCTGGGTTCCACATGACGCAGATGATGTTCAGTTGGAATTCGTTCGTATTGATCCATTTGTTCGCACAACTCTGAAGCGCACGAAGCCTGGCCATTATGAAGCAGTTTTCAAGATACCTGATGTGTACGGAGTCTATCAGTTCAAGGTAGACTACAGCAGAATAGGCTATACTACACTCTACAGTTCTACTCAGGTAGGTTGATTGATTTTTATCTAACAATAATGGCATAGTTCCTTTTTATGATTTTCATATAAGTATAAAATTTATATGAATTTCAAAATCCGATATTCAAATGGAATTTTATAGTATCGTGTCATTCTATAAAAATTCTAGGTTATTGCAGTGAATTTAAAAAAAATAAATAAAGATGACAGTTTAAATATAGTCTTTACATGAAAACCTGTGGCTTTTTATTAACTTCCTTATTGAAATATGTTAGATTTGAAAAAAAAAACGTCTGCCAAGGAAGGTCAGTATAGCTTCCTCACCATTTCCTAAAAAAAATCTATATTACAACATCTACAATTTTTTGTATGAGAATAAAATCTCTGGTAGAAACCTTTTTTGGAAATTCAGTAATCCCTCAACATATAATGGTTTGATACCCATGAGTTTTATTCATCAGTGAATACTAAAATGCGAAAAAGTTCCGCATATACAGATTGCATATTTGATGACTCGGGATTAAAATAAAAATCAAGTGCGTACTGAACATGAATATCACTACTGTTAGTGCAAAGCGTCATATGTAAACATTGAGTGTTTTACAGGAAAGCATAAAAACTAATTGTTTTGTTATGAATTATTAGTATAATTTCATAATTTATTGCCCTGTCCTATTTTTCATCGTAGCAGAATGCTTACGACCTTTTGTACTAACAGTAGTAATATGTACTTAATATCCATGTTTTCACTCGTAAAATCGATGTTACAAAAACTCCATAAGAGAAATAAGAAAAACTAAACTTTTTGTTTTTTCAGAGATAACGAAACCAATACTTTTCTTCAGTCAGAACAAAACTATTTAAGCTGTAATATAAAAATATACGTAAAAACCACACATAAACTCGATACCACTACGAGCTGGTTGAACTTCAATAGAAATAAACAATCAAAAATAAGATTTTTCTTTTATACAAACTCAGAGTAAAAATTAATTTAAATTTTTTGAAAATTACACAAAATCTAAGTAACGTTTGGAATCAACGAAACAATATAGTATAAATTAATTCTTTGAATGAAGCCTAAAATTTTATAACACCCTAAAAATGTTGTCATAGCTTTACTCCTACTCCATATGATGAGTGCCTTTCATATTTCACTGTCATTATATTGTTAAAAATTATTTATATTAAATTTAATTATTAAATGAAATTCAAATTAGGAAATTTCTATACTTTTATCCAAGTATGGGTCAAATTGAACGCGCAGATTTCAAACTATAGGCTTATCAAATAATACGTTTGATGATCCGAAAGCGAAAGTATTTTTTCTAGAAGAAGTGGATAGAATTTGATAAAATCCATACCTACTCGATTATCTGTTTTCCAATCCCTAAGTTGCTTCCAAATTTGAGCCAAATCGGACATGCAGTTTTAGAGTTATAGACGTATCAAGGAAAACACGTTTGCTCATATATACAAGAAATTAGTGGACAGAATTCAATAAAATTGACATTATGTTATTTTTTCACCATTACCTGCTTTTTAACTAATTTTGAGCCAAATCGAACGAGACCTTTCTGAAATATTGGCATATCTAAAAAAATATGTTTCCGTAAGCGGAAGTGCTGGATGGAATTTGATAAAATTGATATCTGACCATCTAGGTACCAATCCAGATGAACAGTACTTGGTGATATGCCACATTGATTTGACTAGACAGACACCGAATCAAATTTGATCCTTGATGTCTGAAACATAAAACACGAGTGGAAATTTTTGATTCTGAGCACAAAATCTTTTTTAACCTCTCATGAACACAATGATTCCCTACCCTTGGTAGTGAGGAAGGAAAAAAAAAAATTCTGGAATAATGTATAAGAGATTTACTATTGTTTAAATAATTTGTTTAGTTTATATTAACTTTCATTTATATATAAATTCATTGTTCATGAAACTATTATGTTACAGGTTTCTGTGAGACCTCTGGAGCATACGCAGTACGAGAGGTTCATCGCTAGTGCTTATCCTTATTACGCTAGTGCATTCTCGATGATGTTTGGAGTTTTTGTCTTCTCTTTCGTCTTTTTGCATTTCAAAGATGAGCCATCAAAGACAAAGCAGGAATAATAAATTAAGGACTGTTTGAAAAATATTCCAAAATGTATCTAGTGGTTAGAGGACATTTTTTCTTTTCCTCTTCAAGAACAAAGACTTTTTACATATGAGCTGTTATTTGTAAATTATTTATAATAAAAAGCAATTTATTACTAGTGAATAAATTATTTGAGTATATGTGTGTTATTTTTTCAATGTTTCCTTGTTGTATCGATTATCGTGTCTATTGTTTAAATAACATTAATGGCAGTGCTCGAAACACGCCCTGATGATGACCCACATGTTTGGGTTGAAACGTCGGCACCAATAAAAACTTTATAATTATTATAAAGTTATTTATAAAACTTTATAATTATAATGACTGCATCCTGAATATTTATCACCCATGATATGTAGAACAGTCGACTAACTTCCTTTAATTTTATTTTTATATGTTTTTGCACAATTCTTATTTATTGAATTGTTTTTGTTCTTGTTATTCACTCTAAATATTTGTTTTTTAAATTCTTACTTTTTATATACTTACCTTTTTCATTTATTTTTATCAAGAAATCTATTTCTTATTATGTTTTAATGGTTTTATTTTGTATACTTTTACATTGATCATTTTGCTATTTTATTCTTAACTCTTATTACTATTATCTTACTTATTCTGATTTTAACTTATACTAAGTTTACCGAGCTCCAACGGCATATAAAGGAAAATAATATAAACGTATACAAAATTGTAGAGGCAGGAGCTGCAACTGATAATAAAATTCAATTCTAAAATTATGGCTACCGGGTGCACATTCTTTTCAGAAGTCATCATTGTTCTGGAATCATGGTAGCTGCGAGGTCAAACCCAACTGTGGAGTTCTCAATAAAGAAAAAAAAAATGAGTGAAAACTCAAAGTGGTTGAACTAAAGGTATGGAAAAGGAAAACACGATGTCTATTCTTTGTATATAACCCAGCATGCAACAACCTTTCATTCTCCTGGCTTGAAGATACCTGGGACCATCACTGTATTATATTTAGTGACCTAAATGCTCCATCTACTAAATGGAATTACAATTGCACAGATCCAGTCGAAATAACTTGAGAGAAATTCATTGACGAAAATCCGGTGGAGTACATACCAACCCAGGTGGAAAAGCAACCTTACATATGCAGGGACAACATGCAGTTTAGGCACAGTATTAGCTCACTCATTAATTGTTTCAAATCTGTCTCTCTCACTTTGGTCATCACCTGAAGCCTTTGGTCATAGTTTCCTTATAGTTAATGAAACTCTTGGTCCGTACAAGATCAAAGAGAAAAGGATGGTCCAATGGAACACAAAGGAAGCTGGCTGGAAAAAGTTTGCTTCAGCATCTCATCAATACCTAACAACTGATCAAGAGAACCCTGGAGCAACCCCTGAAGAAAATCATGGATGCTGTAATAAAAGCTGTTCATCAGATCAGGTCATATTAAAAACTATCAGCCATTTTAGAATGAGAATATAGAAGCTATAAAAATCAATTGAGATATAGCTCTGAAAAAATTCCGTGCATCTCGAAAACCTGCAGATAAAGTTATTCTAAAACACAATGTCAGTCTTCTGAAAAGAGAAATAACTATTGCCAAAAAATCAGCCTTTAGAGGTTTCTTCCAGCAATTATATTTCCACAAATAGGTCATAAAAACACACTGGCTTTTTCCTGATTGAATTATGATGTTCCTCTTCATTAAAATCAAATCAAGAAGGGTGAAGTTAGCCAAACATTTGACTGAGACATTGCACGTTTGCTCTGTAAATACTACGCAGCTGTGGACAATTTTCATTCTTAGCCAAAAGCTAAAAAGTTGAAAACAACTGATATCCCAACATGTTCATGTTATGGGGAGCATGAGATACTTAACAATGACTTTATCCATAGTGAGGTAGAGAAGGTGCCCTAAACCACGAAGAAGGGAAAAATCACTGACCCAGATAACATCCTACTTGAATTCTTAATCAACTTGGACCCAACTGCTAAGAACACAATAATGATCTTTTTTAAGAGTCAATGTCACTTACCTGATGGATGAAGAAAGGCTGTAATCCTGCCTATTCCTAAGGACAAATCTATGGATAGCCCATCAACTGGTTTTGACATGGTGTATACGCCTACTCTATGTGCTGAGAAGCATCGGTTGGAAGTGTTCCTAGCCGTAGCCTTAACCAGCCTCCAACCTAACTTCTCGGCCTCGGTAAGACCAAGAGTATGCGGGCACACAACCGGTGCCCACGGAACGGACTGCACCCTACTACCATAACTTCCGTCCACTTGTCTGCACACTATACCAGATGACTAGCCTGAACAACTTCAAGACTAGCTGAACACTGGTGTCGTGCACCGAGTAGTCGTAAACACAATGACCGCCACGGCCGGACAGTGCAAGCACTCTCGCCGTCCACCCAAAGCGCCGCCAGGGCTCCGGCGACGCCCCATAGTACCAATTTGATCGGGAAGCACTGCTTCCCTGACCTCAGAGCACGATTGGTCTCAGGCTCCGCAATCTTATGATCGCTACGGCTTTACATAGACTGCCGATGTACAGGAGGATGCCTGCACCTCCGCAGTCGACGGACACGACTCAAACCACAGGGTTCGAGACGATGACCGTCCCCGGAACTGGTTTTGACAGTGTTGTTTCTTGTACAGAGATTCATAAGAGTGCGTTACCAGAATGAAATCTCATCTTTCAGACAAACCCGAAACGGTGTTCAGCCGGATTCATTTTTAAGCCCAATCCTCTTCAACATAATGATCAATGTTAAGGGAACATAGCCAAGGTTCCTACTTTATTTAATGAAAAAGCAAGCAGCACTGCTGCCATGCAGGAAAGAGAAGCAGAGAGATAAGGAGAGACAGAGTCTAGACATGCAGGCTTCCTGCAAAATTCATGTCAACTTAAAACAGGAGACATAGCCAGCAGACGAATTAATATATGCACCTTTTTTAGAAGAAGAAAACAACCCAGCAAGGAGCCTGAAGACCAGAAAGAAAACTTGGAATGGATAAAAGAACTAAGTACTAGCAGTAATTTTCGGTCACCACCAACCTAATCTACTTCAATAGTTTATAATTCAGATTAAAATATTAACCGACATTATAATAGTTTCAGTCTCAATAATTTAAACATTATAATAGAAACCAAAATATAGCCATAATATTTTACTTATCGTCAATCAATTCCCTTACTTATACAATCCATAGCAGTTAAATAAGAATCAGTTCCTTATAGCAGAATTATTATGTCTATATCCCGGACAGCCATAGAAGGGATTGGCAGAATAGATTAAACAATCAATGATGTGATCTCTGCGGTTTCCATGTTCCCAGGAGTCAATGCGTTGTTATACTTGGCTACATGGACAACTTCAAGCAATATTCCTACTCTCAAATCGACCTTGAACGTCTCATAGACTGAACAATGCGAAATAAAATGGTGATTAACACAATGAAGACGGAATACCAACTTTTTACTCTCGACTAAGAAGCCCTACTTCTCACTATCAATTAACAATAATGTATTAAAGCCGATCATAATAATATACTAAACTGTGCCACATACCTAGGCATCAAGCTTGATTCACGTCTAACATGTAGGAAGTAGAACATCGAAAGGAGCCAAGCATCTTGAATCTACTGAAAAGACTAAAGGGAACCAAATGCCTCTGAAGATGTGCTTCGACTCACCTTTAAGACTTATGTGATACCGGCAATAGAGTACGGAAATGAGCTGTTGGTGACCTCTTCTGCTTTGATATAATACAGAATCATGCACTCAGAACTATAACATGGGGTGCTAAGTCAGCATCCATTGCAGTAATGAGATACACACTGGAATCAAACCACAGCATTACAGATGAGAATTGGCTGCTTTAACCCTGAGTAAACATCTTTGGCGGAACAAGATTGAGTTATGGCAAATCTATATACCTGCTACTGGCCGACCGGTCACTTAAACCTCGTTCCTTACCAAAGTGGAATCATTAAGAAAGGATAATGGCTTGACGATGTCCCTCCAGAAAGATAAAGAGCTAAGAGGCATTAAAACAGGCCTAAATGATAAAATGCAACAATTTTACTAACAATGCACAGAAGGGAAACAGTGGGCTACCCTTCTTGATCCAAAGCGTCGTGTTCCACCTGATCTCCGGCACGAGTCGATTGCAGCTTTCCGAACAACTAGTCACAACTATTTTAAATGCTCACCTCCGCAGAATAGGAGTGAGAAATAACACTCCGTGCTCATTATGCAGCACATTCTCTGTCATGATATCAAGTCATTTATATGAATGTCCTCGTCTTGAAAAAATAAGAAAGAACTTCTCTTCTGACAATACAAATTGACAAAACTTCATTGGGCTGCAAGAGGCCTTAATGTGACAGGAAAACAGACCATGCGTAAGGAAAAAAATAAATGAAGGCTGTATATTCCTTACCTATGGTATATAGTGTGTTTCATAATGTGTTAAAGGAAAATATTTAAAGAGATGATATAATAGACAACAAGAGCTACAAAAATTAATATAAAACATGGTCTGATTTTCCACAGAAAAGTAGGAAATTAAGTTTTTTTGTTTTTTAAGTAACACTTATTTAAATAGGGCTTTTAGGAGGCTGAAGTATGCAAGTTCTAATTTTGATAAAATGATTTATGTTTAGCTATTTTAATTATCACCCTCCAAATATACTACAGGATACCTCACTTTTAGAAAATCTTATTTAACAAACTTTTAAGTCCATAGTAATTAAGTTGAGGGTTTATTACGAAATAAGTTGAGTTACATTTTTATACATTTTCATTTGTAAGTTAAGGTCCGGTGTGAGATGGATAATTCTTATAAGATTTAATATTATTTCTTTCATTTAAAAGTAAACACATGTTATATAACCTTCTTTGATAAAGACTCTACTGTTTGTAAAATAAAACCTTACTGAAAATTAATCTATTTCCAGTTGTTTGTTTCTTCATTTTTTCTATTTATCGACGCCAATAGTTAACTTGTATAAAACTGTATATAGAATAGAACATAAATTTATTCTGGGACAAAGTCCCTTTTGAATAACAAAATAGAACATAATTAAAATACTACATTTGGCCAAAATAAAACAATAATAAAAAAGAGAAAATAGAGAAAATATTAGTTAAACAAGCTATATACAAAAAAAAAAATCTTTATACAAAACACTTAAAACTATGATAAAACACTTAAGACTATGTACAGTAGGAAAAATTATAATTATACTCTTTTGAAAAATAAAGTAATAAAAAATACATTGAGTTCTTCTTTAAAATGAGGTGTGTTTCTGCTAACAAAGAAAAGACAAAGCTGACAATATAAAATATCAGTGTCTTTAAATAATGATTAATATGTAGACTCATCATTGTCAAATGCTAGAGGTACAGATTTAATTATATACCAATAAAAAATAATAATAAAAATAAAAAACAAACCAGTGGCATTAAGAGCCATTATATACGGTTTTCGGTGGTACTTGAGGGTAGATTGAAGCTTTAGAGGTCTACTGTCACCCCTTTTCGTATTTTCCTTTACCTATGGGACACGCTGAATACTATAATTTTATCAAGAGGGAGAGGAGTAAATTGAAAAAAATCCATATGAGTTTGCTATGTATTTATTGATTCAATTTTATCACATTATTTATGATATATACTCTAAGAGAAGTCAACATTTTAAATATTCTGGAATGATTAAACAATAATGAAACATAAAGAGCGATAATGCCCTTAAGATAGATAACTATCGATACATTTTTATTTTGGGCTTATATCACAACAAAAATTATTATATCATATAAATATATTGCTTTTTTTTTATTTATCGATTTTTTAATTATTTTAATTTTGCCCTACTAAGCAAAATATTCTATTATTAACAATATATTGATACAAAAATGATTCTAAAATACATACATAATTTATAATACACCCAAAAAATAGTGGAAAATTGTTTCTGGAAAATCATTTGAACAAACGTAGCTATGTACTTTATCACAACTCTAATGGTCACCGTAGAGGAAGCAATTTTCGTTTAGATTAATTTCTTATCTCTATTAAATTAGTTTTCTCTCGCAGATGACAATTGTCATGCCTCTACTAATAAATAACTACAATGGTGTTATAATAAGTATTATACATCCTTCATGTATCTTTAATAAATTTACATCTCAATACTTCAACATATCTATACATCTTTAACAGTATAAAAAAAAGAAAAAAGAAAAAATACAAACAAAATATATCATTTTAAAATAAAGAAACAACTTAAATTATTAAGTAATTTGTATATATGTATGTACGTTTATAGGCATATACAAACATACACAAATTTACATATATGTATATAAATAAAACAATAAGTAAATTTATTAAATTAATACTAACTGGTAAATTTATAAAATAAAAGCCATGCAGATTCTTATTCCTTTAAAAGAAATTTAAAATAATAAATGTTATCAGACGCTGGGTTGAAATTAAGTGTTAACAATCAACAAAAAATAAAAAAAAATATATATATATGCGTCAACACTTATCCAAGACCGCAAGGACATGTTAGAACTGGACCCAATTAGGATTACTTGGAGTAGTGGCAGCCCTAGAAATAAATAAAAAAAAGAAAATAAACTAGGTTAGGTTTTAAAATTTACCTTAAAATAGCGGCTTTTTGCCTAGATTGGAATATAGTTATTCGTTCGGTAATACCAATCGAATCTTGCAGGAGCATCTATAACTTTGTTCATATTCATAAACTCGTGACAGAAGGAATTAATTCAGTTTCCAGAAAGTAGAAACATGATAATCCATAGGAAAGTTTGTAAAACATTTGACTGCCTGGTCAGTATGTGATATGTGACATTCACTTTTTGGTATCTCGCTGCAAGGCCAGGTCAAATAAAACTTTCTTTGTCAATGTACTCAACTTCAACGTAAGCATATAGACATGGTTTGATTCGTGCACTCTTGTTAACTTCTAAATACTCTACTAGTGTGTACATTACTTTGTTCGACATGTGCAAGGATACTCCATCTAAGTGTTTCCAATCTCTACGCCTTTTGTAAATTTATATAGGATTCACTCTATAATCTAAAGAGCATTATATATATATATATATGTCAAGCAGACCGATAATAGCAAACGACTTTTATTTATTTTTCCTGGAGTAGTAAGGATAGTAGTGTGACATGGCACACAATACTATTATTTTAATCCGACCGATTTCTCAGATGCCACTCTGGAAGACATTGACAGAATAAGTGCTTGGGCAAACCTCAACAGGCTCACTCTGAACGCCTAGAAGACAAAAGCCATCTTGATTGGATCCTCCACACTCCTCAAATCCTTCCCGGTATCTCCCAATCTTCTCATGAACAACTCGCCTATCTTATTCCACACCACCGTTAAAAACCTAGGTGTTACTTCTGATCAAACCCTATCCTGGAAACCACACATCTCCCAAATTTCCCGTCGTACTATCTTCCCCCTAAAACAGTTTAATCATCTACGATATCTCCTTCCATATAAGTCCCGTCAACTCCTAGTTTCCTCCCTTGTTTTCCCCCACTTCGACTATGGCTGCATGGTGTATGGTGGACTCTCATGAGATCCTGAGGCCAAACTTAAACGCCTAATGAATTGCGCACTACGATTTGTTTTCTGAATCTCAAGGGATACGCATATTACCCAGTATTACACTGAGTTGAGGTGGCTCTATCCATCCTATCGCCGTCAGTACTTCCTAGCCACCTTTCTGTACCAGATCATTAGAACTCATCGACCCTACTACATTTATCACAGTTTACAATTCAAATACTCCATCTAATCCCATCCCACTAATCTCGTACTTCCGACCTCTATCCTCCTCCTCACCAAACTGCTGCGTTTAACAAACCCTTTGCAATACAAGCCGCCTCCCTCTGGAATAACATCCCAGCTGATATTCGACACGTTCAATCAGTTTCCTCTTTCAAACCTCTCCTCTTTAAACACCTACTCCATTCTAAATCCGACTGATTGCGAAATGAACTTGAGAGAAATATCTATGCACCCCCCAGAGACTACCTCAATTCATTTAGGTTATTTTAGTTTCTTATATATATGTACAATTTCCTTGTTCTTTTCTTTCTCTTCTTCAGTATTTTTATTTTTGGTCGACTCTTATTGTAAATATATAATCTAATTGTAACCACACTGACATACAATCTGTATTTATAATTTGTTCCAAAGGGACAACAGTCCCAGAATAATAAAATATTTTTTCATTTCATTTCACTAATATATAACTATTTGGAAATAACAAACCATTGTTTAATAATTTGTAGCAATTTTTATTTTAGCAACTTAGTATTTCTTATTCCCAATTATTTTCAATCCACTACAGTTTATAAACTTATTACTTTCTCAAAACATATCATATATCATTATCACCCTTTAAGTTGAAAAGATTTTATTAATAAAATATGCTTAGGAATATTATTTTCTTATAACTACTGAATCTATTTTGATTGAAATTAAAAAATGAAAATGAGAAGGAGTTAGTTGAGGGTGCGGTCAAATAAATAAAAAATTAAAATATATTAATTATTTTAATTTTTGCCGACGTTTCGACCCACTTTGCAGGTCTTCATCAGGGCGTAGGATGTGGCACTGCGGGAGGCAGTTGAAACACTGGTGTGAAAAACTTCCAGTGTTTCAACTGCCTCCCGCAGTGCCACATCCTACGCCCTGAAGACGACCTGCAAAGTGGGTCGAAACGTCGGCAAAAATTAAAATAATTAATATATTTTAATTTTTTATTTATTTGACCGCACCCTCGACTAACTCCTTCTCATATTATATCAACGGTCAACCATCTCTACATCATTAAAAAATGAAAAGTTATTTAATCATATTCAGAATAACTCAAAAGTTACTTTTATTGTTTTATGTTGCTAAAATTGACATGATAATGAGTGAATTTAGACATAATTTCATAAAAATTCATTTAACTTACCCAGGACTAGGGCTTGGAGCAGAGGCAAATTCACCCCAAGACTCAGGTTTGGCAGGAGGTGGTGCCTGATGGGAGGGAGACGATGTTATGGATGGCGCAGGTGGTGGAGCTATCTTAACTCCGCCAGGAGGTGGTGGTAACAGACCACCCCCACTCGGTTTCGATTTAGGTTTAGCACTTGCTTCAGAACCATCCTTCTTCTGTAAAATTAATTTTTAAGTATTGATTTATTAAAAATTAATCAATTACAAAGAGCACAATCTCCAAAAAAAAAAGAGACAAATATTATTGAAAGGTTGCAAAAACAAACATTGATCATTTGTTTCTTACAAGTAATTAATATTTTAAATGATTGTCAATTATATTAAACTAGTTGACCTGCACGAACAATTCGCATAGTGTACTGGTTTGGTACTGGAAATAAACAAATGAAACTATTTACCTGTAAAGTACTTCATTTTAAAAAGTAGTAATGAATATGAGTCTCATGTTAAAAAACAAAACAAATATTGTGTTTGTTAGATATAATTATTGTTTTAAAACTTCTTTGAAAACAATGCTAGAAGCGCTAATATGATTATTATCAACTTTTATCTTTAACATAAACATGAATAACATTGAACCTACAAACTTGTGACATCTGGAATTGAAAACAGAAATGAGCTACAAAGGTTTAGCAATTAAAAATATTAAAGCACAACAACTAAGTCCTAGAGATTGTGTCTTTGTCAGACTAGGTCTGATTTAGATGATTTTCTCCCATTTGGTAGGTAATTAAATTAAATTTGGACAGGCGTTTTGTATTAGTTATATAAATAAATATATTTTTAAAATTTTGGTACATACTCTTGTACATATAATTATTCTGATTTTTCCAATCATTATTTATTTATCAACCAACAGTTATTCATTCATTAGCTTAAATAAATTTTTTCATCCTATAATCAAAACATTTTTTTTATTATTAATTAGTTTATAATTTTCTTCTGTCAGATGTGCTTATATGTTCTGTAAATATGATTACCTACTCTTTCCTCACTATAATCATTGTTCATATTGTAACAGAATGTTATATTACTCAATAAAAAAAATAAAGTTAAAAAGTAAACGTTATCGGTTTTAGGAAGAGGTTAAAAAATCTATTGAAATGTTGCCTAACCAAATTTTACATTATCTCTAAGATCATTATCTCAGGAATTAGCAATTATACATTAATGATATTTCTATGATCTATCTTCAAGCTGATACCACAAGATTACAAATCATAGACCACAGCGCTGAGTCATTAAAAGAAAGATAAATAAATGTAAAACAGGCACTGAGTATTTTTAATCACTGGTAAATATTACTCCTAAATATCTCAAATAAACCTCAACTGAGATAAATAAATATTCATTTTTGAAAAATTTCATTAAGACTGAGAAAAGATATAATACAATGATAACGTACAGTTATTTTCATGTTAATTTTTATTGTCTCCCCCTCTTTAAACTTTAAATCAAGTTCAGGCTTAGGAACATCCTTTTCTTTTTCTATCTCTTCAGATTTTTTCAACCAGTTGAAATGATCCTGTAATGCTACATTGAGATCAAAACTATCAGAGCGATCTGAAAATCCAACTCCAATAAAAGCAGAACGTCCTACAAAATAAAATTAGTATTAATTAAGAAGGAAATGTATAATGAATTATTTTTTCAAAACCATAGTACTTTTACACATGTGCACATTATTTAGATGGTTGGTTGGTTGCTATGAAGTCAAGGCATAAAACCTGTTGATTATTAATGCCATTAATTAAGTTTTAATATAATTATATCTGCTGGTTATAAATTATAGAAATAAAGTATAATTAAAACGTTGTAAAATGCACGTTAATTAAGTTTATATATAATCATATTCTCTGGTTGCGAATGATAAAAAAAAAAATACAACACATAAAAAAACTTGAAAAACAGTACATTACATTATTTAGTAAAAAAAATCCATGAGGAGTCGGTCAAATTAAATACTATATATTATAATAGTATTTTATTGGTTACGTCAACGTTTTGACTGACTTTGTAGGTCTTCATCAGGGCCAAAAAAGATACATAATATAAATTAGTACAAAGTAAAAAAATGAAATAAATGAATTATTAGTAGATATTAAACAAATATCAGTTTTGTGATAAAGAAATTAAAGAACTTATAAGATGACATCAGTGATGTAGTGGGTTAAAGCATAGTTACAATATAAAGTATTAAATATACAGAAAATACAAAACAAAAAGAAAAATAAATGAGAATTTAGAGTGTAAGTTATTTTTACTTTTTTTTTTATTTTATTCATTTTTTTATGTTGGCATTCATTACAGACCATGTAGATCTTTTGGCGCCTTCACAAGCCTGCTCCATCTCTGCCTATCTTGAGCTATTTCTTTTTATTCATCTGCACGCAGCTTATTGCATCTTTGTTTATTCTATCCATCCATCTGCTTTTTGGCCTTTCATGAGGTCTTTTGCCTTCTATTGAGGCATACTTTGTTACGTAGAGGTTTCCATATGGGTTGCTACGAGCTACATGCCCTGCCGATCTTAACCTCCGTGCCTTCATAACATGGGATATTGATTGACCAGTTTCTATAAGTAGTTCTTTATTGGCCTTTCTTCTCCATGTGTTAGTACTCTTATCCCAGATCGCTCTGGTTATAGTGCGGAGAATTTTTCTCTCAAATCTTTCAATATTTTTTCTAAGGTCATGGTTAGTGGCCAGGTGTCACAGCCATATATTCGAACTGGCTTTCTCATAGCATTGTACACCCATAATTTAAGATTCTTTTTGAGATTTTTCAGGATTTCAATACCTTTGAAAGGGAGAAGAAAGTTCTGTTTGTGCTAGTTATATGCTGGTCTATTTCTGCTTGTTGGTCATTCACTGAGGTTATTGTAGAGCCGAGGTATTTGATTATTTGAAAACTCATGAGAATGATTTTCCTTCTACACAGATTCTGTTACTGGGGTGGAATTTTCAGGTCATTATCATAAATTTTGTTTTGTATTCATTTACTTGTAGGCTGATTTGCTCTGCCTCTCTTATCAGAATCTTAGCGAGTTTCTCAATGTCCTCTTGCTTACTTCCAAGGACTGCTGTATCACCTGTACAGGATCAGATATAGATGTAGCACATTTAAGCGTGTGCTTGTGCTAATTGAACTTCAGAGATACCTCATCATCCAAATAGGAATGAACCTGGGCAGCAAGGTCTCAATTGGTCGAAGCCGATAAAGAGGGGAATAATTTAAAAAAATAGTTAACATATAGTAAATCAAACACTTCAAATGACATCATAATGAACAGTGAACAGTTAATGAACAAATGACACCTTGTCATCACTTGAGCTTGATAAAAAATAAGGTAAATATAAAGTAGAGTCACATCGGGTTGGCATGCACAGATATATTTACCTAATATGCTTAAATCATCTGCTATAAATCTTTTACCAATTAGGACACCCATACACAAAATTGAAAAATATAATTTTGAAATCTTTATGGTATTAAATACAAAATATTAATGATTCAAAATAGTACTCATGATTTTAGTCGATCATAAACATAAAATCATGACAGTTTAAATATTCAAGATTATATACAAAAACAATATATAACAATATAACTTAAACATTTTGGGTATGCCAGTAGATACAATTATTTAATTATTGAGAAATTTGGAGATAGGTGATAATTATGTTTAGAAACCATTTGGTTATTTAAGTCATTCCATAAACAGTGTGATCAGGTGATCTAGTCAACCCAACATGAGGCTGCTGAATATTAAACAGGGAAAAAGTAGCGTAGACAAAGGTGGAATGTTAGACTTGACCAGTAACAATCCAAAATTTTGTTTCTTAAATTAGGAGCTAGTTGAAAAACCATAATAATAATTACCATTATCATCTTGAATTCGAAGCACAAAATAACGAGAGGAATCTGATACAGGCTCAATCGCTAGTCCAGGATACTTATCTATAGGACATTTTGCAAACAATTCACCACTGGTTTTATCTTCCAATTTCAAGACGCATTCCTTGTCTTTGGCTACTAGACGCATTCGACCAGTCCACTGTGGATCAGATAGGTTCCAGTCCGCAGCTCTAATATAGAACAATTATTATACATGGAAAGGAAGAAAGAAGGCTGCAAAAAATTAAACAAGAAAAATAATATTTACTTATGCCCTCTGTTAGTAGTGATAGGTGGGACTTTGAACACGAAAACTTCATTTTTAACGAGCAAAACACTTTCGTAAGAATCCATAATCCAAACTAGATTAAATGTCTAAGCAATATACATAAAACAAATTCCAAATCCTAATAAGTTACAACTTGCAAAGCAGAGGTTTCACTAAAACACTTAGAAGTTGTGCCAACCTATCAACTCAACTACCACCTGTTATTTATTCTTAACACTAATTACTTTGGTGGAAATAACAATGAAACTTCATTTCAAACTTTATAATATTTGCCAAGCCTTAATTCTCTGGGAAAATGACCATTTTATTTTCTTATATTTGTGTAACATTCAAAACAACATTTTGGCTACACTGCAATTTTAGGGCACTTTCTGTTTTCTTTGAAGACATTGCTATCATCGGCTGGACCCGTGAGGTTGTGCTGGTTGTTTTGATTGTGAGATGTAATTCAATTCAATAATATTTTAATGACGTTGCGAAAATACATTAATATGACCAACATCAAATGTATCGTGTTAATTTCTCTGCACATCGTCATGGTTCAGATAATTCATACGAATTCTCGAACTTCATATCTTTGGAAATTGAACAGTGAAATTAACATGATTGAACCTGGAAACATTCAGAAGTTATCTTACCACACGGAAGAAATGTTCGACGACCCCATATTTAACATTTTGGTGTCTACTGTGCACTATGGAAATTCATGGACTAAAAGAAGTAGTGATAACTTTTGTGTGGATTGTCATAAAGTTAATACTACTCAGGAGGTGTAAGTTTTATCTTAATGACATCAGTTAGTATGAGTGAAAAGAAATTCATATATCTATATGAAATGATATAAGAGAGATAATTTAACATTTATTGCAACTAAGTTTTATGAGGTATAGAGAAACTTTCTTATCTAATAAGTTTTTGGTGTGTTTTAGACGCGAGAAGGCTACTCCTCCACCTGTCCAAGAACAGCAAAATAAAACGAAATATCCTGAAGATGATGAAGTTTTAGATTGTGGAAAACCTGTTAATTTCACTTATTATGACAACTTAGTTGGTATCGCTAACAGGTTATCTCACCCCAATGTTCCTGAACCACAGGTTTTTTTCTTTTCTCATTTTGTTGGACACATTTTTTCTTTGATATGGTTTAGATAATGTTGTCATTTTTTAGATTTCTCTCATTTTCAAAAAGAAGAGCACGGATATAGATGTTGCTGCATTAGAAAGAAAGCTTAAAAAAGCCAAGAGAGAGAAACCTAAATCAGTCCAACTTTATAATCAGATTGGAAATTTCTGGAGACTGAAAGGAGATACTTACAAATCGATTGAGTGTTTCAGAAGAGCTCTTGCGGTTTCTCCACATAATGCTGAGGTAGGTAATACAAAAAAATAAGGTAGGTGGCACTAAGCATTGGCTTTTATCATTCTTAGGTACTACTGTACAAATGTCACTCTACTGTCACAGGTGGCCCAAGATCTCATGATCACGCTATAAATTTAATCCTGAGAATAGCTGAGTGTCTTTGAAAGTAGATGGAAGTGCCTGAATTGTTTAGTGAGGCCCCGAACTTTAGTGATAAGGAGCCATTGGGTGGTTTAGATTAAGATAGAGTTGAATTTTAAAGTAGTGATGTAATTAAAGTCCTGATTTTAATTGAAAAGGACCAGTTGGGAGTTCATTGAAGTTGTAAATTGTGATGTAATGAAGAGGTGGTACTACTGTACACATCAACCCTAAGCTATTCTTGGAATACCATTACAGTGGGCAAGGATCTTGGCCCACTGGAAAAGATGGAGTGATATTTGTAAAGTGATGCCCGTTATTATTTATTAAATCTTCTGGCACTTCAGCCCCAGTGGTCCTTGGCCTGCTTTAACATTTGTTACCACAGAGATCTGTCCTCCACCATTCGGATACCTGCCTGTCGGATGTTCTTTTTCTCCTTCCATCGGTTGCTCTTTTGGTCTAGTGGCTGAAATTCTTCTTATAAATGCCTCCTTCACATGCCTGTCTTCATTTATTAGTTTGACATGGCCATACCATTTGAACCTACTCATTCTTATATTTGACAGTTGAAGATCTGGTTAAAGCAAAAACATAACAAATCTTGAATAGGAATGTTAAAGTTGAAATCATTTTAAGTATTGGTTTACAAGGGTACTTAATATCATACTCTGCTTAGAGATTTATTAGTTGACTCATCATTATAAATTTAAGGATTAAATGATGAATCTTTGTGTAATTTAAGTTCATACCATTTATGTAACTCTCTATATTCATGCAAGCTTCTGATTTTCTATTGAAACCTACTCAGTTTATGCCAAAACGGTGAACTGTCCTTTAGAAGTGGATTTTCTGTTATGGACAGTTCTGGACTGTGATACTTCTTTAATCTTTCATCTCAATTGGTTAATTCTGAGAATGACAAAACAAAGTAGGTAGTACTCCCGATCCTCCATGTCACCGTAAAGCTTTGACACCGAGACTGTATTGCTTTACGTTTATATTACTCAGGCCTAGGTTAAGGATGCATGATTGGAGATGAGTTTCGTTGTTTGTTTGTTTCCTTCGTACTTGAACAAAGGATTTGGGGCAACTTCAAATTGTAAAGATGCTAATTAATCCGATTATAAGGAAAATTAAAATTTGTTCCTTTTTACTTTCACTTACCTATATATGAAATATATAGTAAAGGAAGATGTGTGTGTTTGTGTGCCTGTGAGTGCGTGTGTCTGTGAAAATGACAGCTCAAAAATGAAAAATCATACAGAAGTGAAAAATTGGATATTTAAGGTTTGTATATGCCTGAGATGTTACAACAACTTTTTTGTCAAAATCGGCTAACTGGAAGTGGCACTTTATATCATTGATTTAACACATTTTTACTATTTTCAAAATGTCTTCCATTAACTACCTTTAATTTGTTTTGTTTTTAAAATAATTAACTATCTCTCATTATTTAGAATTATGAAAAAAGGCTAAATATACCTTTTGAAAGAATTTGATAATTGAATAAAGGAGAAAAAAAGAAAAAGAAAAATGCTTATCCAGGTGTAAAATGAATCTCCGGAAATGGTAGTCCGAAGGTATTACATAACGTTGGAAAGCGGAGAATTTTAGAAAAAAAAAAAATCTAATTAATAAAGTTGTAGAAGGTAATGGAGAGTGAGCAAAAATATATAAATAATTTCTGATAACTAAAATTATTTAACGTAAATCACATGTTTTCAGGAAAATTAAATGAAATTTTCGAACTAAATGTAAACTTAAAAAAAATTTTTAATTCAACTGAATCAAGGCAATGACATTGTTTAAAATACTATTTCAATGTGCTTGTGTGAATGGAAAAGTGAAATATTAAAATATTTTATTTATATGTATATAACCTTATATACATTAACTGTAGTTAAATAACTCTAGATATGATATTATATTTAAATAATTAGGTATCTATTGTCCATTTATTCTAAAAAATCATCATGTAAACTTTTAGAAAACTAAATTAGTGAATAATTTGCTGAATTTTCCCTTTTTTATATCCAAATAGTAGAAATCACTTACTGTTACTTATTAATGATTTGTTACCTTTAAGCTTTAACTCGGTTAAAAATGCACTTCCAAAATTTAATAATAGCCCATTATAGCCAGAAAATAATTTCAATTCAAAGTAGAGCGGTAAGTGTGTGTTACGCGTACCAGATTTTTATTTTCACTTACCAATATATGTAATATGTAGAAAGGGAAAGTATTGCAATAGGGAAAATTTTCTAATCTGATTTTTCGATGGAAATATTTGTTTTGAGGTCCCCTAAGTCCAAATAACCAAGTCCCGCAAAATGATCTGTGTGTCTGTGCGTATATTTTCTGTCTAGCTTAAAAACCAAAAGTTGTGCGAAAGTGAAATTGCATATTTAAAGTTTTTATATGCTTTTGATGCTTTTTGACAGCAACGTTTTTGTCAAAATTGGCTAACTGGAAATGGCACTTTATAGAATCGATTAAATAAATTTTTAATATTAGTAATATGGTTCCCAAGATTTGAAGTTTAAATGCTGATTGTTCTCTTTCTTCTTTTGGATGTGATTTGATGTTATTTGGGTCCTTCCTTTACAAGTTTATCAGCTCGTTCATTTCCTGGTGTTCTGCAGTGCCATGGGAACCACTGTGCAGATGACTTTGAAACTGGTGGATTCATCTATTGATAATGACTTGGCAGTTAGGAATCATTACTTGAAAAAATGTCACATCTTCACATTCATGGTTCTTTGACTGAGATATGTCAAATTGTTTACTGTTTTTTACCACTAATGTATTAATAACATAAACAGAAATTTAAATAATGATTTACTGTATGTGAACCTGGCCAGTGACAGATAATTGGATAAACCTACAAAAATCAGAGGTGTCCCTGTCAACCCTTCTAAACAGTATATTCTATTCCCCCAGTTGGAACAATCCGATTAGAAGAAAAATGGAACATCAAATAAAATTCTGAATACCTTTGACATTTAATATATGTATTCTTTTATATTTATATATATATATTTACTTACTTATGGAATGATATTATTATAGTGTTAGTATTCTTTCTGTTTTTTTTATAATTACTGAATTATTTGTATAGGTATTATTAAATCTTGCAAGGGTGTTGTTTACTCTTCAATATCTCGATGATGCTATATATCTTACTCGGAGGTCTTTAGAGGTTCAGCCACCAGACAAGAGTGCTTGGCAGCAATATTTTACACTTGGAGAGATATTCAAGGTACTAATGAGTTTTCATTACTTCTACTATTACAATCAACTATTGCCGCTAGCTTATTTAAAATATTTGAGAAAGTAAATATTCGAATGAGACAATTATAATTAAGGATACTATAATTTTTAAAAGATTGGAGAGCGCAATCATGGCAAAGAAGCCGAACAGCATAGGCATTGAATAAAATAAGGAAATACAAATATAATTGAAAAAGAAAATGGATATTAAAAAAAAAACAAAACAATAAATTGTCTATGTTTTGCTAAGATCTTTTAATATGAGAAGGTTTATTATTGTTAAGAATCTATGTAAGTATTCAGATTTCTATAGAAGTTATAAAACTTGATAAAAGCTATGAGGACAGCAGATTATTTTGGTTTATTATTTTCAATAATG